ACTTTGTAAAGTAACACAATGTGAGCAAGATATTACCTTGCTTCAGAAGGATTAAGATAGAGTGAGGGACTGGGCACTCATCACATAAGCATGATATTTAGGGATATTATTTTAAAATGTGGTTATAGCCTTTTGATCCAAGGAGAGATCTGACTGTCACTCCAGGGTCAAGAAGGGATATTTTTTCCTAGTTTGTTGCAAAATTGGAAGTGCTTCAGACTGCATGTGTGTTTTTTTTTTTTTTTTTTGCCTTCTTTTGGATCAACAGCAAAAACAGATTTGAGGAAGGCTGGCCTTGATGGACACGTCTCTTTTCAGCTCTGTAACTATATTTGTTTCCATATTAAGTTATATCAACAGGGTTATTCACTAAAGTGTAAATTGTTGGTAATTGAAACCAAATTTTAAAGTGAGTCTGTCCTAATAGGTACACTTTAACATAAAAACCCCCAACTGCACTGACTGTTTGATATTATTATTATTATTATTGGCATTTATATAGCACCAACTTATTCTCAAGTGCTTTACAATATTATAAAGTGGTAAATTTCACAATAAATACGACAATTACGAAATCTTACAGAAACAATAGATTGATGACGACTCTGATCCAACGAGCTTAGAATCTAGAGGAGGTGGTGTATGAAACACAATAGGAAGGGCAGTGTGGGGAATAGCAACCAATAGACAAGGTGGGAAAGTAGAAGAACTGGAAGGTGAGAGTGGAGTGTGGTCCTTTAAGATAGCTCAAGAGACATGTTTGTGAAATATAAGTGTTACTCTGGGAGGCAATATGTTTTTGTGAAGAGATTTTTTTTTAAAGGAACTTTTTATATGACTCTATAGGAAAGTATTAAAACAGGAGACAGGCTGCTCCAAAGGACAGGAGCTGCCTGCAAGCCAGAGTTGGCAGTAAGGTTATGAGCAGCGGACAGGAGAAGGTCACTGGCAGAGCGGAGAAGGGGTAACTACGAATTAGTGAAGAAATGTAACAGGCCAGATTTGTTTAGCGATTTACAGGGAAGGGTTAATACAGGTTGGGCCAAAATTCAGAGTAGGGTTTGAGGAGTCACTAACTTTTTTATTAATGAACCAATTTATTACATACAAATAATGCTTAACGTATATAGATTTGTTTGACTAGGTATGATGGTAGATTACATCTTTTAAATGAGCTACATTTGTCGCCTCACAAAGTCTTTTTCGGTTGCATTGTTCAGAACATTGATTAATGGTTGAGGCTCTAGTACTCAAATTTGTGCACAATAACTTCCTGTTAGGTCATCCCACACCAGACAGTACACTTGGCAGGGTGCAATTGGCGCTCATGAATTTTCTAGAAATGAAAGTTTTTTGCTTATTGACAAAATCATCTAAATATAGTTCAACTCCATCAGACATGACGAGTTGATGAATAAATTCATTGTTTTCTCTGGCTGTTTTGTTGTTTCTTTGTGAAATTACCCATTGTGAATCTCCCAAGCCTCTGTTAAATAACTTGTTTGTAGTAAAAAAAATTTTGTTGCAGGTACATATTACAACTGTGAAAACATACATACATTTTGGCCCACCCTGGGTTTTGAATTGACTCTTGTAGGGTATAGGATTGCAATGTAACTATTGACAGAGGGGTGAGGTGTGAGAGGAGCGGCAGGAGAGAAAAATCAGCCTGGCAGCGGCATTCATTACAGACTGTAGCATGGCAGCACGATTAGGGGATACCAATTAGGGGAGCATTACAGTAATTAATGCAAGAAATTACTAGAGCATGAACAAGCTCCTTAGCAGCATCTTCTGTAAGAAAGGGGCAAACGCATGCAATGTTTTTAAGGTGGAATTGACAGCATTTGGCAACAGACTGGATGGTTAGCATGAAAGTGAGGCTAGGATAAATGATTACACTAAGACCGCAAGCTTGCAAGGATGGATTGAAGCAGGTATCATCAACTTACAGGGAGAGCAAAGAGGAGGCTTAGTATTATAAGTAGAAGAAAATAATAGATCTGATGAGATGAGAGGGAATGGGATCAAGTGGACAAGTGGTGGGGCGAGAGGAAAGGAGAAGCACATTTACCTCCTGATCAGTAGCTTGGGAGAAGGCTTGAAGGGTAGGAAAGGCACGATCCATGTGTGGTTGAGAGAGAGAGAGAAAGAGGAACAAAGTGATAATTCTTTAATTGGTTAATCTTGTCAGTAAAATAGTATGCAAATTAACTGAAAGGTTGGTTTGGGGGTGGCCATGGCATGACAAAGAAGAGTGTTGCAGGTACCAAAGATACACATGAGATTGAGGGAGTATGAACTAATGAAAGAGAAAAAGTATGATTGTTTAGCAAAGATGAGGGCTGTGCTGTACAAGCTGAAGATAGATATGTAATGAAGAACATGGTGCAAACTTTCACAAGCTGTGTTCAACTGAATGGGAGCATGTCTGTGAGTAGCGGGTTGACTTCGTGTGCCAAGGTTGGCGGCGTGTCCTCCTTGAGGTGTATGTTAGGAGTGGGGCTACAAAGTTTAGGGCAGAGGTGAGGGTAGCATTATATGAGGAGATACCCAGAAAGGACAGGACAAGGTAGGGATGGAGTTGAGAACGGACATCAGCTGACAGTTTCTAGAGGTCAGGAAAATTAATATTTCATCAAAGTTGATGAGGGTTATCAGAGATATACAGGGTGTATTCAATGTAAAGATTAGAGCTATTCACTCACCTTACTAACATTGTAGAGCAAGCATGTCAAACTCAAAGGATAGCAAGGGCCAAATAAACAATGTTTACATTTATGATGGCTGCAAAAAAACAAAAACTTAAATTTTCATAGAAACAGGTTTATTTTGAAAAGTACAGTATAAAAAAAACAACTACTCTACTAAATCCCAGCCCCCCCCCCGCCCACCTCCTTCATCTACTAAATCCCAGTTCCCCCTGGTTTACTAAATCCCAGTCCCCAGGTCTAATAAACTCCTCCCCCTGTTTAAAAAAACAAAAACAAACAAAAAAAAACATTAGCCAACAAGCAGTGTCTGGAGTTCGGCCTCTGGTATACCCCCAATGGCCCCATCTGCACCTTTAAAACAAGTGGATCCTCCCGTTACTCCTTGAAACCCTCACACACACACACTGAAATTCACAAATAATCACTCTGACACACACATTCACTGACAGACACACACTGACAGACACACAGGCTCCCTCACAGACTCACTCACTCACGGAAACACCTAATCACTCAGACACACAGGCTCCCTCACAGACACACACTGGCATACACACACTCAATCACACAAACAGACACACACACAGACAGCCATACAAACAGCCATGGACAGAGACAACCATGCACAAATCCACATTTTGCCCCCCTCCCAACATACTTTTTTTTTTTAATTTAAATCCACCCTACCTTTGGGAGAGCTGGGTGGATTTCTTACCTTTGGTCTAGTGGAGCTGCTGGGCAGACGGGTGTGCCGGCTGGGGGCGTGATATTCCGGCTCCCGGCATCACTGCGGGGAGCTGAGTAGGGAGGGCTTACACTCAGCTCTCCCTCGCCGCCTGTCCGCAGACCGCAAACACATTAGTTGTAGGCCGCAAGTTTGACATGCATGTTGTAGAGGTTACTCTCCTGTAAAACCCACTTCCGGTCTGCCTGCAATTTTCACAGTTGCAGTTTGGTTGACCCTGATTCGAGATACTTCCCCATCAAAGGTAAATCCCCTCTGTGACACTCACATGCTTCATTGCTAACATGTTGGTGTGATTCATATACTACCCTGACAAGGTTCGCAATGGTTTGGGAGGTATCAGAGCAATCACACACAGCACATGTGCAATGGTTGCAATTCTTGAAGAGCAGAATGACTGCCTGTGGGAGGTCTCATCTGCTCTCTTTTGTCAGTCAGTTCTTCAGCATAGAGTCTATGTTGAAGAATTGACTGACCTGTTGGGGAAAGACATAATTATAAATCTGCAAGTACAATGCATATATGGCATTTTTTGTTCTTTATGAAGAGCATAGGCTATAGTCACTAAGGCAGTAACCTTTTGAGTTTTAGGCCACAAAAGTCAAATTCTCTATATCAGCTTGGTTAAATTGGCCTATCATTGACAGGCATTTTGCATTCCAAAAAAATTCCCACTTTAGTTAATAACTCTGAAAATGAATTTCTGGAAGCATGCAGCTACAGTGATCTGGAAACAATCTAAAATCAAACTTCTATACATCGGCATTAGGCAGGAATACACCCTTAATTAGTAAGATTCCAGGGACACTCTAAATACCTTTACATGAGCTCATTGTTATCCTGAAATGTCTATACCACCAATTTTACAAAATATTTGTACACATTTCTGATATTTTACAGGGACACTCCAGATACAACACCAAGGTCATTGATTTAATAAGTTATGCAGTATTTTTTTTTTTTTTAAATCCTGCCTCTCCTGTCCATCTCCATTTTAAAATACTTCATTTTTGTTGATTACTGTTTTGCAGTACTTGGTGCTCGCAACACTGACATTAACCAGATTTGCACCACAAGACATATTAAGTGCAATATAAGGTTACACTTAGTGGTGCTCAGTAGGCTTTTTTGTTTAAAGAGTAATTTTTTCCTTCATAAGCCCATCCTTTCTGTCCCACCTAACCTGCACTGTTTTCATTTTGTTCCTAGAACAGAAATTTATTGGAAAAACTGTATTAGGTGTTCATGTGACTCTGGGTAGAGCTTACTGCACAGATTGCGTGGGGGCCGGGGGGTACCTAGAGCATTTGGCACCCGGGGCGGATCCTCCTTATGGCACCCATGCTCTGGGCAATGTTTTGCTGTGAAAACGTAAATCCTGGCATTCTTGCGGATGTTACTTTGACATGTATCACCTACCTAGAGATGGTTGCAGACCATTTACACCCCTTCATGACAATGGTTTTCTCTGATGGTAGTTACCTCTTTCAGCAGGATAATGCACCATGCAACACTGCAAAAATTGTTCAGGAATTGTTTGAGGAACATGAGAGAGTTAAATGTGTTGCCCTGGCTTCCATAATTCCCCATATCTCAATCCGATTGGGCATCTGTGGGATGTGATGGAACAACAAATCCAATCCATGGAAGACCCACGTCACAACTTGCAGGACTTAAAGGATTTACTGCCAATGTCTTGTTGCCAGATACCACAGGACATGTTGAGAGGTCTTTTGGAGTCCATGCCTCGATGCATCAGAACTGTTTTGCAGGGTACCTACACAATATTAGGCAGGTGGTTTTAATGTTGTGGCTGATAAGTGTATTGCAAATGCAGAAGCTTCTAATATAAGTTTCTTTGTTAGTGTTTTTAAAAATAAAAATAAATTATTTTTTTTATTTGTGATTGCATAGTTTTTCAATGCTTTACAAATGTGGCAATGCCAGTCCAGAGACCCCTGTACAAGTAATAAGTAAAACAATATAAAATATTTTATATGAATATCATTCAGTACGATCTAGATACCCCTCTCACTATCCACCTGTCCCCCAGTAAGGTACTAACTCATGTTTTTTGTCTTTATGCTTTTATTATAAAAAGTACAATAAAAAAAAAATCTGAAAAATATATAATATTTACTGTATTAAAACACAGACATAAAACACTGCATGATTCATAATTGCCAGGATGGTAAGTAAGCCACCAAAATGTTCAAATATTTTTTAACTTTGCATTTTAAAGGATTCCTTTAAAAACTACAAATACCTAGCATGAAATACCAGCGAAACCAGGTCAAATATACTTGTTTTTCAATCAATACATAACTCAGTGCAAGTGCAACAACCTAGCTCCATAAGGAAAGTTTTTGTCCTAGACCAGGTGACTTTGAAGCTTGTCCATGCTAAATTCATGTCCACAAGCTTAAGAAGGCTTTGATTCGCAAAACTCCTGTATTTCCAGTGTAACTACTGCTTTGCCCAGACTTTAAATTATTGTGCATGCCTTTGTATCAGTCCTTTATTAGCCATCAGTTGTTGCAGATGACAGTGCAGTCTGGATCTTTGACTCTATTTTTCGAGAAGACCATGTCCCCTGATTCTTTTAGAGAATTGGAATCTGAAATGCTCATTTTCTGAAAAGATGTTTCCACGCCACTGTCACACATGCTTTCGTTGTCCTGCTGCTTCATCTCGTCTGCGCACAAAACCGAACAATTGCAATTAAAACAAACAAACAAAAATGACAGTGTAGAAAACAGATTTAGTCAGAGTTTGTAAAAAAACAAACAAACAAAAAGCATTACACCAGCAAAAAACATGACAGTGAAAGAGATAAATAAATCTATTATTAAATTATGGGAAGAGTTGTAAATTTGCCTGTAGTTTCCATACCCGGAGTCTGCTATAGCACGTATTTTTTGTAAATATATAGTTGATATTGAGCCCTGACAAAAAGATCATAGTAGGGAAGATGCTGCATTTCATCTGAATTCTCCAAGTTTGCAGAGTCATTTCAGAGAAAATCTTTTTTGTTTGGTGGAGCTATGTGACACCTTGCTTACTCCCTGCTCAACTCTGGCCCACAAAATGACAGCCAGAATAATGTGTTAGGAGAATTGCAAATCCCTTTGGTTTTCAATTTCACCCAATTTACTAAAAGCAATGCCACCTGTCATTCCCTGGGCCGCATTGAGCGCAGAGGAATTGCCTTGGGACACACAAACTCTATAATATAATTAATTCATGTAATAAAACTTCAAAACCTCTTTTCTTAATTTTCATATTTCACTTGTTTAGTAGATAACTCTTATTTGTTATCCTTAAAGGGACACTCCAGGAACCCAGACCACTTCTGCTAATTGGAGTGGTCTGGGTGCCAACTCCCACTACCCTTAACCCTGCAACTGTAATTATTGCAGTTTTCATAAACTGCAATAATTACCTTGCAGGGTTAACTCCTCCTCTGGTGGCTGTCTAATAGACAGCCACTAGAGGGCACTTCCTGCTTCATAGCACAGGTTTTCTGTGCTAGAGCGTCGTTGGACGTTCTCACGCTGTGTGAGGACCTCCAGCGTTGCTCAATTCCCCATAGGAAAGCATTGAAAAGCATTTTAGTATTCTAACTTCGTCATAAAAGACAACATGCCATGAAGTCATAGGATCAACTTAACCCAATGTCCAAAAGGGGTTAATGCAAACAGGCTTATTCGCTAAAGTGAATTTGAAGGAAAAACTAGCCTCACTGGAAACATTCTCTAAGTCAGCTATACTTTATTGGCTTTAAATTCACTATGAATTCTCCCTTTAGCGAATAACCTTGTAAATATGTGCACAAGTGATTGATACACTCACCTGTTTCCTGTGTGAAATATGAATTCTTTGAATATGTGTTCACATTTCTAGGTATCTTAGTGTGACTCTGCAGAGATTGCTCAATAATTCCTATGGCTTCTCTGTAATCCATCAGCCTCAAAGCATCCAGAAGTTCTTGTATCGTACCACCTGAAACCTTCATCAGAACAAATGAAAGGATTAGTACTGAATTTCTTCAATGCAAGGAGCATAGATCATTGGCACTCCATTTAACTGTGTGTGCTAGCTAATGCCACCAAAAGTGACACACGTGGGCTATGCACTGCAGAATAAGCCCAAAACCCAAAATTGTTCCTCCTGTTGTGAATTTTTATACTTGGTCCTGTCATTTATAGTCTCCATTACATACCGCTCAACGTTGGGAAGTATGATACACAACATCCTTCTGAGAGCTTTTACAGACTAACTAATGCACCTGATGTGCACATTTAAAATAAAAACGGTTTACCTCAAAGTTATCCAGTAATGTTTTAGAAGGTGATGGAGTCATGCTAAATGCACTGTTCAGTATTCCCAGTCCCATATTCTGTGCCAGAGTAGACCAGTTCTTGTTTGAGTCCTTGTTTTCCAATAAGGTGTAAAGCTGTTTCTTTGTATCTTCACTGAGGTCCTGCAAGTCTCCTGTTCATAAGAAAGAAAGAAACCACATTGGAAATGGCTCAGCTAACATCAATCTATAGTCAGAGGCTACTTCATTTGCTAAGACTTTATGTGAACTAGTTTACAGGGTGGTGTGTATTCTATTTATTTTCACGTAAGCACCTGCTTCATTCATTTAGTAGAAAATGATCAGAAGAAAACTGGGTCCCAGTGAATTTCATGCTCAGCCCACTTCCCTGTTCAGGTTTGTTTGGGTGTTTTTTTTAACGTTATTTGTGAGGTATATTCATACCAAAATCTAGATTCAGGTTTGAGAGACTGAGTGCTTGATCTACTTGATAAGCACAATGGAAAACTAGAACAGTGTGAGTTAGCAGATGAAATGTGAATTGATCACCTTTCAAATATTGTCATCAAACAATGTCTCTTCTAAAGACATTGGCCAACCAGCAGCTGGTTTGAAAAAGGTTCGACTGCTTAGTGTGAGACTGACCTGAGACTCCGGACACCATAACCACTACAGGTGGCTCAATATGTATTGTCATTATCCTACTTACTAACATAATTCTTTTAGTTATTTATTGAAAATAAAATGCATTTTTTAGACATCCTTTATACACTAGGCTTCTTTCTTCCTATTTGTATAAAGGGCAACAGCATCCTATGCTCCCCAGTGTCTTCCTGCTCTAAGGAGAGAGAGTTTAAGTAGCATTAGGATCCCGTTTTTATTTTGTATGGTTTATAGTCTGGTGGGGAAAGAACAGCACATGCAGTTTTTTTCTTATAGAGAATGGCAACATCAATTTCATTGTGATTGAATTCTGTCTTAAGTAAATAAATCTGAAAGCAGCCTAAAGAAATAAGTGCAATTAGAAATTTAAGGGAACACTTCACACACGTTAAGCACTTCAGCTTGCTGAAGTCCTTTCTGCGTCTGGAGTTTGTAATGTTTGTAGAAATTGGCACTTTTATATTTGGGGGCAGAATCACCTAGTTGATGTCTGATTGACAGCCAGGGAGGTTTTCTTCCACTTCCATTAGCTCCACAGAGCTAACAGAGCGGCAAGCACACCGGCTAAAGTGCACATGCCTTCATCCCTATTGAGCTCTATTACAATGATCAATGATAAGCCTCTGATTGAAGCATTTCTTGGCACAGGCTGAAAGAGAGGAGGGGTTGCAAAGGCAGCAATCACCAGGACCTTTTTTTTTATATATGCATGCAATTTGTCTTTGGAGGTATATCTACTAAATGGTTAAAAAACAACAACTGTGTTTTCAATGCAGTGTAAATCTAAGGTCAAAATAGCTGAACTGGGAAAACTCTGTAAGCCAGCTGTGCTCCCAGTTTGTGTACATGTCCTGCTTAAGATTAGTGAGTTGGCCGCTTCAATAGAGGCTTCTTAATACAGATGTTGCTTTTTCAATTTACTCTTCTCTTAAAGATTTGTAGGAAGAGGAGCTGGAAACCAACTCTATTCTGATTCCCCAGTTTCTTTCCTTTACCAGGATACGAGCTGAATCCTTAGAGGCTTTAGCCCAAGAGCATAGTTCTCACCAATTGCCAAAAGATTAAAGAGAACAAAATTAAGGGAATTATGAATCATAATAATGGCTAGTCAGCTTGATCTCTCTGGGGAGCACATGTTGGTGTTCCCCTTCATAAGGCTAAGAGCGGAGGTGTCTGAGACTGTGGTCTACCTTTTATGTTTAAACTTGTTCATTGTGCCAACTGTCCTGTGATAGAGTGATCACTGCCACCTAGGCTATGGAAAATTAATTATCCAGTAAGAAAATTTTTCTTTTACAGCCATTGTTCAAGGTTGCCATATCCAACTTGTTTGCCAGGACATACATGCCTTTCACATGTCAAGCAACACCTGAAAAAGTGCTATATATAGAATCCATCTTTTCAGAGTAATGACTTTCTGCACCATTTTAATTGTATAAACTCAGGACAATGTTTTCATACGCTGCCCACCAATATGCATACATGATATGTGTGCATGGAAATATTGTGGATTTGGCAACCTTATCCATGCAGGATAGGCAGGATGTTAATACAGAGACTAAATGAAGATGTGCCAACAACTCAAAGGGAAACCCTGATTATAATGTGTATAGCATAGTACTAGCTTGAATGAGATCAAACAAGTTTCCAGAGAATAAAAGTCTACTCTAGGTGGCATTCTAAACCCTGTTAAGGTGTAATATATCCTGTGAATGTGCCCAGGGTTCTGCTGCTAATCCTGACTGTCACAGCACACCAGGATTCTGCATACCCTCCTCACTCCCCAGACGCCACATTGTCTCTTGGCGTCCATGGAGTGAGAGACGCACTCCACCTACTTCCCGGTTGCCTCCTTTACGCTGTGGCAGCACGCCCGTTAGCACAAGACGTGCCGCTCCCGCTCCGGTTTCCCCAAACTGTGCGAAGCACCACGTAGTTTGCGCCATGCGGGGAAAGGGACACAAACTCTGCCCTTCTGTCAACGTACAACTCCTCCGGCTGACGTACCGAGTGGTGTATGTGTCATGTCCCCCACACTGCCCCAGGCTAACAAAACCCTGTGGGACCCATGCTGGTTTACCTGGAAGCAGTGTGGGGATCTGTGGCTTTTAGCTAACAAACTGACATAGTGTCCCACCCACATTGGGAGGTGTGGACACCTAGTTACCCAGAGGAGCCTTCCACTTATATAGGCCCTTAGACCCCTCCTCATGGGGGTCCTTACTCAACCCTTTTCTGTCTTGGGTAACCCCTGCAACCCTGTCACAGCCTTGGTTAACCCCTGCAACCCTGTTCTAGCCTTGGTTTAACTCCTGCAATTCTGCTACAACTTCAATCAAGCTTTTCATCAGTTGCCCAGTGCTAAAACTCTGGTAAAAGACTTTATTTCACCTTAAGGACTTTTATTTCTTATGAAGATATTGCCTTATTTTACATTTCTATTTTGCATTGGGCCTTTTTTATTATACTTTTTTTGCTTTAAAATAAAAACCTTAAATTCAGTGACTGTGTCCGTATAATATCTCTGCATTCCGAGCCAATTCACCCCAAACCCGTGACAATGACTTAGACTATAACTCATGAGCCCCATATTAACTAGAGCTCGGAGATAAATGGTTATTGCTGAAGAATAATGATTGCTCACTGAAAAATATTCTCTGAAAATCGAAAATGTGGACATTTGGTACCTTGAGGCTTGATGTCTTCAGAAGCTACATCTGATGCGTACGGCTTCCCATTTAAAAGCTCCAATACCTAAGGAAAACAGGAATTGAGAACAATAAGGCCTCAAATACCTCAAAGAAAAAAAAAGCATAATGTAAGCCTACAAAAACTGAATGTTAAATCATTTTCTCCTGTATTCTTCCAATAGTGGAATGACCTTGATTAGCATTTTCCTCATTCCAGCCTTACATTGTCCAATGAGTTTAATTGGGTCAACTACCCTTGTTCACATTCATAGTTACTATCATAGACAAACATGTCTTTTGGTAAAAATAGTTCTGGTTAGATAGTTAAGATTACATGCAGCCAATTCAGTTTAGAAAACTGAGAAAACTCTCACCTCATTGCTAGTTGCCATATCCAGGGGTTTAGTGCCTGGTATAATGCCTTCATCTAGAAGATCTTCATCCTCCGATGACTCTTGGCTGTAAAGTGGTTCATAGTTTTCAACTGAAGGATCGGCACCTGAAAGAAAATGATCCATTACATATACATATTGTAAAACATTTACCTGTACTGCAGACCTGATTGAGGCCTGTTTATTTCTTATAACATTTTCTTGGTGAGCTTGTTACCTATACCTTTTGGATTTTTAATGTTAAATCAATATAACTGCCTGTCAGATATCTGATCTAAATTTTAGGAACACATTTTGCTTCCAAAGGCTAGGATCAGCAAGTTAAGCAATAAAAGAGACAGCCGGTAGGCAATTACAGATAAAAAAATAACCAGGTTTCCTTGGTCAACACACTACTTATATCCACATCCAGTGATATTGTCCATTGTTTAGCTTTTATGGTTTTACAGCTTGGACTTCCATGGAAACAAAGGCAGGCAACTTTACCAGAATCCTATAGAAGCAGAAGAATTTAGCTCTCAATTTTCATCACATATATATTACATATATGTATTTTAGCCAAGACCTATTGAAAATTTGAAGATGCAAACTTATCTTTTTTTCTTTACACCCAGATGAGGCTGATATAACTTTTAATCAGAAAGTGAAATGAGGTCATTTGTACAGTTTAGCATGCAAAATCAGGCTTCCTATTGATGTCTAATAGTACAGGCACGTGTACATTATTTTGACTTGCTTGTAAACAATACTGCGTTTGCATAGATTTGCATTCTAGAAAGCAAACAATAATCACAATGCACACAGCACAATCACTTTCAATATAATAGATCAGCCCATCTTTTAAAGTCACTGCCATGTTCACCAATCCCGAGCGTGAACGGATGGAATAAAGCCTGATGGGAGTATACCTGCAGCTTTGAGAAGTGCTGTTAGCTTAGTAGAATCTCTGCCAACTGCAATATGAAGTGGTGTATTTCCATCGAATGTAGTACAATTCACATCGGCATCACCCTGGGAGAATATAGACAATGTTAAAGTAAAGACACATGAAAAAATTTACAATAACTGATATAAATCTGAACGGATGATATAGCAAGGAATAGGCATGAAATTTGTAATATGTATGTCATAATTATTTTTATATGATGAGTTACTAAATGGACATTGTATGGAAAGGAGATCTATAGAATTTATATTTATTTTATTAAAAATCAAATTTGAATGCAAGGGTGATAACAGAGAGAAACAAAGGAGATAATAGAAATAATATCATTGGTAAAAGGCAGAGAAGGAAATAATTATATGAAATGATAACTGAGACAGTATTATGGACTGGGGCAAGCCCATAATGAATGGAAATAGTGAACAAAACAGCCCCACAAATTTATTTTCCCAATACCGTATTCCAAAATAAAGCCATCCAAAAGCTGAAATCTGAACAAAATGTAACTAATGCACTGACTAAATGCACATTATGTGCACAACATTGGCTAAGTAACCCAAAAATCAATTGCATAACAAAGTACATATTCAGTTGACTCTCTTAGTGACAAAAATCTCTGTGTTGACATGAGGAAGGAAGTGTCTACAATAAACAATGCATTGTGGGTAGTTACCTGCTGTGCCTGTGCCAACTAAAGGGGAGTCACATATATAACATGGTAATCACTAAAACCTTCAATACTTAATTATCAAATAAAAGAGATGGAGTTACAAAAGAAACAAGTGAAATAATCAAAATTGGCCCACACTTTGTGCATGAAAGGATGACAACAAGAGAGAAAAAATATGAGTGTATATTTAATGGCACTTATTTCTACTTTAGGTGACTTAAGTTTTGGAAGCCGTAGCACTTTGTAGGAACTCCCAATAAGACCCACTGACATATGTATGGACAAAAAAATTACCACAATGTTTAGGAGATACACTGGAGGGCAGAAAGGCACATTTGTGAGTACGTTCAGAGTCATATCATTCAAAAGGCTCTAAACACTGTGCTGTGAGCATATATCTACCATACGCTTATAAATAACTTATTAGTGTTTACTCTGTTGCACTATTGTATTCTTTCTCTCTCTTTCTTTTATATGTATATGAGAGTATACAACCCTAAGTTTATACATAGTGTAAGTCCTTTATAAGCGCTGCACGTTCACTTTGATTTTCTTAGGTGGTGGTGTATCACCTAAACATTGTGGTATTTTTTTGTCCATACGGATGACAACTAGACCCTAGTATCCTAGGAGAAGCCATTATATTTTTCGTTCCATGTTGATTTGCTTGCAGTGGAATTTAAATTTATTTCTCTATGGAAGTCCACTCCTTTCCCAGTCCCCTAAAGTTTGTATTGTAGCTTAATCAAAATAACAGACAAGGAATTTTCCAGGCACCCTGAGCTTCAATACTATTTTATAAAACCAAGCATTGCCCATGGCTATCCACTGAATCTCAATAATGTATAGGACCAGAGAGTGTGTTGACATCAATGTTCCGGTTCCTAAATTTTCCTTGATCACAGTAACAATCATGTTCACAATCGCCAAGTGACAAAAAAAAAAAAAACATTTTAAATAATTAAATATTCTCTCCACTGGTCAAAGCTGGTCAAGCGGAGGAAACCTCTATAAGGCAAAGAGTCCCTACTTTGACTTATGATTTTAAAGAAAACTAAAGAAGACAGGAAGAAAAGAAGAACAGATCCTGAGAGGGGGGAGAATTGAGGAAAGGTAAGTTCGGCATGACAGTGCCGCTTTAAGGAAAAAGTAATTAGTACATTAAAAGTGAGCTCACCTCTAGAAGAAGACAACCTGCCAAGGAGATGTTGTCTAATTCCACAGCTAGATGCAGAGGGCTTCTTCCTGCTTTTCCCTCCTGAATATTAACATTAGCTCCTGCTTCTATCATTTCTCGGAGACAGGGCATGCTATTTGCTATCACTGCAACGTGGATTGCACTCAGACCTAATGACAAAATGTGTAAACTGTTATGTGAAGGTAGTTTTAGCAGTAAATCACACAAGAATAAAAATAAACACCATACAGTGCAGCTGATGTGATTAAAGTACACTCTAGTACTGTTACGAATACAAAAATAAGTACAAAGCCAAATATGATTTATGGACATACAACATGTAGGGCAGCAAAGGTTACGTACCATCACTGTTTGGAAGGTCAATGATCTTGCATATTTTCTTGTGTTTAAGAAGAACGCCTAGTGTCTTATCATCTCCTTCTTTACAGGCAAGGTGCAGGATGGAATTCCCGTGACGGTCCAATAGTAATGGGTCACCTCCTGCTTGCAGAATATCCTGTACTGTATCAGTTTGATGAGTGACAACAGCTAGGTGTAAAGGTGTCTACAAAATGTGAAAGGAAAGCAGTAATTAACTGTCTTGGCCCAATTACTATAATAGGACACTAAGACTCCATTTATTTATTATTTTAATGTCACAAGCATTTATTTTTCTTGCCAATCCTTTTTCTTAATATCTACTATCACCTATTATTGCTAAAACAGCAAATTCAGTTTGGTGGGAATGGCCATCTTAAATGTGAATGCCTATTTACGAAAGCAGTAATTACGATGATTTAGACAGGAATTTGTAAAAAGCTAATTTTTTTACTTGCAAAATGCTGATTTGTAAATAACAATGTAGAGTAAGTAGTAATATTGCTTATACTCATTTTTTGTAAATCAAATTCATTCATGTAAAATCAAATTTATATTTTTAAATGAAAATATTAATAATTACCAAAAAACTGCATAACAAAGTATTGTGGTTAATGACTTTAGTATTGTGTTTAATTACTTTAGTTTTGTTTATGTTAACCACCCAATCCGCATGAGGTTATATTACCACTCTCCATTTTGGAAACTCATCTTACAATGACTTACTGGATCAATTAGAAGCACCTACCACCAAGCATAGATCACATAATCTTGTACATAATAAAACTATACGTGCACTGTTTTAAAATGAAATGTGAAAATCTTAACAGTTATTCTCAAGAATCAAATATTCCTCAGATTTAAATTTTTTTAGTTATCCCTGGGCATCTACAATAGTTGGTAACGCTAGCCTGTAAGCTAGTGAGCAATTTGAAATATTTCTGTGCAAATTAACCTCCTACACTACAAATCCCCGGGCCAAGAATTGGGCAATCAAAATGTAAGCGTTTTTCTTAAAGCATTAAAAATAAGTAGTCTTTGTGGGGACTAAGTTTGTAAAAATATTATTAGGTTTTTCTCCTAGTCCACATAAAACCTATAACAAATCCCTTTAAACGCAGCCATCATGACATTTATATTAAACGGGTCTTGTCCCAGAGACATCCTACATAAACTATTGGAAATAAAGCTGCATTCTTTGCAGATGTAATATATTTAACGTACAGTCAGCAGGAAAGCATTAAACCATTAAGATTAATAACAAACAGTAAAAATAATAAAACTATTTTACTTCATAATGTGTTACAACATACCTGACAGAGGTTATTCCTTTCATTGATTATATCTTCACATATAACACCAGATGTCACATCCAAGAACATCTTAGTCAGTACATGATGGAGGTGAATAATAGATAAATGGAGAACACTGAAATCACCACAAACAGTAATATAAATAAATATATGCATTATATGTGTTACAGATATAACCACAAGTACCAGCATAAATATACTACTATTTTCCAAAACTATACAGGTATACAGCTGTATAAAGGACATATGTACTTTAAAGTGTACCTCGCATGGCACATACAACCTGTGTTTACATTAAATAGCATTACATTTCATTTTTATACTAACAAATGTGCTGGTAAATTTTTATGTAATATTATTTAAAGTTTTGGTCCTTTGCTCCATCAATCAGTCCTTGGCATTAGCTCTTTATGCTGGTGGTGGTGGCACAGACGGTATATTCTATACTCTGCTCTTAGTCATTGTGTTACACTCATTGCAAGTATTACTCATGCTTGCTATTGATGTAATTGACACTCTAACTCCGATGTGCTGGCAGTGAAGCCAATGTCAGCATCATCAGCGGAGTAAATTGAAGCAGAGTGGGGTCAGAAAGGGTGGGTGTTGCAACAGTTGAAAAGCCATAGAACGCTAAATGTCAACGCTAGAGCCAAGGGCAGCCAATAAATTCGGTATTAAAAGCTTTTATATTTTTAAAAGAACCTGGCAGGATGGGCTTTCTTTAAACCTAATTAATCTACTCTAGTACTGCTATGTATCCTTTTTTTTCCCCTTTAAGTCCTGGTATAGATTTATATAGATAATAATTTCTTGGGGATATTGGTCCCTATCAACTCAATAGCCATGCTCATTCTCTAGCTACACATTGTTGTTTGCAACCTGGTCCCATAACTGCTCTGCTGGAATAAGATCTGGAGACTGAGCAAGTCCCTGGAGTAAACTAAAGTAATTGTCATGCATGAAAGAATGTTTGTTTTGTACCGGGATGCTTTTTTACTACTGGAAGTAATGCTTTTCAAAATTGATAGACCTTAAAAAATCTACGTCAAACATAATTAAGTAAGCTGTGGCACAAAGATATTAAGGAACCAACATATTCCCTCCACCATTGCACCACCAAACTGTATCAACTCGGCTTGATAGACCCACAAACTCCCCTAGTTTACCACACATTCTAACATCATCTGATCAGTTTTTGGAATGTTTTTAGACTAAAGCACACTTTAACGAGAGAACAATCTACAAGGCATACCTACTTTCTTTTTTTCAACTTTCACTCATGTTTTTTAAATGTCACATTTACCTGCAATCCTCTTAGAGAGGTATGCAATATGTTCAGTATTTTCTTTGTTTACACCTGGGACAAACAATGACCTCTTGTCTCAAAAGCACTGCCATCAGCCAGCCTGAAGGTGCTCTGAACTATTGCCAACAGTAGGTCTGATGTGAATAATATGAACATTTTGCAGGATAACATAATTATTTCTGTACAGCATAGGATTCAATTATCCTTTTAATGTTCTATGAGTGGGAGTGGGGGTTCTGGGGTGAATAACGTTTTACTTTTGCATTTGGAACTTAATGCTTAAACCTTAGTCAACATTTGCCAAGTTCCTACATCATAAAAAGCAAGTTTTAAAGAGTCCAATGTACTTTTAAATTAGCACATTTATAAACGAAAGAGTATGTCAAAACAGCACAAGATATACAGCTCGGAGGCTGTAAAAAAAAAATACATATTCACCTACATTCTTCCAAAGTGTGCAATGCATTTCCCCAAGGCATTTATTCTAGTACATTACTACGAAAAATAAACGACACTCACTTGTCCCCGTTCTCATCTTGAGCTGCAGCTAGATGGCGCTGTACATTTAGTAATATCCTCACGTCCCCTGTTGCAGCATAGTTGAAAAGGGAAGCTGCATGATGTTTGGCTAGTTGCAGTGCCTTACCCAGGAAATGGCAATCTGTAACACAGTTTAGCACAGAAAACAGTCACAATAAATGTCACTGAAGGATGAGTGGGGATTGCTAACACAAGTCCAATGAAGAGAGTTAATAAACAACCAACATGACTGTTCGTGTGTGAAGAGGTCAGAAGTCTGGTCACTGAGCAGAAATAGAAACGAGCTCTATTCTACCACTTTATCAGGTTTTCCAATTTTGTATCTTCACTGACAGCGGTTAATTAGAGCAACCTATCCTGAGTCTCAGGAACCTAGGGAAGTCACCTGTCATATATGTTTCTTCTCTGGGTTGAAAAAGCATCATACTAGATCTTTACAATACTGTAACGTTTATAAGGTTTAGTGATATTTATATAAAGTCTGTAACTTATATTTTGTTTATGCAATGTAAGGAAAATACATCTGTAGCTCATAGAGACACTTCACTGGGTATTATACATTAAATGCTCAGCTGACAAACTTCCTGAAAATGATCCCTTAAAGGGATGTACTTATGTCCCCTCAACCATAACCTTCCAAATGTGTCAAGATGCTAATTTGAATTTGTATTAAATTGACCAGCACCTTCATGTCACTGTCCCTTATTGACAGTGTCAGGTTCCTCATTCTTTGATTATATAAGCCCACCACCTACTCCTAAACCTACATCATAGGTCCGTTTCTGTACCTCACATCCTTAAAATACCCCAAGTAGCAATGGTGCATGTAATTATAAACAGTATTATAATATGATGCAGCAGTTTTTGTTTTTAATGTCGTGCATTTTTTCTTGTATGGACATTTAAATGTTTACTGCAGCACAATTCAATTTACAGATGTTCCCTTTTTGTATGAGACGAGGAGGGTCAATCCATGGGTTTTTATGGGTTTGTTTTGGAATACTGCGCATCTATCATTATCATTATGTAAAAAAAAAAAAAGGACTGTGTATGTATATATTTTGGTTTCCCTTTAATGCATAGGTGTACAAAGTTTTGTGCCACCACACAACTTCATATATAGCAATAGTCTTTTACAAATAAAGTATTGAGCGCTTGATTACCCCCTATACAAATGACATTAATGAACTTCACTATGGTTCCTTGGACAAAATTTTTTTTTGGTACTTTCTTGGGGAGACCTGCCTGCTCAAAAAAAACTAGGTCTCAATGTGTTTAGGTTAGTTCAATGTATCATACTGCCAATAACACATCACCAAAATTAACTCTTGGTTAAAGAAATCTAATGACATATCATTTTCATTGTGTAGATATAACTTGAGGGAACATTACAACCTTCAGTATATGGAGGTACATGGACATAATTACTGTCCATCTATCAACACACAGGTCTACCATTATGTAGACCTTATATATATATATATATTATATTACCAAAGATAACCCTTACAGTTACAAGATTTTAGAATTTTCTTGGTACATTGGTAATTGTGCAGATTAACTCACAAGGGTTTTGTACTTACTGACAAATTTACAGGAAGCCTCTTGTTCTCTTCCATGAGCGTCATGCCTGCCATCTTCCCCTTCTTGAGGTTTAGGACAGTCACAGGCACCTAAATTCTGTGTGTTCTGGGTAGCTTCAAACACTTGCTGGTCCATTTCACAGTTAGGCCACATAGCTAGAAACACACACATAAATTGATTAGCACCAGGGGTTGAGTTTTCATAAAACTTTAGATGTATGGAATGACTAAATACTAATCCATCAATTTCTGACAATGCATCTCCCCAAATACTTCAGCCCTTATCCCATCTCCATGAGTCCCTTCCACCACTTACCAGCTATATATTATTATGTAATTTGTTTTTGAAGGACATTGGTCAGAAGGCAGCAGGGTATGTTGTTAGGATTACCCAAGTGTAATCTGACTACCTGGAGTATAGCGCCAGCTCAGAACATGCCATATGTTCTCCGGCAAATTTACTGATAGTTTGGTGCTGCTGGGATTGTAGATCAGTGCAGTGTTGAACTGTATGCTCACCATGCTTTGTCCCTGCATTGGAGTTCATGGTGCCACCATGAAAATTCATTCCTCCATAATTATTATAGTTGTATGAAGTGTAACCATAACCTAAAGAAAGACAAAACAGAATAAGTTTATTAAAGCACAGAAGCTTTTTCCTCTGGCTGAATTAGAAAAAACAGGCAATCTTACATATAATGTTTATATGAAATACATAATACAAATTCATGATATGAGGTCCCAAGAAACAAATGCTCATTTCACACTTGGAATTGTGATAGTCCACATTTAGCTGGTTTAAATTACTGGTCAGAATTGCAACATGCTTCTAACACAGTCATGTAGAAAAATGGCCTTCCTAAATAGTTGTTTAAATGGTTAAATAACCCTAGAAGGAAAAGTTGGGTAACCTGTTGGTAAAATAACTCCCACCATCATCACTTCAAGAATGGATCACTAATGTGGAATATATCCAATCAATCAGAGATATTAAACTATAACAGCCACAGCAGCTCACAAACGTAGAAATATCTACAACCTCTATCTTTTAAAGTTAAAATCCATGTCTCTTACACCCTTAATCCACATTTATGCCGGTTTATAACACCCGCCAAACTTTCAGCATATACCTGACAAACTTGGTCTCCACAGCATCCCCAGTGCATTGTAAATGCAGTTTAGACATTCCACTTGTATGGGTTTTTTCTGTATATTTTATTCTTGTTCATTCTGCTTTTTTTGTACTAAGGGACATATTTTGGGAAAACCTTATATAAATCGCTCTGCCCAGTAATGACCTGATGAATATGTAATTTGCTACGATGAAACTACCATTGAGTCAATATATCATATATATATAAGTCCTGGTAATGAAAATAAACCTTTAATTTAACATTTGTTTTGCTTGTGTGGGAATTCCCCTTTAAACTGGAGCATTTAGATATTTTTATTATGGCATAACTTGGCAGCTAATAAGGTAAGTGTGCCGTTAGCTGTAGTACTTAACAGAATGAGGGAATGAAGAAAGAATACTTGCATAAAATTGACAGTTCTGCTTTAAATTGTAATGTCATGATAAAGCCAAAGGCTAAAGTTTTTTTTGTTAGGTTTTTTTTAAAAGATTTTTTAACGCAAGAATAGGCATAACTATGACAAGAAGAAGTGAAGAAAAATGACATTGCAGATATCATAAATATCAATATCACCAAAACAGGTAACAAGTTGTTAGAGTGACTTTTATCCTACTCCTCGAAATGCATTGCTTAAAGCGGGAGTGCCCAAAAGGTAGATCCCTAGATGTGGTGGAACTACAACTACCATGATGCTTTGAATGCATGTAGAATGTGTTTAGAATGACAAAGCATCATGGATGCTCTACTTTAAAATATTTGGGGATCTACCTTTTGGGCAAACCTGGTCCAAAGCTATGCTGTTTAAGTCCTCTGGAAAGGAAAGCCAGGGCTGTTACTTCCCAGCCCTCATACCAAGGCATACTGTGACGTCACACGTGCATGCTCAGTGCTATTAAAGTGCATGTTTACTGCCATCATGGCCTGTCATAGAGAATCCTTACATGCAATGATTCTCTACAATAGAATCATAAGCGCATCAAGGTGCATGCACCTATGGCCCACAATGTTTCTCTATGAAGAGCATTGGACTGGACCGTCATGCTGGATGTACGCCTTTAGGATGACATCTCGAAGGAGAAGAACAGCTGGTAGAATCAAAGAAGATTCGGCACTAGAGATCAGGTGAGTAAATCATGTTTTTTGTGTTTTTTTCATTATACTGCACACTGGGTGGCCCAAAAACTAACAAGTGAAAGGTTTTGTATAGCTTTAGGAAAACAAATGTACATATTTGTATCCCTAACACTTTAGTGTCCCTTTAATTTAACTCATTAAGTGTCATAACGAGCTATCAAGAAAATGTTTAAAAGTGGAACATGAGAGAAGGATGAGGTGTGTTATATAAGGAGATGTACAAAATGTGTATAATTCAACACAATATACGATACAAAACTATATTACAATCTATACGACAGTAACATAATCAGTGATCACACAATATGTAACAAATAAAATTGCTTCAAGCATGTCAGAAATGTAATTTCCACTGTAGACAATGAAATCTGGATAAGCAATTTAGTTACCGGCTCAAAGAATTTATCAACGAATGCAATAACTCAACATAACATATTGCATTAAAATTTAATATTCTTCCCCATAATAGGACGGGGTATCACGTTGCAATAAATCCTGCAATGAAGAAGCAAAAATCACATGTATTCTTGTACTTTTAAACAGGAAAATAATCCACATTTGCTGCTTATACAAATGATCAATTACTTGTTTACACTACTTGTTTAGACAATCTAATAATAACCAACTATTTTCAGAAATGGTTGCAAACCAAATGTGTTTTTTCAAACCACTCCGCAAACTCTCTCAGCTTGGAATTGCACTCTGACAATATGAAAATGGATTTTAAAAATCGGTAATTTATCACATCTGCAAATTATCAATTTTTTTTGTCAATCTGTTTTTTATTGTTACAGAATTGAAATATATGAGTCATAGCAAGCATGTTCTTGACAGTAATGATAAAATGGATGAGACAGCGCTGGTCAACTTATAGGCAGCAACCTTAAAAGGGGATCCCTCTAAAACCCTTTAGAACAAGATAAATAGAAGTAACAGATAAGAAAGGCTGCGCCACATAAAATATTAAAAATATTAAAATTAAAAAGTCCAAGTAGTAAAAAGTCCAAATTGTATATCCTTACGAAAAAATCTTTTTGAGAGGCTGGTACTGTGGTACGTCTTCGAATATAGTGGTTCCACTTATATAGAAGATAAAAGAGAGAGGGACAACCAATAGTGCAATATGTATAGCTCAGATATTGATGTGATAAAAAAAGCAATGGTAGAGAACTCACATTTGCAAGAGCTTATGTCCAGCTCTAGGGTAAAGCGCGTACAGCGGTTTAATCCCCGCTTATAGGATATATGGTGGGTACCTCTCCGTCAGTGGTGTCCGGTTCTCAGGAAAGAAGAAAGAGCCAATAATGCTCACTGTATGGTATTGTTAGCATAAATTAAATAAAAACGTACTTACAAGTAGAGAGCAGGCGGACTGCTCTGTGGTATCAGCATAAGTGGATTGATCCCCACATAGGATTTCTTGGAATGTAGATAGCTTCCAAATATTATAAAACCAGAATGGATAAAAAATAATAATAAATAAGATAATAAAAAGCCAGGATAAAGGTAAAAAAAAAAAAGGAAAAAAAATTATATATGTAAAAAAGGTAATTGGCACAATCAAATGACCAAATATACTTTAATACAAAAATACACAATATATATAGAATATATATGGAAATTTTATATTGTGTATTTTTGTATTAAAGTATATTTGGACTTTATTTTTACTACTTGGACTTTTTAATTTTAATATTTTTTATATTTTATGTGGTGCAGCCTTTCTTATCTATTACTTCTATTTATCATGTTCTTGACAGTAGTTTAGTAAATATGCATACAGAGCTAAACGCCGAAATATACAGCCTCTTTTTTTTGTGTGTGTGTGTGTAAAGCAAGATTCAAACAGGTTAAGTAATATACATCTAAGCATACAACAGTCTATACTGTCTCAGGCGAATTGGGTTATGGGGAGAGAAGGTGCAATAGATGCTGTGATGATAGATAGGAGATAACTGCTCCATTTTTAAGATAATACACTGCTTAAAGGAAAATGTTGCTCATAAAACATGAAAAGGTATAGCATGGTATAAGTGTGCAGAAGAATGAGAACGTAAGTAAGATCTAGACACATGCAGAGAAGAACTAATTCAATGCATCTCTATGAGGAGATGCTGATTGGCCAGGGTTGTGTTTGACTTTTGCTGGCTCTGCCTCTGATCTGCCTCCTTGACAGTCTCAGCCAATTCTATGGTAAAGCATTGTGAATGGTTTCCAGAATCACGTCTAATGAGGTCAGCCAAGCAGGCAGATCAGAGGCAGAGCCAGAAGCTGCAGACTTGAATACAAGTGAGATTTTACTATATTTAGGAAGGCAAAAGAGGGCCAGGGGGAACTAGATGGTGGTTTTAACACTATGGGGTCAGGAATATATGTTTTAGTCCCTGACTCTATAGTGTTCCTAAAATAATTATTGCATATTTTTCATCTGAGATGCAGGCAGAGATTTTAAATATATTGACTATTTTCCCCAAAAGGAATAAATTATTTGAAATGTTGAATCTGATAATTTTCATACCTACACCTGGAATGATCTTTTCCTTGGGGTCCTTTACTTAACCGCAGCCAAGTAGCACTATCAATAAACAGCTTTTTCTATACAGCAGGTATGGGGGTCAAATAGTCAAATTTACAGCTTACAAATCCATTCCAGACTGCAGTCTGACTGCATGTAGCTGCATGTTGTATTAAATTTAGTAATAGAATAGGAGACATATGCCAATTGCACGTTCATGGAAAGCCACATTTCACTGCAGCTGGAGAAAGCTCCCACTTTATGGCTATTTATATTGAGCACACTTCCTGAAGGCAGCACAAGCTGAAACATGAAACTGATGAGAACACAAAGGAGTGGGTTCATTACTAGACATCTCCATGTCCCTGACAGGTAGTCAGCTACCAGCAACATTTAATGTGATGAAAAACAGTCAAACCTCACTTTGCTTAACATAATCGAAATTCTGTTTGAATTCATGTCTGTTAGTAAAAGATACACTGACATTGACTCTTATTCTGCATGTTTTCTGATTTATTAGTGTAAAAAAGAAAACCATAATTAGTGAATTAGCTTTCATTGAATGAACCGTTTTACTGCCAAGTGATTTACAGATGTACATTGAACTTTCTAAAAAAAATACAACTGACTTTTTGACAAGTATATTTTCATAACGGTATTTGTTAACTTGCCTTCATTTTTGTCTTGCATAACATTTGTTTCCCTAAGTATATCTCTTTGTGATTTTACCATGTAGTGCTTTAGGCATTGTTCTGTATTGTGTTACATGTGAAATTTGTTGTAAGTATGCCATTATAGGCTATGCGGATTAAACAGTGCCTGCACAGTGCTGTTTAATCCGCATAACCTATAGTGGCATATTTACAACAAATTTCAGATGTAACACTATATGTCCTCCAATATTTCTGTCTACCATTTAAATCCATTTCCACACCAATCATTTTGATTTTATCTTTGCCAGATGTCTGTTAACTCATAATGATCGTTAGAAAAACCTGTGTGGCAAAAAAAACCTTCAACACTATCCTCTGATAGAAAGTTACTAACTAGAGTATGCTCACTGTCACTCCATGCAGAAAAAAATAATATGTTGTATAAAGTGGCTTGTATATTTCTGTCTACACCATACCAATAATCAATGGTATTTGAAACATCAGGGCTGTATAAGAGGTACAATGCATATTGGCAGAGAATCTTAGGGACCAGAGTGTTGTGATGGCATGCAATGTCATTAGTCCTTAGCGAGTAAACATAAAATTAGCTTTTTAATTTAACCTTAGTCTGTGAAGTGCTACTGAGAGTCTATAGGACTGTGGATTTGGATATTTTAATAATATTTTAAATTACACAATTGTTAACCCCTTAAGGACTGAGCCAAATGTACACGTTGTGATCAAAACAAAACGTAAACAAAAACTTGAATTTGCGCTATGTCTGTTCAGGCGTAATTCACCTCTTTCATATTATGTGCACCCACACTTATTATATATCATTTTATTCAGGGGAAACAGGGCTTTCATTTAATAGATATAAAACATAATTTAATATGAACAAAATGAAAATAAAATGGGAGAAAATAAGAATTTTAAAAAAATGTTTAGTTCTACGTGACTTTCTAACTGTGAATGTCAAAACACTGTTTGCTTTTACTGCAATAAAATTCACATATTTGTATTCAGTGATGTCTCACATGTAAAAGAGTACCCCCTATGTACAGGTTTTATGGTGTTTTGGGAAGTTACAGGGTCAAATATAGCATGTTACATTTTTCAGTTTTTTCACATTGAAATTTGCCAGATTGGTTACGTTGCCTTTGAGACCGTATGGTAGCCCAGGAATGAGAATTACCCCCATGATGGCATACCATTTGCAAACGTAGACAACCCAAGGTATTGCAAATGGGGTATGCCCAGTCGTTTTTAGTAGCCACTTGGTCACAAACACTGGCCAAAGTTAATGTTAATATTTGAAAATGCAAAAAACTAGTTTGAACGTCAATTTTGGCCAGTGTTTGTGACTAAGTGGCTACTAAAAAAGACGGACATACCCCACTGGCAATACCTTGGGTTGTATTCTTTTGCAAATGGTATGCCATTATGTGGGTAATTCTCATTCCTGGGCTACCGTACGGTCTCAAATGCAACGTAACCAATCTGGCAAATTTCAATGTGAAAAAACTGAAACGCAAGTCTTATATTTGACTCTCTACCTTTTGAAAACACCATAAAACCTGTACATGAGGGGTACTGTTATCTTCGGGAGACTTCGCTGAACACAAATATTAGTGTTTCAAAACCGTAAAATGTATCACAACAATTATATTGTCCGTGTAAGTGCCATTTGTGTGTGAAAAATGCAAAAAAATTCACTTTCACTGACAATATCGTCGTTGTAATACATGTTACTGTTTCGAAACACTAATATTTGTGTTCAGCGAAGTCTTCCGAGTAAAACAGTACCCCTATGTACATGTTTTATGGTGTCTTGGAAAGTTACAGGGTTAAATATAGTGCTAGCAAATTAAATTCCCTGGATTTTTGGCCTGGGTTGTCAGGTTGGTCCTGCTAAATGTAATTAATAAAATTACCCAATTATGTAAAATTATTACATATATATATACGTAGAATTACGTTGGGTTGTCCTGTTGTCTCTGACCCTGAGGAAGGTCCCGATCGGGGACCAAAACGTTGGTCATCATTTTTAAATTTTTTCAATAAAACTTTTGATTTTAAGTCCGGAGAGCAGCCTTTTCTTGTTGGATGTTATACCTATTGGAGCTTTGGTGGTGCGCCCGGCATTTGGAATACTTCAAGCGTGAGTGCAGGGGATGTTGATATTCTTTTTATATATATATGTGTGTGTATATAAATATATGTGTATATATATATGTATATAATTTTTAATAGGTATATATATAGTGATATATACGTATATACTTATGTATATAGATATATTTATTATTTAGTTCTACATGTATTTTGATATCAATATATATATATTAATTTTAAAATACAGTTAGAACTAATTTACACATCTATTTTTTTTATTTATACATTTTTTATAATTTTTTTCATTTAATTTTTTAACGTATTTACAGATTTATTTATTTTATATTATATTTAAATATATATATAATGAAAATTACAGGCACTCCCCCTGCTGGCAATGCCTTGGACGTCTATGCCGTCCATGTGATCCTCGCAAAGACCTCACGATCACATGGCCCAGGGGGGCCGAAGAAGATGGAGGGGGACTCCCTGGGCTCCCAGCTGAGTCCCCATACCGCGATTGCCAGGTGTGGGATCGCCGGTGACCGGGTAAGTAGAAAGGACGGTTTGGGCGTCGGTTCCTTAAGGACGGCATAGAACGCCTGCTGTCCTTAAGGGGTTAAAGAACCATTGATATTTTAATATAAATAACATTTATGTAAAGAAACAAATATATATGTTTGAAGGCCATTTTTCCTTAATTTGTGGGAGGAGTTATGATCCCTATTTAAACTCCTTCCCCCCTACTTACCTTTGTCATGGAAGCTGTTTGTCCCTACCCACCTACACCCATCTATATTTACAATTTACCTTTGTGGGCCCTCTTTTCATTACAGGCCTACTCGTCCGTTGGTTTCGGCACACCTTAACCAACTTTGCTTCTCCTTCTACATTCCATTACGTATTAGATATATAAACATAATCTTGCACACAAGGGTTTCAATAATACTTGGCCTGGTGCAACGTTTAGCAGATAATCCACATTACATAAAAACGGCACGCTGGAGAGTTCTTGTTAAAGAACATAAATTACAGTTTTTTTTAGTCAATGTTTCAGTTTGACAGCGCAAACGTTCTTTGCACTATCAAACTGAAACTTTGACTACATAAATAGTAATTTGTGCTCTTTACCAAGAAGTCTCTAGAGTGCTGTTTTTATGTAATGTGTGCATATCTATATATGTCACAAAATTATTTAATTTGCCTGTGATTTGAAGTGTTTGTTTAACTTACCTCCCCCTATTCCTGAGCATCCTGGCCCACTTCCATATAAACCACCACCTCCTCCAGAGCCCGCACCACTGCCACCACCAAATCCATCAGAGAAATTAGGCATGAGCTTCTGCCGCTTTCTCATTACTTCTTCCTTATCTAATGAAAGTAAATGTATCAGTTATGTAAAGACAAAAAAACATGCAAATGCCAGGAGAGAACCTGGATTAACATATTACATATTTTAAGGGGCACAATTTCAAGAAAGAAAATGCTATGCCTATTGATAAATGTTGTATATCACAATGTGAAAGAATGCTTAGTTAATAAGGCAAAACGAATAGCTAAAAAGATTGAAAACCAGGGCTATCTTATTGTCCCTCATGTCACCCACTAGTATGACCACAAACACAAGTGTCATGTCAAGGCTAACACAGGGCAGAAGAAGTGCACTGAGCACAGCATAATACACGAGAACTGCAGCAGTAATACCAGTGGTAATTTAAACAAGTACAATATACATTTTTACCTTTAATTTCTGGATAATAAAGAAATGGTTTGGGTTCACTTGTTTCGTAATCTGATTTCCTCCGAAGCTGGACAAACACAGATGTCGACTTTGTGATATTCACATCTCTGTACTTTGGGGTTTTGAAAACGATGGCAAACTAAAATTAGAATGAAATATTTCATATTATTAAATAAATGCATGATATTATTAAAGTATTCTGAACAATTATACAGTTCTCATTACATAAGCATTTAATAATGGCAAATAAAAATATCACAAGTTTTGTGGAGGGAATATGTATTTGTGTGTTTTGTGTTGTAGCTTTGTAAGTGTTGAATTTTTTATGATAATGATAAATTGAAGATATATTGTCTGAAATGTCTACACATAACAAAATTATATATATTGCTCCAAAATGCATACCACAACTGCTCATGGGTGTCATTCAATGTTTCCCTATTTCCATAATTAAAAGTGCACTCCAACCACTCTAATTACTTTTTCTCCTAGTATAGGTTATGATTCAAGAAGCTCCTCTGTCCTGCATCACTTTAATCTGTTCATTATAACACCTGTCATTTACAAAAATTGCTGCAGCAAAAACCGTATTTCACTCACTGTGTAAAACTGCAGCTTTTGTCTGGCTCCTAAACCCAGAGAACTTATATAGCTTTTTGAGAGTTTAGCAGGTGTGTATAGGCTGCAGTGAAGTGTTTATTAGCTTGTTAATTTGTTTTATTCATGTCTTTTTATGAATGAAACCACTGATTTGTGATGAACTACACAACCCAGACAGCTAAACAGCTAAACAAATAGCCATAGAATACCATTTTACAACCACATACACTTTACACTAAAACCAGAAATCTGTTTGAAAGCACTCCTGGATGCTATTAGATAATTAACATCAACAGCAAACGGTTAATTGTAGAAATTTAGACATAGTTTGTGCTTATAAATTATCCTATGCAGGGCATAATCATAATCCAATAGTACATACCTGTCTGTGGACATCAGTAGGAGAGAAGTCACCAAAGCCCTCCCACAGTCCTCCACTCTCGTCCTCTTCATAGAAACGGATTTGGATATCATCTGCAACAACCAAATGAAAGAGTTATGGCTTTCGTCCACTCAAAGCACCATAACCATTATCTCTCTTTGTAGTATAGGGAGACCAGTCTTGAGGCCATCAAATTGTAGACAGCAATGATAGGCTGAGAGCACTGGGTTAACATGTTTAACCGAACTGCAGCAAAGGAACCCATCTTTATTCATTGAGAGAGTCTTATTTGGCACTGCCAGATCACACCATGCAAATCCATTTAACCTTTGTGATGCAGTTTGTGTGTGCACATATGGCACTATGGAAGGAATGCCTAAGTTTGCATGTGCCACATAGCATTCCTCTACAGATGACAGGGTACCCATAGCGCCATGGAGCAATGATATGGCCTTAAGAACAGAAGTACTGAAGAGGTAAGTGTATGTTTCTATTTACATTCACTATACTACTTAATTTGGAGGACCAAATAGTAATTACTGGTATGTGAAAATGGGAACTGTCACTTTAAAGGAACCACACATAACACAACTCTAATTAGATTTTTTGCCAGTCATGTTACCTAGTGAGGCATGACTCAACATACACGTCAGCAATAAATGTAGTCCATTTGTGCTTCAAAACTAGCCTTGAGAGTTCAAAAGCTCTCTAACAACCACTTAAAGCAGATCATGCATGGTATTTAAAAAAAAACAAAAAAAAAAACATGCTAGGATTCCAAAGTGAACCTGAGAATGCTTGGCATGAATCCAAGTGCCTGGATAAAATCAGGTAATTTTACATTTAAAATTTGCAGACTGTAGATTCCCTGTAAAAACTTACCTGGATGATATACAGCAGCACTGTACAAAATTAATGCTGTTATTTTATTATTTCAATAAGTAAACAAACCTTTCTGAACTTTATCACACAGAAGATAGACCTCTTCCCCTCCAGTCACGCAGCCTGATGTCCTATCCATTCGGACAATTTTCAGATTTGATGCATTTGGGGCCTCTGTTATAGGAAAACGAAAGGGAAACTACTTCACTTTCACTTTCTAAACTAAATTATCATTTCTGAACTAGATCATCATTTGCTCACCAAAACCTTTTCTTTATATAGGTTTCTATGATATTATTAAAACAATTTATTTAGTATAAACATCTTTAAGTGGCTAAAGTGTGATGACTTTCTAAAGAAAATGGTATTTTCATTCTGAGTTGTATCTTATCTGTTTTCTAATAAGTGTCTTCAGTAAGGCAGGAAATCAACGTGATATACCATGTGCACTTGCTTCTTAGATTGGCCTTTGTGAATTATCTGCAGTGTTGGAGACAGCACTCTGTAATAGGTTGCTGGGTACAATGTCCAAGAGTCACAAAGTAAAATAATAAAAGTCACAAAACACCAGTCATAGTGTAAAGAGAAATTAAATATTCCAACAATGTGGAACCAGCAGCTTTTAAACCAGGCCCGGACTGGTCATCGGGCAAACCGGGCAAATGCCCGGTGGGCTGCGATGGTCATGGGCCAAGGCTGACATGGGAGATGGGGCTGGTGCTGGTGCCACCTGGCTTCTGGCCCATAGAGGGAGCTCTGTGCGGTGGGGAGATCAAATATCTCTCTCACCAGCCTGCACACTGATGCACAGCGCAGTTACTGTCACCTACACCTGTCAAGGGGTGTAGATCAGATGCTTCTTCCACTGTACCACGAGGGAAAATAATTCATCCCCAGCATCCTCTCCTGCCAAGGATCAAGGTAAGGAAAAGGGATGGGGGAGTATGTAAGTTTTGGTTTTTTTTGCCCCTTGCCCCCCTTCCTCACCCCGCAGTCCCTGCTCCTCCCTCTTTTACACCCTGCAGCCCATGCACCTCTCTCACCCTGCAGTCCCTGTCCCCCTCTCACCCTGCAGCCCCTGTCCTCCTCTCACTATGCAGCCCCTGTACCCCTCTCACCCTGCAGCCCCTGCACCCCTCTCACCCTGCAGCCCCTGCCCCCTCTTACCCTGTAGCCAATGCCCCCCTCTCAACCTGCAGACAATGACCCACTCTCACCCTGCAGCCCATGCCCCCCTCTCACCATGCAGCCCCTTCCCCCTATAACCTTGCAGCCTATTTCAAATCACCACTGCTGATGACTTTCAATATTATGCAATTATTTAACTACAGTTGTCTTTATCAATATATCTATCTCTATATCTTCCAATGTCCTGTAGGAAGTATAGCTTTGTACCTGTTTAACATGGTTACAATGTCTTACCCATATTAATTAAATTCTGCTCAGCAACAAAAAGTTTTCTTTTCATTACATTTCTACAAATTACCATTGGGGTTTACAAAAATGATGTGAGAAATACACACATAATCCAGTGCACTTACTGCTATCAAATATGGGAACAGATATGACTGGTTCCAGGCGTCTGGTGTAGCTGCCATTGCTGTCTGGCAGGAAGGCTGTGAACATAAGCCGTACGACGCTGAGGTCTATATCCTTAGACTGCTGATAGGCTGCCTGGCGAATCAGGTCTCGCTCTCTGTCTGTTAACCAAAACAAAGCTTAATGAGGCAAAATCACACAGATAAATTAGGCAAATAAAGATGTTTATAGGCTCAGCTGAAAACATTATGTTGTATATTAAAGGGGCCCTCTAAGGGCCATACCCACTGCTGTGCACTAAAGAAATTTGGTGCCGAGATGTTGCAGTTGTTATGGTGACAGGTGTGTCCTGGCACCTTCCCAGTGTAAGTGGTCAACTAGCTTACCTGGGATGCTCCTCTCGACCTTCTGTCTTAGCTCAATGCAGAGAGCTTCCAGCTATTATGGAGGAGAAGATCAACACCTGCAGGCCCCCAGGTAAGCTGTCAAACTCTTCTTAAACAGTATGAATATCTACACTGGGATGATGCCAGTGCACTCCTGCACCATAATCATTGTAGTGGGAATTCATGGTTATGGTTATTTGAGTCTTCCATTAATATATTGAATATTGTTATTTATTACTTTTTGTCAATTGATCAAAGTGCTGAAATTCTTTGCATCACGATGGAATTCAAAGGGTTAAACCTTAAAGGGACACTCCAGGCACCCAGACCACTTCTGCCCATTGGAATGGTCTGGGTGCCAACTCCCACTACTCTTAACCCTGCAAGTGTAATTATTGCAGTTTTTTTATAAACTGCAATAATTACCTTGTAGGGTTAACTCCACCTCTAGTGGCTGTCTACTAGACAGCCACTAGAGGGTACTTCCTGGTTTCTAGCACAGGAAACCTGTGCTAGACCGTCGCTGGACGTCCTCACGCTGTGTGAGGACCTCCAGCGTTGCTCATTTCACCATAGGAAAGCATTGAAATGCATTTTCAATGCTTTCCTATAGGGAGCGCTAATGCGCATGTGTGGCATAGCCGTGCATGTGCATTAGGTCTCCCCGGCCGGTGGGCGGGATCAGTCTCGCCCACCGGCCGACCCAATCAGAGGGAGGAGAGGCGCGGAGGAAGAAGCAGCGACGAGGGACTCAGGTAAGTTACTGAAGGGGTTTTCACCCCTTCAGCAACCGGGGATTGGGGGGTGGGAGGGAGAGGGGACCTGCAGTGCCAGGAAAACAGATTGTTTTCCTGGCACTGGAGTTTCCCTTTAAGAACCCTGACAACTATTATTCTGAAAAATAAATTACCGCTGATTGTAGGCAATCCATGTGGGTTAAAGCCCTATGATTATTAAAGGAACACTATAGGGTCAGGAACACAAACATGTATTTCTGACCCGAAATCATACTTGAAACTGCTGCCTCTGCCCCTGATCCGCCTGCTGACATCATCAGGAGTGGTGGTCTGAACCAATCACAATGCTTCCCCATAGGCAGAGGCGTAACTAGAAACCACTGGCCCCCGATACGAAAATTGCCCTGGGCCCCCTCCATACTTCTCACATATAGACACAAATGCAGACAAACAGATACACATGTAGACACACATATACATACAAACACACACACATACAGATACACATACATGCATACACACACATACATACATGCAGACCCAAACATACATACATACAAAAACACACACATACAGACACACAAACATAAATACAAACACCCACACACACACACACATATACATACAGATCAGGGGCAGAGCCAGCACAAGTCAAACACAGCCCTGGCCAATCAGCCCCTTCATTGAATAAAACACACACATACATGCAGACACATACATATAAACACACACATACATATAGACACACATACATGCAGACACATATATACAAACACACACTTACAGATTCACAAACACACACACACATACATACAGACACACACACACGCTAAGTGTTTTGGTTATCTTCGCTGTGCGGCTGGACCCCCTGGAGTGACTCCTTCGACCGCGGTAGTTCTGCCACTGCCCATACGATTGGCTGAGACTCTCAAGGAGGCAGATCAGGGGCAGAGCCAGCACAAGCCAAACACAGCCCTGGCCAATTGAATAAATGCATCTCTATGAGGAAAGTTCAGTGTCAGCATGCAGTGGTTGAATGGCAGTGCTGCTCCCTGTGCAGCACTGCCCCTGGAAGCACCTCTAGCAGCCATCTGAGGAGTGACCAGTGGAGTTATCACTAGCCTGTAATGTAAACACTGCATTTTCTCTGAAAAGACCGCAAAAGCCTGAAGGGAATAATGCTACTCACCAGAACAAATACAATAAGCTGTAGTTGTTCTGGTGACTATGGTGTCCTTTTAAATTACGTTTTTTTTTGTTTTTTTTACTGAATTGGAAACTAACCGCTTAAAGACCTCTCTCCTGCACATGTATAGTTGAGCTCAGGGTGGACCAGCAATCCTGCATTGTATCCCTTCTTGAATGCGTCTATCATGCGTGCCTCCAAAATTTCATTTACTTTCTTCTTTGTGACATGAAGAATTCCCAAGTTAGCAAACCTGACAGAGTAAAATAAAGAAATCAGAGTCATTTCCCCATGTTTATTGTATATACATTCTGTTACTATTTTTGAAATATTGACAAAGAGTCAGGGCCAGTAAAATATAGCCAATTCAGCAAAATATATGTGGTAAGGGTTAAACTTTTACATATCTCTACTGTTGGTGTTTCATTTTTAAGCTACCAGTTTTAAATAATCATTCTAATAAGATGAAATTAGAGGAAACTGTGACAATTGTATTAAAAATGACCAAACTAACACTTTGATAATGAATAATAATTTGATAACCGTATACTTTTATTAACAATGATAAAAGGGATCTTCTATCTGCCTGTGCATTTTCCATTGTATCTCCCATACTGTATTATTTGATATGTTTACCACACCTCTAACTTGTATTTTCCATTTCTGACAGTCATTAACTTAGCTGAGAGACTGACTTCCTATAGTAATGACAAACAATTAAAATGGCAATATTTTTTAAAGAAAATTACATCGCCATCCAATGATGCCAAATATATAATTTTTTTTATCATAGTGTCATCTTCCATAAATGCATATCCTACATCTTCTGCCAAACCAGAGCCCACAGTACTTCTGTATCAGTATGTACATATTTGTAGAATTGGTTATACTGCATACAATATTTCCCACACATTGACTTTCTGTTGCATAACATTGAGGGGTTTGCTGGAGTGTTGTAAAAATAGGTTTAATAATAAAGTAGTGTCAGAATGAGTCATGATAGCATGAGTAACAATGGGTTGCCACATTCGAACCAAAGACAAACAAAGGAAAGACAGTATTAGGTTTTTTGAAGGAGTTAGGAGTGTTACAGTATTTTTTAACTGGTATTGTTCTCCCTGCTTGAGTTTGCTGTAGACGTCTAGACTCCTGACATCAAAGGCTCAGTCAATGAAGCTAACCAGTCTGAAATCAACGGTTGTGCAGGGCCATCTTTAAGGAGGGGCAAAAGGGGCAGCTGCCCCGGGCCCAGTTACTCCTGGGGGCCCTAAGGCAGCTGCCCCATGGGCCCCCTGCAGCACCTGAGGTAATCAGGGGCCACAGCCCTTTAATACCGGCCAGGGCCCCTGTTATATAGGGGGTGGCTGACTACATACTCACAGCTAGCCCCCTCACATACTGCCCTGTGAGTCTCTTTGTTTCCTGGGCATGCTGGGAGGAAGTGAGGTCAGATTGCTTCCTCCCAGTAAGAACTGATCACTTCCTCCACAGTGCCGCTGGGGTGGAGGCACACACCACATGGAGGAGGATGTAAGCATTGTGGGGGAGAGGGACTGAGAAAGCTGATGGCAGACTCCCATCAGCCTGGGCCAACAAGCTCCCACTGGACACCAGGGAAGCCACCTTTCTGTACCCAAAAGGTAAGGAGACAGGAGGGTGGCTAAATATGTTTTGTTTTTTGTTTTGCTAATTTCTGATATCACTTTTATTTAAGTGTGTTGATGTTTGTAATGTAACACACAGGGAATAAGTACATGTTAAAAATCCTAGGAGAACCTGACAGTTCCCTATTAAATATACATTTTAAAAGTATTTATTTTAACATAATATTGCATCAAGTGTTATCAAAGGCTGTACACCATTTCCAAATGTCACTTTTGCCAAATTCTGGACCAGGGTATGTAAGAACAGAGTTGAGACATTATTATGGCCATGGTTGCTGGGAGTTGCTGTCCAAGAGCTGCTAGAAGGCAAAATATGTAAATGTACACATATATGTGTGTGTGTATCTGGCTGTGTTTATGTCCTTGTGTGTATCTGGCTGTGTTTGCGTCAGTGTGTGTATCTGGATGTGTTTGTATCTGGCTGTGTTTGTCTGTGTGTCAGTGTTTCTGTGTGTATGCATACCTGTGTATGTGTACTTGTGTGTCAGTGTGTATGTGTACCTGTGTGTGTGTTTGTGTGTGTGTGTAGGTATGTGTCAGTGTGTGTAAGTGTGCATCTGAGTGTGTGGTAATGCATACATCCCAGCATTTTAATGCCAACACAAATACACTCCATCTCTAGCACTGTACACATATACACCCCTGCATTTATACCTTTATGTATGTGTGTAGCTGAGTGTGTGTGTGTACATACCTGTGTCAGTGTGTGTGTGTACCTCTGTGTGTGGATGTGCCAGTGTGTGTGTATCAAAGTGCTTGTATCTGTGTGTCAAAGGGTGTGTATCTGTGTGTGTGTGTGTATGTGCCAGTATGTGTCAAGGTGTGAGCATGTGTCAGTGTGCCTATGTGTGTATCTGCGTGTTAATGTGTAGGTGTATATGTGTTATAGAAATCACACAACATGCAAACAGAGCCCTGCAAACACAAACATTACATACAAACACACCAGTTTGCTGAAACACCAATACTACACACAAATGTACACAGCACTACATCCAAACAACCCCCTGCATGCAAATACAAACATTACATACAAACACATTCCTGTATTAAAACGCTAAAATGATATACAAACACCAACTCTACACACAAAAGTACACCTGCATTTAAAAGCCAACACTACAGACAATCACACATTACTGCATTCAAACGCAAACACTACACACAAGTACACCACTGCATTCCAATGGTAACAGTACATACAAATACACCCCTACATGCACACATACACTCTATACAATAACATGCTGACATTCAATTGCACAAACACTGCTCAAAAATACAACCCTGCAAGGATGGTAGATCCCCACCTGGCATAGCATCGGAGGAGTTGTATGACAGATGGGGATCTATCTTTTCTTTACTCTTGTGCTACAGGGCAGGCCTGAATTATTATTTTTTGCACCAAGGCACTCTCTACATTAGTTTCGCCTCTAGGTTGGGGTGGAGGGAGTGATTGCATGCCCAGGGGGCCCAAGCAGATGCTTGCCCAGGGTCCAATCAATATTAAAGACGGCCCTGCGGTTGTGTATGTATACATGTGCAGAAGTTCAAATGTGTACACCATATACAATACACATGAAGTCTGGATTCAGGATTGAGCCCACTGAGCACATGTAAGTATTCCATGTGTATGTAAAAACAGGAGTAAAGAACTGTGGTGCAGATGGTAACATTTTAATACATAGAATAAAGATTAGGATAATTGTAAAACATACTCAAAAATAACATCATGAAAACCAAAACAACGCCACCATGTAGTGAGGTCTAAGTATCTCAGACTCAAGTGGATACTATAGACACCCAGACCACTTTATTTCAATGAAGTGCCCTGTCAGGAGCACCCTTGACATTTTGCTCCTGCAATGTAAACTATTGCTATTCAGAGATACATCAAAATTTACATTTCAGGGTTAAACACACATCTTCTGGCTGCTACACTGAAATCCACTAGATGGTGCTTCTGTGCGAGGACATAGAGAAGCACTGAATGCAATGCTTCTCTAGGAGATGCAATTGATTGTGAGAGCTTTCTGCACATGCGCATATTAACACTAATACTTCTGTATAAGCAGCATTTAATTGGACAACAAGTCAAAGAGGAGTCAGCATGCAGGAGCAAGAGGGGATAAGCGGGTCAAAACAAAGCCAAAAAAACCCGAAATAATAAAAAAAGAACACTATTTTGGAAATAATAGTTTCACTGGTGTCCTAGAGGGAACTTAAAATGCCAGATTATCACAAAGCAACACGAGCAATAGCAATTATTTGTTTTACATTTTATCAATGTTATTGACTAAAGCAAAAAATTATTGGGAATTCAAAATTAATTTCAAGGACAAGCCGAGTTGGAAAAATTCTCTAAGTCTGCTATGCTTCCAGTTCAGCTACTTTGGCTTTAAATTTAAAATTTACTTTCAATTAAGTTTGAATTATTGACAATTCTCAGGGCTATTTACTTAAGTGAGAATTGATGTGACTTCAAAATAGAATTCAAAGTAGCTCAAATGGAAAGAACCTCTAAACCAAGCATGTCAAACTCAAAGTCTGGCACGGGCCACATAAACAAGGTTTAACTTTATGTGGGCCGCAAAAAAACAAAACAAAAACGTAACTTTTCATAGAAACGTAGGTTTATTTGAAAAAGTACAGTATAAAAAAACCCAGCAACCCTCTTTACTAAATCCCAGTCCCCCCCCCCTCTACTAAACCACAGCACCCCCCTCTACCACCCAGTGCCAAATCTGATCGGACACACACATACTCACTACACTGACACACACACACTCACTGACACACAGATACTCACTGACAGACACACACTCGCTGACAGACACACTGACACACACACACATACTCACTGACAGACAGACAGACATACACACACAGATACTCACTAACAGACACACACACAGACACACACACACACACACACACATACTCACACTCACTGACAGACACACACACATTTACACATTCTTGCACACACACCATTTAATTTAATGTCCCCTACCTTTGGGAGCTGGTGTGTGGATCTTCTGTCTGGAGCTCAGCCTTCCTGCTCCTCACTGCACCCTCACGCAGTTTAGTAATGCCGGAATATGACGTCATATTCCAGCGCCCGGCTTCACTACAGAGGGCGTGAGGGAGCAGTGAGGAGCAGGAACACTGAGCTCCCTCGCTGGCCCTCCTCCCCGGCCGGGTAAGTTTTAGCAGAGTAGGCACCAGCAATGTGGGGAAAGCAGGTACCTACTCTGCTTTAACACCAGCATGTACACGCGGCTCGCCGGGCCACAAAGATGGTCCTTGTGGGCCGCGAGTTTGACATGCTTGCTCTAAACTTTGCTTCCAGTTCAGCTATTATGTTCTAAAATGTCAAATTCACTTTACATTCACTTTTTCTCACTTTAGACAATAACCCTGCCTGTGTTTAACCTTATCCAACTTCCTTAGGACTTACTTTAATAAGAGCATGTGGATGTTTCACTCGATGCTTGATTCTGTACCCAAGAAGTTGGCAGTTGGACTAGATTCCAATATGAGAGGATTCTTGTAAAATTATGCATTTGCAGAATTTATGTATTGTGCCATTTTAGTTTGGTGTTTACCCACATTTTTATCTTTATTGTATGTATTAACCTTTTGTTACCATTTGCATACTGTTTTTACACCTGCATGGAATACTTACCGTGGAGACTTTTAAAAATATATAGATATACATTTGTTGCACTTTTATCGTAATATAATATAATATAAGCCAAATAAAGCAATTTTTAACACTGGTCTCTAACTACTTTATGGCAGATAATGGACCAGGAATGTCATGATATAGTAAATATCTTGTTATTTATGATGCTGTTGCTATACTTACTGTATATAGTTATCTAACTTGGAAATATTTACAGGCTGATTCACTAAACTCCAAATGGCACAGTGCTTGTGCAAAACCATCCTGTGCTGCATGTGGCCCATTCGGAATGGAAAAATCAGGACATTGTTATTTAATACTGTCTGGATTTTGCAACCAGGCTCAAAACAAGCCTGAATTTGGACCAGATTTCAGTCTGACTGAATGCTTCTAGAAGTCTGAAATTCGGGCCTACATTGACTGCTCATGTGTAGTTGATATGCTATCGCCCTCCACTTGAAAGGTGGAGGCATAAAGAGGTTAAAAACCTGTTGGTCGCTCAACTGTTTTATTTGACAATTTTGTAATGTGGTTGCTGGCTCGCAAGCCTGATCAGCCGCCACACAATTAATCTTAATGTCGCTGAGGGTATTTTAATTGCATGCAAAAAACGATTCAACGATAATTTGCTAATGTGCATAATGCTCTGTATAGGGTTCGGATACCAACAGTATTTTAAGCCAGACACCAAATGAATCAGGGTGACTCTTGCAGATTCAATCAGGTTGGCCGAATACCGACAGAAATTAGTTTTAGTAAATATGAGATTTGCCATTTTTCCATTTTCACCAACTTTTTACATTCAGGCAAAATCCAATAATTAGTGGATAACCCTATTAATAACCAAAACCATCTCCAAGAGCTATATGGATTAGTGGTGTATGTTGGGGAGAAGCACTAGGGTAAAGGGCCATAAACAATGCATGCAGCTATTCTGTATGTATGGATCTAAGATTCTGACACACAATCCTTCTAAATGTAGGTTCTGGATCTTCCCTGATCTGTAGACGTGCAGTTTACTTGTTTATACCATTAAGATAACTGTAAAGGGCACATAAAAAACACAAATAAGAATGTCTTACTAGTTAATCATTTGGTGGTTTGGAATAAGTGAAAACCTAGATACTGAGAGCTATTAGTTACTTCCTGAGTTTGTATTCTGCTTTTTAATGTTTCCACTCCTGGGTTGCACACGCTAGATATGAATGTGTCACAAAGTCTACAGTGATTACTTACCCTACAACCATATCTTTAGGGCCCACACTAATAGAACAGATTCCATCTTCGCAGTGTTTTCCTACCAGACTGTGGGCGTGTAAACGGACATCTTTGCCACTGGTGACCAGCTGCACAATAATTTTAGCATGACCTATATAGTTATTAATCTGTGAAAGAAAAAATTCTTTTAAGTGAATAGTATATTATTGCCACACATTACCATTTTATTTTCAATATATTTAAGTATAACTTGGCACTAGAATGTTTGTGTTTGCGGACTTCATATTTGTTGGGCATCATGGGTAATTCAACCCAAATACATGTATCAACATTGCCATTGTTAGACACAGCTCATAGCAGATTATATACTATAAACATCAGTTTTTAATTGTGGTGGCAAATTTCAATTTAGTTTTAGTCATGATCGTTTGACTAAAAAGCAATTTTAGTTTTATTTGTATTTTAGCCGACTAAATCTCAAAAAGTTTAGTTGACTAGTTGACAAAAAATTACCACTGATCCAACACGTGAATAATATAATAACTGTCATTGCAACAAACATTACACATTAGTTGCAATGGTGGTGTTTAACCCCTTAAGGACCAAACTTCTGGAATAAAAGGGAATCATGACATGTCACACATGTCATGTGTCCTTAAGGGGTTAAAGGCAATATATATCCAGATGCACATTAAAACATATCTGAAAATTGTGTTTAAAGGCAACTCATAACAAGTGATGCATTCAACCAGGTCTTTAAAATCCATCTATATTTAGCAATCTATAGTTTTGAGAAGAATACAAGTGTTAAAATATTTACTACTCCTTCCTTGTTAGTAAAATACTGTACAAGTACGTAAACTATATTATGTATCTTAAAAAGTACCGTAATATTACAAAACAGAATCCACCAAACAAGGCTACAACACTGTCAGCCGGAATCATGTATTATCTGACACAGCCAAGCAAGGCATGTCATTGTGCAACCTCAATGCAGAGTATGCAGACAAAGGTGTTTTATTTTTGGCCATATATTAGAACAGGGAGGATGTGGTATTAAAGTAACTTTAACTGTGGTGTGATTGCTGATCCCAAATGCGATGGTTAAACCATCACAAATACAGATGAGTTCCTGGGATTCACACATAACAATTTCTCGAATTTACAGATACGATTTTAATACGCAATATTAATGCAGCTCTGTGAACTTCGAGGGTCTTTGCACATTTTGCAAGTATCCCTGATGTTAACATGCCCACTTATGTTGTGATAGGCATGGGGAAGTTGATGGCAGGAGCTCTCCCTTGAATACACGGCCATGTCTGTTTCTGTGAGCATCTTTAGCTCCTGGAGAAACATCTGCCAGGTGCTGCATCAACACCATTCTCTTAGGAACGAGTACAGCACTGAATGTATCTAGAAATTTATACCGTTGCAAGCAATTGTAACACAGGTAATAACAGCTCATTTCTAGTCCTGAAAAATGCGAAAGAAATGCAGAAATATGATAAGTAAAACATTTACAAAACTCTTTTCATCACTGTAAATGTAACAAATGTCTGCCTACTTATGTTATGTTTTTTTTATGAAGCAAGAAGCGAGACAACATGGACCATTTCACAAGGTTACGTCAGGCAAGCTGCCACATTTGGAAGCCTTGTCAAGAAATGCTTGTTGATATACACATGGTCCTGGAAATCAGCCAAGTCTACTATTTCTTTCTAAAGGAAAGTATACTAACCGGTTTGTGGACTGCTTTCCTGTGGAATTCCCCAAATTAAAATGCAAATAATCCCAATAAACCATTTGCCTGGAAAGTCTTTCATGTAATCTATCATAACAAATTCTAAGTAGGATATTAAAATGATCAGTTCATATAACATTTTTACCAGTTATTTTATACCAGCTATTTTGGTCTAAAGCCATACACCACAACACCTGGCTTACAGAAGTGCCTAGTAAACAAAATCCAATTTAAGTTAATTGAATAAAGATCTATTTTAAGCCCAATAAAGCACTGCTTCAGCTGTAAGTATGGGAAATTCCCTAATATAGTAGTCATTTTTTTTACTGTAAAAATGCTCATATAAAGTTCTTCTTGTGTTTGAGCTTCACTTCTTATCTCCCTAAAACACATATTTAGCGTGCACTGCTAAACTATGGCTACATTCTATATAGCTAGCAAGTGATTTTGTATTTTACAACGAAATTTAGAGCCCCTGATAGCCGAATGATTAGTGAATGTTGAAAGCAAAAACAAGTATTTTTTTTGGTTAATGCTGGTTATGACCAACAAGAAAAAAATAAAATAAAAAATCAAACAACAGGACACTGTTAGGCTTAGTTATGAGTAACAAAACTCTATTTCGCACATGCAATAATACATATGTAGATTGGGGGCTCACAGGCTGATGCAATGGCCTTTTCCCTTGCAAATGAATCTGAGGTCGCTCAGCACTCAAATCATTGGGGGTTCGACAAGTTGTTTCATTCTTTTCCTTTTTACGTATGGTGGAGGGTAATAGATAAATGGTGGGTTACGGAGTTAAGCTCAGTCCCGTGATCACCTCTACAAATGGTTCAAAGGATCCCCAGAACTTCTGGCCTCAACACTGTAAGCCCAAGTCAAAATTAAGAATAAAACGATAAATAACGTTCTAATAGTATAACTAATATACAGTATGATTTTTAGGACATTCAAAAACATGAAAGTCATAACTAAAGTTACAGGAGGAGAGTTTCCACAACTATACTTCTGAAATAATGTTATATTAGGATGCAATAAAAGAATGAAAAACACTAGAAGTATTTTTAGTTACTTTAATGTCTATATGAGAATGTTAACTGCAATACTGTGTTTTGTTACATGGAGTCTAAAGCAGGCAGCTTTTACTTTAATTTTCTGAAAACATTTACAAAACACGCCAAATGCCTCAACGCCTGTTCCTTAGCATTTTCAAATCAAGGTCATTATTTTGGAGCTGGTTCCATTCCCATTTATGTTAAAACTGCCTCTGATCTTCTTGGGAGACTATCGCCTAACCATTGTGATATTATTAATTGTGACCATTATACTTGTACCAACACATACAGTTATCGCTAATAAACCAATAAGGTGCTCTTGTCCCGGCATGTCGAAACCTATTCAAATAAATGGCTGTAGTTGTGATGTGTGACATCATATATCCTGACATCCTCCATCACAATGACCTGCACGTTGTGAGGGAGTATTCAGTTAGAACTGTGCATTCCTAAGAGACACGTACTCAGATTCCCATGACTACACTGCAGCGATGTCAATTGGTGTATGTAATGGACGTCATGAGCACTGCCTCACCCCTAGACAAACCACTATTAAGAAAACATGCACTAGAGCAGGGATAGGCAACCTTTGGCACTCCAGATGTTGTGGACTACATCACCCATACTGCTCTTACACCCATAATGCTGGCAAAGCATCATGGAAGCTGTAGTCCAAAACATCTGGAGTGCCGAAGGTTGCCTATGCCTGCACTAGAGGGATGTCTATTACCCAATCTGTTCAAAAACCGAGCCAAACTGAAAGGAAAAAAAAATCCACAGGATGTGTTACCGTGGAGGTGCTAAAAATAGATATAAAACTAATAAATAATTCATAAAATACCAGTCTTGCTGCAACGGTTAATTATAAAGAAAAACAGATATTTCTAAACAGTAAATATCTAAACAGTAAAAACAATATATTAAACTTTACTGGCCACTGCAACTTACAAAATCAATATAATGTAACAACTAGAACAATGTTACAGAAAATAATATAAATGTATCAATGAGGAGACAGCAACCAGTCAAGCCCATCCATGCAAACTCTATACTGAACGCCAAGTACCAAATGTGATTTGCTCCAAGTAAGTTTACTACCCAGAGATGAACCCACAAACCAGATATTGCACGTGTATCTGCAGTATTCCAACACCAAACCAAAGTCTTCTTGCCGAGGAAATGGAAAGGGCCCTCTCCATCTTCATGTAGTAGCAGTATACCAAATCTTCCTCCAATATTTTCTGTTCAAAACTTATTTTTAATCTGTTATCCGACTCCTAGCAATTCAACCATTATCCAAATGCTTTGGAGCATATTATTAGAAGTCTATAACTTCTAATTTAAACGTTTTCTCTACATCTTTAAAAAAAACATAGATGGGTTCTCTTTAAAGTGCTCACAGCTGCCTAGTGTCTCATTGCTCATTTTGTGGTCATTTGTAAACACCACCAGGAGTACTGCACCCAAATCGTGCCGCCGCCAATTCTAATTATATTCTATTTTATATTCATTTTATATTACTTTCCTCTTGCCGCTAATTGCGGCTCGCTTACCGCCCCCTACCCATCTATCCACTCGCCCATTGGCCGTATCGACCTGTTGGGCGCGCCCCCTTTTCTCCCCTTTCCTTACGCCGGCCGCAGGATCATGCGTGCCGATGCATACACCACATTTCGGGGACGCGCGCATGCGTCCCGTTTTACTACATCTTCCATATCTCTTTGCGTTGTCATGAAAGTCAAGTGACCGCAAAAAAAACATTAATATTAGGTTGAATAATGCTCGTTTTTGTATTTCAAACATATCATTGAATTATAACCAATGTATATTTAGTATTTTTATTATATAAAACATGTTTTAAAATGTTTTTATTGTTTTTATCATTTACTGTATTCTCATTGGCTGCCCCTAGTTTTGGCGCCAATTTTAAATAATTGTATCCTTATTTAAACTTACCCTGCCAGGTATTATGTCCTACTCCATATTGAAGAAACCTTGTTGGCGAAACGCGTGTGTGGATACTTATATTGTGTATTTTATTCTATTAAAGATTTTTTGGTCACCTTTTACTGTGCCAATTATCTTTTAATACACCTTATATATTTTTTATTATTTTTACCTGGCATTTTATCTTTCTGGACTCCAAGCAATCCTGAGGTGGGGATCATACCACCAACGCTGTCGTCAAGGAGCAGTTTGCCTGCTCCACTCTTGTGAGTACCTTTTTATGTATTTTATTTATATTATTTTATCCAGTGACCACTATTGGTCGTCTCTCTTTTATTTTATTTGAGTGTGGAACATACCCTTGGAAGAAGAAGCCTGCACCATATCCCATAAGGGGGATCAGACCGCTGTACGCTTTTCATACTAGAGCTAGCTATAGCTCTAATACATGTAAGTGCATTACCATCTTCTTTTATTATTTCTTGTACAACATTGGACGTACTACACTATTTGGTCTTCTTATTGTATTTGAAGGGTTTTTTAAGGGATCCCTTTTAAGGGTTGCAGCCTTATTGTTATTTAGCGCTTACTCTCTTTCTTGATTTTCTCTTGCTACATTTCTGTAGCCTAACATTTACTTAACTGAACCGGCGGTGCACCAAGAGTTTTCTGCACAAAACGCTGATCAGTTGGAGAGGTGGCATCTTATGAGAATGAAGCTTTGAACGTTACTGGGACCTGTAGAATGAGCCATTCTGCTAATGTTTGTCTACCGAGATTGCATGATTGCTTGATAACCATTATACAAAACATTAATGGTGTTTATTGAGATCAATAGATAACAGAAAAATCCACTCATCAGAAGACATATCCACGTATGTCTGGCCATGCAATGAAAATTGCAGGGAAAGGTATTCCATAAGACGACATTTGGAAGCAGAGATGCTCTATTCAGAAGTGTTAGAAATTCCTGTTTCACGGCAACACTGGTTATACTTCCTCTTATCATACTTCCAAAAAAAAGAACTGTAGCAAACTTTAGTGCTACTGATATGTGACAAATGTAACACTCACAAATAACATACATTAAAACTGCTGAGACATACCTACAAGGGTTGCAGAAGGAATATGACTACCGGATGCAGCTGCCAGTAACCTACTGAATGCTGAATCCTTCCATGCCAAAAGCAATAATACACAGAAGATTCTTGTCCTGATTGGCTGAATTATGGGTTAACATAAACTGGGGCTTCTAATGGCATCTGGAGAATGCAGATTTAGAAACATGAGCAGTTCTGTTATACTGGTCTGATTAATAATATAAATGTTTACTTCTCATACTACAACCAGCTCTTGAGTCTTAGGCAAAATAATGGATTTCCTTAATGCCTGGAGTTGCTTTGATTTTTTTTGTTCTTATTCTATTCTTTATTTTCTAATTTTGTTGTTTAAAGCCTTTCTATAAGTAAAGAATATCAAATAAATGAAAATGCAGAATTAGCCGTTTATCATTAATGTCATTGTCAGACGTGAAGTAGTAAAAGACTAAAGGCTGGGCTAACACTGTCAGCTATTCACCTCTGTTCAAGCTGGACACAAATGAGTTCATTCTCTATTATCAATACAGCATAGGGTGGAGGACAACCCCAAAATTATCACATTTAAAATGTGCACATGGCAAGCTTGATAGCGTGAAAAATTGCCCTTCAAATTTTAGCTGTCTAGAGTGGAGTTTCAATGAATGTCAATGGATGGCATGAGTTGCAAACAAATGATCATATTATGAAAACTATCAGGACTATGGCTTAGCCGTGGGCATTTTTAGTGGCAGCAGGGATAGCTGAACGTTTTGATATAAGATTTGTGTAGGTGGGCTTGAAAATGAAGGAGTGGTGGCAGTTTAGAAATCATGTCCTGATTTTTCAGCTTTTGCCAGCTCCCACTCTAGCTTTGCCATTCATTCCTATGGGACAAATTGTGCCACAAGAACGACGATATTCCGTGAACCATTCGGCGAAACGTTCCACAAAGTAATAGCAATCTGATCGGGATCAATCTGCACGTTTTGGTAAATTTTTGTCTATGTAGTGTAAAAACTGTGGGAGGAGTTAGGGTGGCAAATTTGGCTATAATAAGAATAAGAATAAGAACTAGAAAAGCTACAATTTCTGGGGAAATTGTGTGAAGTGTTCTTGCTTCCACCAGTAGTCTACAACTGGAGTGGGCGGAGTAACTGTTATCATTTATATAGCACATTTAATTGCAACGTTGTTGCACAGTTACATTAAAACATACATTTATAAAAACATTAGTAGGTGTTCAAAAGGCCCTGTCTATGACATCACTTGCTGCTGCAGCCTGGCACAGGTCAGAGTATTTTGGCGGTTGCCATCTTCAAACGGTCGTATTTTAAAAACTATCAATCCTACAGTGGAGAGCTTTATATTGTTAGAATCACAAGACCCAGACCTACATTTTGATGCATGTATGTCTCTGAAGTATTAACATTGAAGGCACAGTCGCAGTTTAGAAATTGCACTTCAAATTTGAGCTTTGTAGAGTGAAGTTTCAATGAATGTCAATGGACGACGTTAGTTGCAAACAAATGATTATATCGTGAAAACTATCAGGACTATGGCTTAGCCATTGACATGTTTAGTGGCAGCAGGGATAGCTGAACGTTTTGATATAAGATTTGTGTAGGTGGGCCTGAAAATAAGGGAGTGGTGGCAGTTTAGAAATCATGTCCTGATTTTTCAGCTTTTGCCAGCTCCCACTCTAGCTTTGCCATTCATTCCTATGGGACAAATTTCGCCACAAGAACGACGATATTCCGTGAACCATTCGGCGAAACGTTCCACAAAGTAATAGCAATCCGATCGGGAACAATCTGCACGTTTTGGTAAATTTTTGTCTATGTAGTGTAAAAACTGTGGGAGGAGTTAGGGTGGCAAATTTAGCTATAATAAGAATAAGAATATATATGTGAGATAACATTAAGTTGTCTTGCTATGCAAGAACACTTAATAAGAATAAGAATAATATATATGTGAGATAACATTAAGTGGTCTTGCTATGCAAGAACACTTAATAATAAAAATATATATGTGAGATAACATTAAGTGGTCTTGCTATGCAAGGACACTTAATAATAAAAATATATATGTGAGATAACATTAAGTGGTCTTACTATGCAAGGACACTTAATAATAAAAATATATATGTGAGATAACATTAAGTGGTCTTGCTATGCAAGAACACTTAATAATAAGAATAATATATATGTGAGATAACATTAAGTGGTCTTGCTATGCAAGAACACTTAATAAAAAAATTGGTAGTGAAAATGTTTTCCATATAAAGTAAAAGCGGATGGAAAGTACAAGGCAAAATTAAATTTTTTAGTCTGCACTTGAAAATATAAATGTCAAAATGTGTTTTTTTTCTTATAAGGTAACCACATACCATATATTTTTTCTTTAAGTAGACCATTCAGGAAATAAGATTTGATGTGGGATACGCCCTGACACAGTGCTTAAAGATTTTGTGAAAACTGAAGAAGGCAGATTCTTGAACAATCTTCTTTTACATCTACAATAACATTTAGATATTGGATATGTCCACTTTGCAGAGCTGCCTAATTTGAATTATTGTCTTGAGTTGTCCTAATATCAGGGTTCACTTACTTTGATTTATGTTCTGCCACGGTGTCTGCTCAAATTACCTAAGAATTTGTTTTAAAAGGCACACTTGTTTATGGTGTTACATATGTAATCTCTGATGAAGTCACCACATTAAAGGAACACCCCAAACACCATCATCACTACAGCACAGTGCCAGATGTGCCTCAGCACCCTCTTCCAAGTAAGTAGCCAAACGGTTTGCCAATATCTTAACATCTTACCTGGGGTCTGCCAAGCAGTGGTCACTTCTAACATTGAGAGGCAAAAGCTCCTACTAAGAGCTCCCGTTAGCTCTCCTAAGCTAAGCCCTGCCCTGGAAGAGCATATGCAAAAAATGCTCTACATGTGACACTGCTGCTTTCATGTTATTAAAGAATGTTTTGTGATGAGTTAGTCAGAAAAGGAGAGAATGCTGAAAAGACACAGGAGAAAAATTTTATAGAAATTAATTCAGTTGAAAGAATCTGAAGTGTAGAAGTCATAAGTTGGCCTCCTTATTTCGAGACCTTGGCTAGTTCATATAATGGTGCAGACACATGACACATTATATAATGTGATTAGAAAGCACATGGAACCATGCTGTTCTTCACAATTATACAAAAAGGTACATATAACCACATACAATCGACAAGGTAAATGCGGACAGAGGTGAAGAAAACCCTGCACAAATGAGCTTACAATCTAGGAGAAAGTTGACTAAATGAGATATTAAAGTTGGCGTTGTGGCCTCAATGGGCACGTACATTTAAAGTGAAAGGGCAGTGACGTTGCGCCCTCATGGTGCGATGTAACTGGATAACAAACTTCAATGGGAGTATCAAGTATCCCAGTTACCACCCATTTTGGATTATGTCATCTCCAATACAAGGAAGGGATCCATGGTTACGTGTGAAGTTTAACCCCTTAAAGACCAAACTTCTGGAATAAAAGGGAATCATGACATGTCACACATGTCATGTGTCCTTAAGGGGTTAAAGGAGCACGATAGGGTCAGGAACCTGATGGTATAGTGTTAAAACCACCATCTAGACCCCCTGCCCCCCTAAATATAGTAAAATCTTACTTGTGTTTAAGTCTGATGCTCCTGGCTCTGCCTCTGTTTGCCTGTGAACTGCCTCTGTCTACTGACATCACCAGAAGTGGTGGTCTGAGCCAATGATAATACGTCTGCATAGGATTGTCTGAGCTTGTCAAGGAGGCAGGTCAGGGGCAGAGCCAGCACAAGTCAAACACAGCCCTGGTCAATCAGCATCTCCTCATAGAGATGAATTGAATACAGCACCTCTATGAGGAAAGGTCAGTGTCTGAGGGTGGAGACACTGAATGGCAGTGCTGCTTACTCTGCAGCACTGCCCAAGGAAGCACCTCTAGCAGCCATCTAAGGAGTGGCCAGTGGAGTTGTCACTAGGATGTAATGTAATGTTTTGTTTTGTAGTGTTTACATAAAAAGCCTGAAGGGAATGATTTTACTCACCACAACAAATACATTAAGCTGTAGTTGTTCTGGTGACTAGTGTTCCTTTAACAACATTTCCATTCTCTTTGACAAAAAGCCAAGGCAAAATTAACTTATCACTGTATACTTTGCATATGATCCCTCTAGATGGGGTGGGGAACCTTTGGCCCTCCAGATGTTTTGGACTATGTTTCCCATAATGTTCTTACAGCCATAATGTTTGCAAAGCATCAAGGGAGATGTAGTCCAAACCATCTGGAGGGCTGAAGGATCCCCACTCTCATTTAGAACCAGCAAAGGTATAATTAAGGAACCATATACTGCTAGTTAAACTACACAAATCACCATTTTTTACATAAATCAAATCTTTGGATGTCAGTACAAACAAACACACTATTATGAAGAGGATGTCAATTTACAGTATAACAAAACTAATACATATGAACTTTTTGTTTGTGTATTTTAGATAATCTCTTAAAAAATAAACATACAATTACAGACAATATACATATACTTCTATGAAAGTGAACACAGAAAAATATATCGTATGCATCAAAATATATGAACTAATGCAAAAAGTTTATGTAAACTTCATTTAATGCTTATTTATAGTACATTGCATCTCTTCTCTTCCAATATCTATTTTACTGAAATTTATTATTTCAACCTAATAATACGTTATTTAAGGTCACTGCAATAAAATGTCAATGAGTTAAAACATAAACCATCACTAGAGTACTGCTTAAAGAATTCCTCATTCATAATCTTAAAATATACTATTATTCATGAATGAGTAACAAATCAAAATATTTCGAACTACATAAGTGTTGATGGATCATACATACATTGAAGTCTACTTTATTGAGTCTATTCTTAATTCAAGTGCACATAGGGATCCAATTAATGTGTGCACAGATATATAACGCCACATGGCATTGATTTTCAATAATCACACATTTGAAATGTATTTGAATAAGGCATCTCATTTAGATTTAAATTTAAGAAGAGTTGATTAAAGGGACAGAGAAGAACCCTTCTTTTAAACCTAAAGAGAATAAGATTTTCATTTATAAACATTTTTTTTTTAATTTAAGACTAATTTCCCTTTCTTGGGCTATGTTTCACATTATTATTTCCACAAAATTTAAGGTTATTGCTGTTAACTGAATGTTCATTTTTTATAGGTCTACATACACTTATCTACATACAATTTTATATGTCTACATACACTCATCTACATATATGTCTACATACACTTAATTCTCTAATAGAGTTAACATGTTCCATGGCACATAACCACAGTGGTCAGAAAGTCTCGCCAATGAATTTTTTTTAATCACAGGAACATTGTATTAAATATACACGTCCAGTGGATATACAATTGAAAAAGTCTTTAGTTTCAAAGGTTTCCGAATCATCATAATTACCCAAACAGAGTTTTTGATCATATATCTACATGTGGCACTGCGGCCGCATAGATAGATGCCTCAAACATCGCTTGACAAAAAATTCTGTATAAGTTCCCTCCCATTTTAATGACTGGCCACTACAGTTGGCATGAGTAGATAAGACTTTCCTTAGATGGGAATCTTGCGTAAGAGCAGTCCAGAACCTATTTAGAACTTCGTACATATGATTCCATTCATCATATGTTGCTATCATTCTTACCACAGAAGTTTCTGTTTTGATGGTAATATTTTCCTATAAATCATTTCAAGTGGATAGTAACGCTTGTCTATACGATCCTTTGAGGCATCTGTATGGATATCCTTTCCTTTGAAAGATTTGCTTAGATCATCCTCTTTGTTTTTAAACTCCTGGGTTGCTGAATAATTTCTTTGAAGCCTTGCCGAAGTGGCAAGCAGAAATTAATTCCTGGCGAGTATGCTTTGGCTTGCAGTGGCGAGTAACTTTTAAGGCCTGGCTAGTACCAAAGGACTATATATATCTCCACACATTTGGGGGAATAAGAGTTCGACAGACATGCTAGCCAGATCTGATTACAATTTACCTCACATGTAAAGTACCCTTAGCTATTAACAGAAAACACTGTTAATGCAGATATGACAGTGATTATACATCATACTAAGATGCTTCCTGTTACTAAACTAAAGTTAAATATTACACACAGTTACATATAGGGTTGGAAATTTCCACATGCCCACTCATTTGGAACTTTTAGATAAAGCACAGTAGCTGACAGTACATCTAATATATTTTGCACAAAAATCCTATTCCACCATACTGAGTAAAAAAATAACTTTATATAAAGATTACATAAGGTTATTTTATTACTCTTTACAGTCTTAATATAAAGTTATTTTATAACTTTTTACAAAGACTGTACTGTGGAATAAAATAACAACTGGAGATTTTCGTGGTGACCACTAGGTAGCAGAGTTCTGCTGTCCATTGCCCACACTGAGACAAAACATTCTAAGTGTTTCCGGATGTTGAGGATTTTCTGGAAAAGAGCACAGTTGTACTGTAGCAGAAACAAAATGTTTCATAATGATTCCATGAGATTTATTAATGGGGAAAACAGAATATAATACGTGCAAACAGATTACAGTGCCCAACATTTGGACTTGTTGGGAATTCAAAGAAAATTCAAAATTAATTTAAAATTTGGGCCAAAAGAGTCCAATCTAGCTACTATGGCCTTAAATTAACACTAAAGCGTGTCCTTGTCCCTAGTAAAATGCAGGTCCCCCCCACCGCTGTTTGCATTAACATTAGGAAAATAAAGGATTTACTTAACTTTTTCTAGCTCTGAGACTTTCCTGTTTTGCCTTCTGCGTTCTGTAATGACCTCCTCCATTGTTGGTCCAATCCAATGCTCCTCAGAGTAGAATTGGGCACCTGAAGTGCAGGCCTGGTGAGTGCCACATGCATCCAAGCTTTAGCCACATTTTACATAGTCATTACTGTGGAAGCGCCTCTATCGGCGGTCAGGAAGTCAGGAACCAAAGGTGTGTTTACCTTTGCAATGTAAATATTGCCATATGTAAAGAACGTCAGTGTTTGACATTGCAGGATTTAAAGTAAGGATGGGTGCATCAATACCACTTCATTGAGATAAAGTGGCCTGGGTGACCTCAAAATATGAAATTCACTTTGAACTCACTTTGAATTACTCACAAATCTCACTTTAGGGATGAACACTGTGTGATATTACAATTACAGTATGTGTTATAACCTTGACGTCTGCAATCTCTTATTTTACAGTTACTTTTCTTCATATGGCTCACTAGGGTGTTATTTAAGAAATCTGGTATTTTGATCCTCTGATGTTCCATTTGGTGAGGTCCAGGTTATGCTTGGTTTCTAGCGTATGACTCACCCAATCACTAGTCACAATCACTAGTAGGGTAGTATATGATGCAACATCAGGGTATGAAAGATTTTCAACATTCAATCAATAGGTCAACATGCATTTTTATTAATTAAAGCTTTTTGTCCCAGAGACAAACATAAATGCCTTTTTTGGATTTAAGAAATATTTCTACTATTTAAAATATAACTGAAAATCACGTCAGTTGAGGTACTCTTGAGATTTTATTTGGCTCAAGTAGCTGAGCAGAAAAAAAAACTGGGTTGGATTTATTTTTCCATTTGTATATTGTGGACCAGCATTTTTAATTAGCTTGTACATTTTCCACCATTCCTAGTTAAGTGAAGTAAAATAATAATAAAACAAATTAAAATGTTTTTGCATTGTCCGGTTCATGGAGGTATATGCAACTCATGTCTACATATTTCATGCTAGAGTTTATAAAATACCACTCTTTACACAACATAGTATTTCCTTTTTTTCAGTCCCATGTGCTAACTATAGACATCAACACATTTTACATTGGATGTCCATCTATGCAAACTACCTACAAAAACTACCCAGTCTCGAAACACTTTCATATTATCAGCAATTTATTTTGTGTATTTCAGAACGGAGAAATCCACATCTCTGCCACTCTTCTATAGAGAGACACCACTAAAACAACAAAAATGAAGACATATTTATGTAAACATGTGAGTATTCACAATGATATTAATAACAGGAAGCCAACCTTAATCTGTGGATATGATTTCTTGTTCTTTTCACTGGAAGCACCAGGAAGGCCTCCATGCGATGGTCCTTCACAAACATATCGAAACCGGAACCCCCTCTAGGTAGATAGATCAAGATGGAGTTAGTAATAGACAGGCTGAGCAGGGGGAGATAGGTAGCACTAGGCATAACATTGAACAGGCAAGTGAACCCACCAAAAAATAAAAACTGAAGCTGGTCTCTAAAGCTGTGAGAATGAAGTCGCAGGCATACATACGTTTCCTAAATCATACCTTTTAACTACTTGCTTTCTGTAATAACTATAGCTACCTTGAGCTAGTTGTGATATGAGGGAACCATCCAGCGAACTCACCAACCAAACATCCAATGAACAAATGCTGACTTCCATTAGTAAAGATCATGGAAAAATATATTGTACCTTTATTGGATAATGATAAAAATTGCGATAGAAGACTTGGACACTACTGCATGGACAGTACAGACAGAACACGCTAATGCTGTTCTGCTGTGTCCAATTCTGATGTTGCAATTGTTCAGTAAAGGTACTATATATATTTTTGCATATTCTTTACGGGTGGAGATCAGCGTTTTTACACTTTTGATCTGTGTTCATTTGGATGTTTAGGCAGGGATAGAGCCTGCAAATGACTCCTGGTGAACATGCTGTGCTGTAACACTGCATTTTGCATTAATAATTTCCTCTTTAGCTGATATTATTGTTTTTTTTCTTGGAATTGTGTTTGATGATGGAACCATAACTACTGTATGCACATATGCTCCGTCCGACCATCTTTTCTACCGTGATGTTCTAAAAGTTGAAAATAATAAGATGTAAATCAAATTTACTTTAATGCATACTCTAGCAGAAATGCATGTGATTTTAAGTTAGTTTGTATAATCATTAAGTTATAGTACTAAACAAGTTATATGATATAATTAGGTGATGTTATTAGGCCATTAATTTACATAACTGTAATTAGTTATGTCCCACTCTCTGGCTAATCCCCACAGTAATATATTCCCAATAAACATCCTAAACAGGCACGTATCATCAAATGGTTGATGATAATGAAATATCGATATGTAGACCCCTACCTATATACAGGTCTGACTCTCCAGTATCTGTTGTCCAGTTTTAAAGGGCCAGAACATCTTTCATAGTTTGCTAACACTGATGAGCAAGTAACCGAACATGGACTATAAGTATCCATCAAAAGAGGGAGCAAAGTTGGTGCACCAGGGAGCAAAGTGGGTGCAGAGGGACAGAACCTTGAAATCAGGATTGTTCAGCCAAAGTTGGGAGGCATGCTAAATACACAATGGGTGTTATGTGTTCAAAGTGTAGGGTACTAAAGGTAGTGTAGCCACCATGGAAATTGCTTGCACCGGTTTTCAGATCAGACAGTTTTTAAACAAAAACTTCCATTTTATCTAATGAATTTTTTTTGCCATTAGTGAATGGTTATATGTACAAGACAAAATTATAATTTGGCAATTCATCTTTGTTTTTTCCATTTACCTGTTTAGGTTGCTCTACAATTTCCAAGTACGGCCCATCTACTGTTAAGAAAGAAAACAAGGACAAGAGACAAAATGAAGCAATATAGAAAGCAATATTATCAAAAATTATTTGTAGTAGCTTAAACAGGATAATAAAACATAAAATCTACTTCTGCACAGAAACGGCTCAGATTAAATAGTTTATTTAGATAAACCAATTATTTAATAGACTGAATGTCTGCATAATTCAGCAGGTGCCTGGACTGGAACAACATGTCCCATGACGCTCTCAGGGCCGGCGCGTCCATAAGGCGCACAGACGGCCGCCTCAGGGCGCACCGGCCAAGGGGCGCAAATGTCCGCCCCTCTCCTGTCGGTCACTTCTCGTAGCGTGGCCAGCAACCCTTTTAGCATGCCTTTATTTTGCAGTACCATGTGGAGGGGGCGGGGATATGAACACGTCATATCTCTGCTATCCCTGTAGAACACAGCGCGGCTGGCGTCCAGCAGGGGCGGAGCTAGCGCCGGCCTCTTTCTCACCGGCATGGGAGGAATTCCTCCCAAGAAGAGAGTAGAAGAAAGCTTTGAGGAGGCAGGCTGGGCAGGGCCAGCTCCTCCAACTCCCAACTACCTCAGGTAGCACTCCGGATCCCAGATAAGCCACCCTCCTATACCCACAAGGTAGGAAACAGGTTATATATCTTGTACCCACAAGATAGAAAAGTGTATATTTTGACCAGCATGTGCGTGTGTGTCTGTCTGTGTGTGTGTCTGTATGTCTCTGTGTGTATCTGTATGTCTGTCAGTGTGTATGTATCTGTATGTCTGTCAATATGTGTGTGTCTGAATGTCTGTGTGTCAGTGTGTGTATATATCTGTATATCTGTCAGTGTGTCTGTATGTCAGTGTGTGTTTATCTGTATGTCTGTCAGTGTTATCTGTGTGTCTGCATTTGTATATGTGTGTCTGTCTATCTTTTTAAATTTGTATCAGTTTGTGTATATTTGTATCTGCATGTGTGTCAGTGTGTGTATCTTCGTGTATGTGTATCACAGTGTGTGTGTAGCAGTGTATGTGCATATGTGCATACATCTCAGCATTCAAACGCCAACACTACACACAAATACACCCCTGCATGCAAACTTCAACACTACATACACACCCCCGCATTCAAATGTCAACACTTCATACAAACACACCTCTGTATTAGACACCAATATTATATATAAACACACCCCTGCATTCAAAAAACAACACTACACATAAATGCATGCTTGTTTTCAAACGCAAACACTACATATAAACACACCCCTACATTCACACAAACATACTCCATACAAAACCATGCTTTCAAACACACAAATACTGCTCAGTACTAAATAAAATCCTGCAAGCATGGGGAATTGGTAGAAGTTGCACGACAGATGGGGATCTATCTTTTAGCCATCCTGTGTACATACACAGACAGTCATACAGAGACATACAGTCTGTATGGCTCTGTATGACTGTCTGTGTATGTCTCTGTATGACTGTCTGCGTATGACTGTCTGTCTGTATCACTGTGTATGTATGTCTTTACATGCCTATCTGCATGTCTCTTTATGTCTGTGTCTGTATGAATGCATGTCTGTGTTTGTATTAGGGATCAACCGATTATCGGTCTGGCAGATATTATCGGCTGATATTCTGTATTTTCAGCAATATCGGTATCGGCTAATAAAGATACCGATATTGCCGATAGTGCAGCTGCTGGGAAGGGAAGTAAGAGTGTGCTACGGGGCCACCAGGGAATGCCATATCCTTCCCTCCCTGGCCAGGTAAGAAGCAGGGAGGGGGGACTAAAACAAAATGTGAAAAAATTTAATATATATATATAAAAAAAAGCCCCCTCCCCCATTTTACACACATTACATACCTACACAAACACTAACTTCACAAACATACACTACATTAATTATATACACACACACACTACACAAACACACTGAATTCACTAACACACACTACACAAACACACACTCTGCATTCATTATACACACACTACACAAACACTTCATCCACTATGCACACACTACACAAAATCTTTCTAGGATACTAAAAAGACCATAAAATATATGATTTACATAAGAGTAAATATAGCTACCTGGCTATACCTGAATATATAATATATGACCATATGGCAATATATAGCTAAAATCGTATACTTCTTAAACTCATGTTAGACATAACAATTTCTCTTTAAAGGCAGCAACACATAATTCACTATACACATACTACATAAACACACACTGCATTCACTATACACATACTACATAAACACACACTGCATTCACTATACACACACTACACAAACACACACTGCATCCACTATACACACACTCCACAAACACACTGCATTCACTATACACACACTCCACAAACACACACTCTGCATTCATTATATACACACTACAAAAAACACACACTCTGCATTCATTATACACACACTACACAAACACACACTGCATCCACTATACACACACTACACAAACACACTGCATTCACTATATACATACTACACAAACACACACTCTGCATTCATTATACACACACTACACAAACACACACTCTGCATTCATTATACACACACTACACAAACATACACTTCATTCACTATACACACACAACAACAAAAAACACTGCATCCACTATACACACACTACACAAACACACTGCATTCACTATACACGCACTACACAAACAAACACTTTGCATTCCTTATATACACACTACACGAAAACAAACTGCATTCACTATATACACATTACACAAACACACACACTGCATCCACTATGCACATACTACACAAACACACTGAATTCACTATACACACACTACACAAACAAACACTCTGCATTCATTATACACACACTACACGAACACACACTGCATTCACTATACACACACTACACAAACACACACTGCATCCACTATACACACACTACACAAACACACTGCAGTCACTATACACACACTCCACAAACACACACTCTGCATTCATTATATACACACTACACAAACACACTGCATTCACTATATACACACACTACACAAACACACACTCTGCATTCATTATACACACACTACACAAACACACTGCATTCACTATACACACACACACACTACACAAACACACACAGCATCCACTACACAAACATACACTGCATCCACTACACAAACACACTGCATTCACTTATCAAATACTCTCACTGCATCCACTACACACACATATATTCTTGAAAACATGAACAATTCTGACTGGCATGTATATTTTGTGTGTTTACCTTACTAAAAAAAAATTTGCAAAAAAATTCATAAATATTTTTTTTCAATATATGTTTATTTTAACATTGTTTTCATCCAAGTAACATACATGGAAAAATCATATTACTATGTTACAATGAGATAATATATATTTTTTTTTTTTTACATACATGCATAACAAATCCATCGCTATGGTTTTGTTAATTAAAACACAAAATATTCCAGTCACAAGAAAGAAAGAAAAAGAATAAACACAACACTTTCATACACACACTAAATTTCCATTCAACGAGAGGATAAATTTTGGGGGGAAAACAGGTTGAGAGGTTAAGCTTTTGTACTCAAATATCTAACCCAAAGGGCCCATATTTCATCATATTTCTCTTTGGATACTCTATCCAATGCTATGCCTGCTTCCATCCTATGTTGGAAATCCAACTGTGTACTTATATCAGACCAATTCAAGGGACCCATAATTCTCCAATTTCTGGCCAAAACTAGCCATAAAAGTATGAATCATAAGAATTTTCGTTTTTAAGTTAAGCTTTGGCATGTCTAAATGAAACAAGAACATTTGGGCAGTTATCTCAGTTAGTACCTAGTGATAAACTTTACAAGCCCAGATAAAATTGATTTCATAGGGGTCAATTCCTCACAGCCCCACCATATATGGGGAAATGACCCTAATGCCTTGCCACATCTCCAACAATCTGGTATAGTTGTAGATTGAAATTTATGTAGGCGAGTAGGCACCAAGTACCATCTATAAACAAGTTTAAAATAGACTTCCCGTATATTTACCCCATGTATGTATCTTTTTACTGAATGTAGCCCTGATAACCATTCTTCAAGCGTAAAGGAAACTTGTAATTCTTGCTCCCATTTTATGCATGCTAATGCTTTATCTAATTGTTTTTGATCTTTTATGAAGCAGTTAAATCTAGAAGCAATTTTTTTCCTATAGTGGAATGCTATAAATTGGTCGATTGGGGAATTTTCTGAGAATTCTTTACTTGAAATAAATGATTTAACTCTTAAATAGTTATAGTTAAGCTGTAACATTGAAAATGCTAAAATTTGCTTGCCCTCTAATAAATCCTCAAATTTTACAATTCCACATCTTTCCCATTCTTGGATGTTTATATCTTTTACATATAATTTTAAACATGCTAGTGGGGCATTTTTTTTATATATGTTTGGTGCCATATTTTTTCTTTAGATATTTTACTATATAAATCATTGTATTATTCATCGGATTGTTTGTTTTTATACTTTTTATAAATTCACTATCACACCATATAAGGAAAAGAGGTTCAAGATTGCCAAGGTCAGTTTTTTCAATATCTATCCAAGTTGGTCTTAAGGTTGTAAAGTTATCGCACATAATTAGATAATTAGATGTGCAGTCATGTTAATCATATATATTTTTGGTACATCCGGAAAGGAAACACCTCCCTCCCTCCATTCTCTCTGTAAAGTTTCCAGTGATACTCTGGGTCGTCTATCCTGCCAAATATATTCTGAAATCTGTCTTTGAAAACCACGCATCGTCTGGGAGTCCACCATCAGCGGGAGGTTCCTAAATAGAAATGTCAGTTTGGGAAGTAGGTAGGAGTTAACTGCCTCAATTCTTCCCATCCATGACAGTTCCAGTCCCCTCCAAGCTTTAAGGGTACTCCTAAACTGGGTAGCCATTTCTGAGTAATTTAGTGCTACGATTTCACTGTATTCCAATGATAGGGTTTCCCCTAGATATTTTATGATCCTAGCTCCCCAATCACACTTATAATCCTCTTTAAGCATTTTTTCCCCATGCCCATTTAAGCCCTTGATCAAATTTTTTTTTTTATTTATGTTTACTCTGTAGCCTGAAAGCTTACTATAATCCTTAATAAGGCAAAATACAGCTGGGATAGATCTGATAGGATCTGTGAGAGACAGGAGAACTTCATCTGCATAAAGTGTGATTTTATTCTCCATAGTGTTCACCATAAATCCACTAATATCCTCAATCTGTCTTATAGTGGCAGCCAAGGGCTTTATAGAAAGAATGTATAGCAGGGGTGCCAAAGGGCAACCCTGTCGCTTCCCATTTCTGATTGGGAACCAATTTGATTGGAACATAGATCCGGAGACCCTAGCCTGGGAATCTTTATATAATGCCATAGTACATTCCTTAAAAGCACCATCTATGCCAAAGGCCCTCAGAACCTCTTCCAGTTAACACGATCAAAGGCCTTCTCGGCATCGAGTGTGACCAAAGCAAAAGGGGACGGGCTTTGACTTGCATGATATAAGACATTCATTATTTTCCTAATATTATCAGGCGTGCCCCTACTCTCCACGAAACCGCTCTGATCTATATGCACAATGTCTGGTATAATTCCTTTTAGTCTGTCTGCCAAAATTCTAGAATACAACTTAATATCTAAATTGATAAGGGAAATTGGCCTATAGTTCACAGTATATGCTGGATCTTTTTCTAATTTAGGAATTGGCATTATGGAGGCCTGAAGCATCTCTGATGGGATTACTTTACGAGTAGCAAAAAAATTAATAAATATTAAACATGTTCAGTTAACAGTAGATTTGTGTACAAATAGTTTATTTTTTCAAAATGGTAAATGTACAGAATATTGGTATTGGTAAATTATCGGCTATTGGCTTGAAAGTTCACAGATTATCGGTATCAGTACCGGCTCTAAAAAAATCAATATCTGCTGATCTCTAGTTTGTATGACAGTGTACCTGTATGTGTAGATTGTATGACTGTGTTTGTTTGATTGTGTGCCTTTTATGACTGTGTGTCTGTATATCTTTGTGACTGTGTGCCTGAATAACTATGTCTGTGTGCTTTTATGGTTGTGTGTCTGCATGTTTGTATATTTGTGCATATATGTATTTTTGCCTGTATATATGTCTATATGGGAGAAAGGTAGATAGGGGCTGGGGGGAGAAATAGAGATAGATAGGGCTGGGGTGAAGAAAGACACAAAGGGGCTGGCGGTGAAGTAAGAAATACATAAGATGGGTTGTAAGTAGAGATGTTGCGAACCGTCCGCGAACTTCTCGCGAACGGTTCGCGGCGAACTCCGGTCAGCTGACACATCCCTGCCAATCTCCGGCAGACCCTCCCTCCCAGGCCCTCCCACCTCCTGGACAGCATCCATGTTGAAGCTGCCTTCAACATGGATGCTGTCCAGGAAGTAGGAGGGTCTGGGAGGGAGGGTCTGCTGGAGATTGGCCGGGATGTGTCAGCTGACCGGAGTTCGCCGCGAACCGCGGCGAACCGTTCGCGAGAAGTTCGCGGACGGTTCGCGACATCTCTAGTTGTAAGAGACACACTAAAGGGGGGTGTAAGGCACAAAGGGGCGAAAGGGGTAAGACATTCAAGAAAGGGGATGAAACACTAATGGGTGTAAGAAATTCAAAAGGAGGGCTACGAGACACAGAAGTGAAGATGCATTTTTTTGGATGGGGGCGGCAAAATGCATCTTTGCCTGTGTAGTCAAAAATCCTTGCACCGGCCCTGGATGTTCTGCAATAAAATTGAAAGTGAAAGCAGAAGCTTTTGGGTGAGTTCACAGAAGTTGCAGATGCACAGCAACATGTGAGCTAGGTGCTAGCTAGTATTGATCTATAATATATGTGACTTTTCAATTAATCTTAACTTGCTGCCATAATTATTATCTAGGTGACATTTACATAAAGAATGTGGGGGTGGTGCACAACTTTATCAGACCTGTGCATCAGAAAACACATCTCCCAGACATTCTAATTTACTTTTAATTTGTGACATGGCAACTAAAATTTTCGAAAAGAAAAGAGTTTCATACTTTTTAAGATTGTTTAAATAAATATACAGCATGTTAAATACAGACAGCACTTTATTGCCAGGGTCAAACAACTGCAAAATATTTAAGTAGAATTCATGTTTTGATAGAAAAATTAGATGTCGAAACACAAATAACATGAAGCTGTGGGAGGCAGTGTTGTAAAATACAGGTAAAGAAATGACTGTCAAATAAGCATAATTTACATTACTCACTATTTGATAGCAAATGCTCAATGATCACTAAAGGACACTAGTATGTTTTGTTTTTTTTTGTACATGTCACAAACCAGGAGGTAGCGATGCCTACTTCCTCCATGCAGTAAAGCTGGCTACAATTTATTTCCTGCTCGGTGTGAAAAAAAACCCTACCAGATTGATGAAGAATATCTTTGCAGATTATGATGTTAAAAGCATGACTGGAGACAGTAAAAACATAATTATGCTAAAGTAAAGTAAATTAAAGTTGCCTGAATACATTATGAATACATTTTAATGTACATAGGGACTGTTTTCAAAATAAAGTAAAACAAACTTGCAAGCTACAACTTAGACTGAGCTTCTAATTTCAGGCTTAGATGGCTCCACACTATCAATGCAGCAATATAAATAATGCATTAAAATGTAAAAATAAATAAATAATAGATACTCAGCTTTGAAGTTCCTGCATTTACAGAATACTCACAGACTTCACAGCATCTACAGAGAGCTTAGTATATATGCTACAGACATAAGTAACTGTGCTGGGACCATAACCTATTTAATGCCCTATTTAAAATGATATGAATCTTTTTATGATGCCCGAAGTATCCCATAGCAAGGGTGTTGGAAAAATTGCTTACTGCTTTGCATTGGTGACTCGGCCAGTAACATTTGGTCTGGAAACATTCTATAATATGGATCCATCATCTGCAACAGTAAAAGTAGAGTTTCAGCGCACATTTTATTTTACATACTATCTGTATTATGGACTGTTAAGTTAAATCTCTTCATAAGGTATACTGCATTCTATGCAGAAATACTGAAAATCTGATCCCATCATGCACAGCCTGCTGACAGTTACCCATGTGCAAAAAGTGAAAAAATAGTTAGGTTTGATGTGTAATCTTTAATCTTATTTTTTAATTTAGAGAGAGCCAAGAAATCATCATCCACAATGTCTACTGCTGCCTGATAAACATTCTCGGTGACCTATAATACTACAAGAAGCCATTTTCTGAACGTTATTAGATTTGTTGATTGTACTTGGGTGTAAAAGGGCCAAGGAATATGAGGCCATTTTGCAGGTCCTGGTAAACCCTGTTGTGCAAATATTTATCTTTAGAGTTGACCATATTCCAAGATGATAAGGCTTCAGAAAAAATGCTTTAAAAAAATACAAAATACAGTGGTTCCATGTACATGACGTTGTGACGCCATTGGGGTAACAAACAAGGAAGTCAAAATATGAAATACTAAGAATATATATATTTTTTTATTTATACCAGGTTTAACAAGGTTTGGAGATAGGTTTTATTTACTGTAGATATATAAATATTGTTGCCCAACATATTGTACCTTTTTATAAGAAATTCTATACGTGAAAATCTTTCTAGGATACTAAAAAGACCATAAAATATATGATTTACATAAGAGTAAATATAGCTACCTGGCTATACCTGAATATGTAATATATGACCATATGGCAATATATAGCTAAAATCCTATACTTCTTAAAATCATGTTAGACATAACAATTTCTCTTTAAAGGCAGCAAAAAAAAAAAAAAATAGTGACTGTTGTACTCACCGGATCTTCAAGTTCAAACATATTTTTTGCCATCTGCCACCTACAAAACAAATGGGCAGATTATAAGAATTAAAAGAATTAGTGTAAAACAGGAATTATAAAATACTTCAACCACTTACTACATAAATAATTAAAATGCAGGACATTTATTTAATACTTTTTGGAGAATACATATGTCATAGTTTTTTGTAATATGTTGACATTTTTGAAAGAATGGCTTACATAATTACATATGTTGCAAGATATTATGAAGTTGCCTATAAATTCCCTGAATAGTCCCGCCATGGCATAACCGCTGTCCCTCCCTATAATTCTTTGGCTCAATGTTTGCTTGAGGGAGTTTCATAAATGTATGAATCTGCAAAAAAGAGGCAAGTTTATAAAGGGACATCAGTTAACGTGCAAACATGACCTACCCCTGCCATTAGGTTTCAGTTGTGCTTTCTTAAAACTGCTGCACTTTCCAATTAGTGACACTTATATGATTCTCTCCCAGAGAACAAGATATTAATGTGAACTGGGCACATTAAGGGCTGGATTTACCCTCTATGCTACCCTGTATGCATTAGGATGTCCTCCTGTTTTGTATTTTTTGTTAATGTAATCATCCCCCTGCACATACTCTTATTTAATTGAAACCCCCCAACCAATGCCCACATGTGGGGGCACAGGTGGTCCAGGTCTCCCCTGTTATTTGATATATTTTATTTCCGGACTGCAGTTGTTGTTATGGTGTTCAATGCAACCCTGACACTCATCATATTCTTCTGTTTTGTTTAAAAAAATAAAATTTTGCAACAAAAACAAAGATTATGAGAATGGGCAAAAACTCTGAAAAACTCTGTAGCTTGTCCTTTCTTTAGTCCCTGCTTAGGTCTTAATGTTTTTGCTCACTTGAGCCATTACAAAGAGAATATATATTTAATTTGCATATCAGACTGATCCTTCCCATAAGAGCAGTCCAGAATCAAAATGCCAGCAAGTTCTCTCTGCACAAAAGATACAGCACACAGTCTGAATTATTACCCTTTTAACTTACGGAGAGCCCAAGCAAATGCAGTCCAACAACAAATATGAGATCTCTGAGCAAAAGCTTTTTCTGCATGTACTACTATGGGTTTTTGTTTTTTTTTGTACATGATCAATATGCTCCTGTCACAAACCAGGAGGCAGCGATGCCTACTTCCTCCATGCAGTAAAGCTGGCTACAATTTATTTCCTGCACGGTGTGAAAAAAAACCCACCAGAGTGATGAAGAATATCTTTGCAGATTATGATGTTAAAAGCATGGCTGGAGACAGTAAAAACATAATTATGCTAAAGTAAAGTAAAGTTGCCTGAATACTTTATGAATACATTTTAATGTACATAGGGACGGTTTCAAAATAAAATGAAACAAACTTGCAAGCTACAACTTAGACTGAGCTCTCTCCTTCTTCTACTTATATTTGCACATATCCTATTTAGTGAACAAAGCTACATATAAACTGACAGCAGTCACAATATGGCTGCCATTAGTTTACTTAGCAGTTCCACTCATTCTCAGTGAAACTGCTCTTAGTGACTATTGGGCCAGGGCTTATGGGTAAGAGTCTCTTCATGCTGACAAAAGGATCTGTCTGCAGCTGCTAATTTGTTAGTAAGTACATTTTGTTTTTACATATTTTGTAACTTTTAAAAAAAATAAAACAAGACCTTCATCTAAAATGGCTTCATGTAGGTGATGGATTTTCTAATGCAATCTACAGCTCCAAAGATGCCAGGTTAACAGACTAGTTGCAGGTAATATCCATCCAGTGCTGTAATCAGCATTTTGTTTGTCATTAACCACACAATCTCACATATAAAAAAAACCATACAATTATCATTTATTTACTAAAGTGAGAATTCTAGGTGAATTTCACATTTATTTATTCATTCCATTCTTTATTTTTTTTGTGCAGAAAAGTACAAACACGCCTGCAATGCCACAACAGCCAAAACACGCATAGTTATATCAAATGATAACAAAGGTATGTAATTGGAATAAACAGCAGAATTCTATCAAAATATTGAGATACAAAATAACTAGAATGTTTTCGAATTAAACTGAAATGGGATTAGTAGGTAGAGATAAGAGGCAAATAGACATGAGATTCTACAAGACAGTCACAGTTCAGGACTAGTGGAAGAGTAATTAGGCATGAGATGTGCACTGTCAGTATTATGATATAGGTAAGTATATCATCTCCGTCACTGCTTAGCATACAGGTGCACCGGCAGGTATCTGGAGCCACCCGGAGCTCAGAGAACACAGTTGATATCAAATATTTGGCAGTGAGTTTAATGCAGTTTTTATGAGGAGCTCACCACTCATGTGGCCGTTCAGTCGTGAATTTCAAATTCAAAGCTAGAGTAGCAAAACTGAAAACATGGCTGAATTGTTTCAGTTCGGCTATTTTGAACTTAAATCTGAATTTCACTTTGAACTTAATGTGAACTCTCACTTTAGTGAACAACCATGCTCAAGGCCCGCCTCCAAGTCCATCCACAGGGCCCACCTCCAAGTCCGCCAACAAGGGTGCAGTGTATGTAGAGTGGATATAGGGTGTGTGTGTTGTAGATGCAGTGTGTGTGTTTGTGTATTGGGTGCAGTGTGAGTAAAGTGGATACATTAAGTGTGTAAAGTAGACACAGTGTGTGTTAGTGTATGTGTAGTGGATGCAATATGCATGTGTAGTGGATGCAGAGTGTATATTGTGTGTGTAGTAGCTGTGGTGTGTATATTGTGTGTGCATTTATATGTGTATCTATATATATATATATAAATGTAAATATATATATATATATATATATACATATACACACACATACATAATGTGTGTTTAAATGTAAGTATATTTTTGTTTAGAGCATGTGTGTGAATGTCAGTATTTGAATGCAGGCGTGCATTTGTGTGTAGTGTATACATTTCTACATTCACTGATACACACAAAAATACACATGCAAATACACAGACACGCAGATACACACACAGACATACTGACACACACATACATAATGACACAGAGACACACAGATATACACACACAGAGACATACTGACTGTGGCAAAAGTAACCTCGCCACTTGTACTAGGAGGGGCCTGCTTGCCAGCCTCCTGCCCACAGTCTATGGGCCCTGCAGGGAAACCTCTAAAATACTACTGAACTTGACCAGCTGTTAGCACTGATTTCCCTGGAACTGTTTTAGGCATAGCACCATGTGCACGGTCAGTCAAAACTATGACTTCCGGGACATTTCTGAACCCCCTGAACCGATCTGGGTGATTTTTAGATATGTTGTTCACCTAGATCGGGGCTATCATGGAATTTATGGGATTTGAGGTGTTTTTTAGGTATGTTTTGGGGTTTCATAAAATTGTATGTTTTTCTGTGCTTGGAGATAATTTGGTTAGATTAGTACCGTTCCTGATTCAATTATCTCCCAAGCACAGAGGAGGCATTCTATTGTTTGTGTATGGGAGTTTCTTACCCTCAACATAGAGTCTCATCTTATGTGTGGGGGAAACGGCTGTATCTACCCTGCGGATTGCTATATCACTATACTCCCCTGGGATTATAATCACTAGCTCTTTTAAGAGTTGTTCCTGCTACGCTCTCTGGAGTAGAAGAGGTTCACCCACTGGAAGCTGGATCCTGGTCTTGGGTCCAGGGTGGGTGGAGGACAGCGAGTTCCCAGCCAAGCTGTAACGCTGGACGTGGGGACTACAGTGCTGATGGTGTCTGGTGGAGTGCTTGGAGCCCTCGGTAAGCACTAGGAGTATCAACTGATGCAGACACCCGATTGGGGTGCCAGGCGGTCCATCACACTGACACAGACACACATACTGACACAGACACACACACATAAACACATATACTGACACAGAGACACACAGATATATAAACACACGGACATATTGACACACACACATACATAGACATACTGACACAGACACATACAGACATATATACTGACACACAGATATACATTCTGACATACAGATGCAGGTAATTTTTCAGCAAACCTCCTGTTTTTTTACTTTTTGCAGCACTGATCAGGCCATTGAAGAGATATAGGAATAAACAGAAGAAGGAAACAGCGCCAAAATAAACCAATACTGGGGGGCGTGGCCTGACTGTGCAGCAGTGCAGACGCACAAACCAAGAGCTCCTGGGCCTAAGGCCAATTACTGGCTAAAATCAGGGGCAAACTAAATAATCTTGATCCCCAATTCACCACAACTTGATCTGCAGACATTGGTGAACAGGGGGATACCTCACATGCCCAGAAATAACACCGGAATGACCAAGCTGAGGCCTGGGGCCTATACTAAGCAGGGCAATGGAGAGGCGGACGCTCTCCCAGCCCATAACCGCATGCAGCACCCGCAGCAAATGGCTACCCCCCCCCTTAGGACCGGTGGGGGTTATCCCGGTCCCAATCACCTCGACGGGCAAGCCCCAGTGGACCCTAAAAGCGGTCACCGACCCCATCCACGCACCGAACTTGCAAGCAGCCCACCATATCAAAATGGCAGACACGCAGCCTTGTGGACAACCTGGGCCTCCACCACTAAGCCCCAACACAAACGACTCCCTCACCACCTGCCTAGACGGGCTGTTTGAAGCCTTCTGGGCAAAGATCGCGGCCCGACATAAGGAAGAGCGATCCAATCTGCTAGAGATCGGAGGTACGGAGGGCCAACAAGGCGACACCGTTTGGAGTGGGACCAGACTGCCTTTGGGCAAAGCCATGAAAACTCAATCCAAGAATCTCCACACCAGCCCATCTGGGCCGAGGGCCAACACGGGATTAACCCGGTGCATCGACCACATAGGCAGAGATCCACCCGCCGACGGCGGCATACCACCAACCCCAGGATCTCCAGACCTACCCCGAAAGGGAAGGACTCGGCCTTCAATAGTCCCCGAGTCCGTGGCTACAAGATGCCGGCCCTGCTACAGGCCCGGAGCGGGAAGGCACCTCTGGTAAGCTCCTGGCCGACCGCCAACCTCTACACTACCCCACGCAAGCTCCAGAGGGCACAGCAGCACGCACCCGTGGCGAAAGCTCTACCAGCACGCAAGCAACAGAGCCCAACGAAGCCATCAGCAGCACAGAGGTGGGAACTACCAAAGGACAAACCTCAGCCCTGCATCAAACCTTGCAAGCGATGGAGAGTCGGGTCCCTGACCACAAAACAGCACAGCCTCAAACCTGGGACTCAAACTGGTAACAACATACCCTTCCTAACAGGCGTCTGGAAACACCATAGCAGGATAGCAGAGCAGCTGGAATCTGGCAAACGACCGCTAAGCGGCATCGGTTGACTGAGCCTGGCTCTACCAAGCACCAAGCAGCGCAGAGCCTGGGCTTCTTTTATCATATCTTTTTCTTTTTTCACTTCTCAAATTTACATTGGCCCACTGTTGATTGACTCTGAGTTGCATGACTGCGCTGCCTTCTTCTTCTTATTATAATTATTGTTTTTATTTGAATTGTCTAGGCCTCACATAAATGTCCAGTGATAGATTGTCATACGTACTTAAGAAAATGTCACACACAACAGGCTGACTAGCTGACACATTCACACTGAGAAAGCCGGCAATCACCCTCGCTGTGCGTCATGCTATTTAACCACTCAACTCCCTAGATATGCTCGCCTATCACATATTCGGCTTAAGGCGCCTGACATTATAATTATAAAAATGATGCTCACACACCTACTCAGCCCTAGGCGCACCGTAGGCCTCAACCACGTTTAAACTCTGAATGCTTATAAGATAGCTCAAACTGTCAATTTTTCCTTCATGTAGTTCCCAGTATGGATGCCATTCATGTTACAGACAGTCCGTCCAAATCTGACCTTATAAAAAATGTGCTGTTAATGCTAGCCATGTTACTGAATATTTTTGTGTTACTCTATTGGCTTATATCTGTTGTCGTGGCGCAATAAGCGTATCTGTAATTCTAAGCACTACAAAAATAAAGAATTTAAAAAATAAAAAATAAACCAATACTAAGATAGGTAATGTATGAGGCGGCAACCTAAAAATAGGGTTCCCTCTAAACCCTATAGACAAAGGTAATACACAAGACACAATAGAAAAAGGTTGCGCCAAAGCTGGCTATGGTATGACTAAAAGTAGCCAAAATACCTTTATTTGGAATACAGAATAAAATATTAAAAGTGGATATTTTAATATTTTATTCTGTATTCCAAATAAAAGGTATTTGGCTACTTTTAACTCACTTTGATTTTGCCATTTTACTCTTTTTATTCATTATTTTTATTTTTGCTTGGTAACCTGATTTTATTCCTCCCGCTGAGTATTACTCCAAAGACATCCAAGGTGGGGATTATACCACTCACGCCTGAGTCATTGAGCAGTCTGCCTGTTCAATCTTATGTGAGTACACATTTTATCAATACTCCTTATATGCCATTTTTATACAGCGAGCACTATTAGTTGTCTCTTCTCTTTCATGATCTACATATCGAAACAAGACTCAACCCTCTAAACGTATACTATAAGCGGGGATTATACCGCTGTACGCCATTCACACTAGAGCTGGTTTGAGCTCTACTTCACGTGAGTAGGACTATAGTAGACTCTGTTGTCGTATATACCACCTTTACCAGACGTATTGCCCTATCATCTGTCTTTTTTTCCCACGTACGGATTTAAAGACCAATACCTCCCTACATATTCTACAAGCGGGGATTGTACCGCTGTATGCCATCCACACTAGAGCTAGTTTAGCTCTACTACACGTAAGTAGGATTACTATAGATCTCTTCTTCCTGCAATTGAACACTATGTATCAGACATATTTGAACTATTATCTCTTTCTCTCTTTACATACGGATCCTGAAAACCATCTTCATTTGACCCATAGAGAGAATATTCCTCCACAAAAGCCGTCGGTGCCCCATCAGGCCCAACTTGACACTTTGCTTTGGCACTACTTATTCTCTGGACTTTGTTTATTTTAGTCATACCATAGCCAGCATTGAAGACATTTGACCATCGGGTGGTCCTAAGTGCATTGGCCACCCAATGGACCCCATCAGCATGTGGGACCCAGTGCAGATGCACCAGCGACAGTTCTGCCGCTACAGATTGGGAATGCACCCCATTACCGCCGGGGCCACGACAACCATCATGTTTGTCACCACCTGATGGCTGCCCTGATCCTGCTTATGTCTGATGTACAACACTGGCAAAAGTTAAACACAGTTTTAGGTTGCTAATGATTTTTTAACAGCAGCGGAATTACAGGCAGAATATGAATAAGACATTTTGAGCATGCGATCCTGTTTAAAATAAATACACAATAGTGGCTAAACTTCACCAAACGCAAACAAGTGTAGGACTGTGATTGTGTCCAGTGTTTAAGTGTTGAATAAACTCCAGTGGGAAAACTAAATGTGTGTGTAGCTACAATGGATTAATCAATTTCTGACAATCCTAAAATGCCGTAAATAAATAAGTGGTTTTCTGGGGCACTGTGGGTGCCAATGTTATTCATTAATAAATATAAAAGGCCCAGGAGAATGGTCATATGGTCACATCAGCTATAGTAGGTAGGTGGAGAAAGAACAAAGGCCATTTACCGTCCCTCTCCTGTTTTCCAGGGGTTCCAGGTACCCCACAGGTCTGTATAATCTTAGCATATCTATTTTTTTAAGTTTCTTTTTTAAAAGATGCAAACCGCTTTCTAAGTGTTACTCTTTGCAACTCTGTACTTCCTGGTGCATTGCTTTACATCGATTATCTTAAATTACCACCAGTTTACAGGCTTTACACTGAGAAATCAGTTATATTAAATCTGTCAAGTTATATGCGGAAGTCATTTTTTTCTCCTATGCAATTTTTTGGCACACTAGTAAATCAAGCAGATATTGTCCATCCATATTTTGTAATTTACAAAATATAAGTTTGCTATTTCTTAAAAGAATATAGTGTTAATTTTTTTTTTTTTTTTACTTTTAAGCACGTGAAGTAAGTTATAAATATCTGTAACGTGAATCAGAGACAACTTCCTAAGATGTAATTTCATTTTCTTGGTTTTAATTGCATTCAGAAAACAAAAGTGTCAAACATATGTCAAATCGAAAGTTCTGAAATGATGACACAAAGCCGATTGATGGTGAATATATTAGGCGTAAAGTCACATGCCACCTTACATTTTAAGAAACCAAAAACAGGCACTTTTGGTTTAAGATGTATCAATAGATTTGCTCGGAGCTATTCTATAATGATTTAGACTTCTTGACCTAACAGCCATTTATGTATATAGTTGTAAATATCCCTTAAAGTTTTATGAAAGTAACACTCGGCACCAGAACAACTTCATTGAAATAAAGTTGTGATGGTGCCAGGAGGTCCCTGGGACTGGCTTATATTAAGGGGTTAAAGCATTCTTGAACAGTTTAACCCACAAAGTCTTTGTTCCAGTGCTGAATCTCTCTGTCTTTCTGTCCTTCCGTTTTCTAAAAATCTTTGAATCGGAAGGCTTGCACAATGAGGTATTTTTATGAATCGGTATTCAATGATTGGCTGAGATCGTCAACAGACCGCTCTCAGCCAATCACTGAATACCGATTCATAAAAATGTTTTGAAAAGAAACATACCTTTTTTTCAAGCCAGTTTTCATTTCAATTAAGTTGTTACGTTTATGATACACTTGTAACTAGACAAAAATAGTACACATACTAGAATATATACATTTCACATTTGACTATATCACCAAAAGAATATATTGTGTGTAAACAAAACAAAAAGAAAATAAAAGAATCTTAAAAAGTGGGGGAGATTTATCTAAGTGTCTAAAATGCGGTACACAAATCTAAAAAGGAATTAGTCACCAATACAATGTGTCTGCTGTGGCCTGTGGTAAGTGGGCTGTTCTAAAAAGTTTTAGGTGACTTACTTATGAATTACATTTTTGCAACTAAAATAAAATTTAGAACAAGAATACTATCTTATTTGCACATACTGATTTCTAAACACATTTATTGTAGTGTAAAACACATTACTATGAATATTGTTGCTGTGGAGCTCTGGTATACCAATAGTATTAAGCTCCTAGAAAAGAGAGACGTTAGGAAAGAAAAGGGGGACCGAGGGATGAGACCAAAATAGGGGCTGTGCCTCCTAAATAGAGACACTATTTCTATTCACCACCATTCACTCTTTAGTCAAAGGCAAAGGATGTGGTTCTGAATGGCCACGTTTAACTCAGAGGTTGGACCTTCTCAATGCAAAAGAGGTAGCAGTGGGCACCCAACAGGACCCCAGGTAAGTTGTCAAACCATTTTTAAATGTTGTAGTGCTTATGATGCTTAGAGTGTTCCCTTAAAGAGCAAGTATAACATCCAGACCACTTAATCTCAATGAAGTGGTCTGGGTGTCATGTCCCTGTGGTTATAACCCTGCAACTGAAAACACTGATTAAATTGCAGAGTTAAATTAACGCTATAGTGTCCGGGATACAAATTTGTATTCCTGACACTATAGTTCCAAAATAATGGTTTAGGTCCCTGGTCTCCCTTACCTCCAGTTAAAAAGGTGAGTTTATCCCCAGCACACACAGGTCAAACTTGATGATCTCAGCCAATCAAATTCTGTCCCATAGGAAAGCATTTAAAGGCTATCACGCATTTGTGACAAACTGTGCCAATCAGCATCACCTGAGTCAATGCATCTCTGGGGGAAGTTCAGCGTTTCCATGCAGAGTGTGGAGACGCTGAACGTCAGTGCTGCACACTGTGAAGTACTGACCCAGCAAGCACCTCTTGTGGCTGTCTAAGTGACAGCCACTGGAGGTGTTCTTAGGCAGTAGGAACACTATAGACATTATAATAACTACATTAAGTTGTGGTTGTTCTGGTGACTACAGTGTACCTTTAATGTGTCTTTAGTGGCTGTCACTACATTTCTACTAACGGTGAGCAGGTCACTATAGGGCTCGGAATGTTTGCATTCCTAATGTTGTCTTGTTAAAGTGAAGCTGCCTGTTTTCAACTAATAAGCTGTCCAGTCCACGATAATGCTTTCTATTGCACTTTTCCATGCCTAGAATTCTATTCTTACACATATCTGAAGCCATTTCTTTTAGTGTCTCATCCAGTAAAACTGATGACTTGACATAAGCTACATATTGTAACACAGCACTCTGCCTCTTGACAGAACATGAGTTTGCATGCACAAGCAAGCCCTTCCTGGCCATGGATTTATAGACATAAAAAAAAAAAGGAAATGCATCTATATTTTTCATTTCAAGACAGAAAATTTGCATAAAATCACTGACAACTATTTTGTTAAAGTGACTCTGCCACTTCTGAGTATGTCATGAAGATATAATCTTTATGAAATACTGCTCCTGACTGTGTAGGAATGTAACTGACTGTACTGGATTTTCATTGACATTCCAAACCAATCCAAACCGAGGGACTTCATTGTCTGGCGAAGCAAAACAGTTGGCAAAAGAATAAGCTCTTCTGTAAATTTTTCTCCAATAACAGCAGCTATCACAGGTTATGGCTGAGGGATTCAGGCATTTTCTCATTCGTCGCTCCAGTGGGATCCTCCATAGACCTCATGGTGTACTCCATTTAGGCACTGATGCGGGCATTGGTAGATAAAGCAGCCAGACATTAAGAGCATGTGCCGGACGAAGATGGTGGCTGCCACGAGCGACATCTTCAGGAAAGTATACCAATCTTCCACTTCACCCCATGGCCAACAGGCCCTAAGCAGAGGTGTCAACTTTGGAGGACTTTGCAAAATATGCAAGACCCCAAAAGTGTCATATTTTATTTAAAGTATGTCTCCTCTATGATGTCCTATGTGAGGAGGAGAGATGAGCAGCACTGAGGGAACCTCAGCATTGGAAAAGGGTAAGTATAACATTTATTTATATTATTTTATATGGCAAAATGGGGGTATCTGTTTTTAAACAGGGACACTAGTGTTAGGAATACAGATTTGTATATATATATATATATATATATATATATATATATATATGTGTGTGAATATTTACATATTTCCTAAAAATGGCAGTTGTCTCTCTCCATAGAGTAGAGGCAGAACTAATAAAAAAAAAGAAAGCTTTTACTTTCAATTTCAGAATATTCGCAGACCTGCATGTCAGCCTCTGCAAGGACCTTCCCTTCTTCAATCTGAAATCATATGTATTTTAACTGAATCTTGCAGATTTCTTCATATGAAAAGGAAAACAGGACGATTTAACATTGAAGGCTAACGGGATGGAAGGTGCAGCAATTGCAATAAAGATATTCATTTATACTACAGCCAGCTGTACTGGTTATTGTGTATGGAGTGTTTTTTTAATTTTCTGTACAACTGCTGAGCTTATCCAAAACAATTGTGCTTTATGTGCACGAAAGGGCTTCTGGGAATTGTAGTTTTGTAGTCAGAAATTTTTATTGTAGTCCTGACATCTTTTACAGCATCAATTTTAGAGCAAATAAGGGAAACACTGCATGAGATTTAGAAAGGATGAGCGTATGGAACAAAACAAAACATAATCACAAAAAAAACAAACAAATAAACAACTAAACACTATAACTAACTATAATATAGCCTACACGTTAACCCAATATCTGTGGTTACCTGGAGAGCTACTTTAAAAAAAAATATATATATAACCATTTTCTGCAACAGGAGTTGGTGTGCAAGTGATAAGTAACCTTAATGATAGGAGTACACAGCAATCATCCTAGTGACTGTACTCAGTGCTGCGCCTGCGCAATAGCCTTCAAATGCAATCTTATGGGAAAGCATTGGATTGTCTGAGATTGTCAATTTTGATGATCTCAGTCAAGGAGGCGGAACGGGGACGAGCCAGTCGCAACAGGACTGTAGCAGTACTGGAAAAAGGCGAGTAAAATCACCTTTTACATTGCATGCAGGGGGGACTGGGGCCTAAACTGTGTTTTTACGACTATAGTGACAGGAATACATATTTATATTCTTGTCACTATAATGTTCCTTTAAAATTTAAAGCTGCCATTCAGGAAATATCAGTAATATTTTTTACAAGAAAATACACTGGCAGTAAATATGGTTGGCAGTTTCAATTTTGCTGTACTTGACTTAGTACTGTAATACGTCCTGTTTCAGGGTTTGTAATGAAAGCAAAAGGGCCATTTAAAAAACAAGTGAAAGGATCTGGAGCGCTTTGCCAATACAAATACGTTAAATATTTACTAACATAAAAAAGGAAGTAGGAAAATTTATTCTAAGCCACCCACTTTTTTCTTCACTGAATGTTTATACTCTTATATGTAAGTAATTTTATAATTTCATTACCAATCTCAGATCTGTAACTGAAATTCACAGGCTGTGATTTTACAGAGGAAATCCCTTAAAGCAAGTTAATTCATATAATATTATAAACATTTTAATATTTAAATAGATCAATAGCAAAAGTGCTGTGTAACAATTTTGCAGTACCTTTAATTCACTAATCAGGGAACTACAGTGGACTGAAAAGCTTGGGCTCAAATAACTGCATATTATGGCCTAAATTTTGCAATCTGTTTTTCAGCTCACTAAATTCAGTTTCGTCAATAAACCCCCAAGTATAAATACCTCAATTTAGAAAGAAATAACAGAAAGGAGAGTGTATTCACTGAATTGGAAATTGTGCAGAATTGACAATTAAAAGGTTATTCCAACTACCATGACCACTTCTGCTTTTAGAAGTGGTCATGGTGGTAGGAGTCTGTATGTGCAGGGTTTCTGAGATATTTGCTCTTTTGTGCCAGGGCCTAGTTGCACTGCACCATGTGTGACTTACACAGCCTGGAATAGAGTTCAAGAGCGCTGGCGACAGATGTAAGGAGATTCTCCCTTGTAGGCAGCACCCCTGTAGCGGGAGGCTTGCCTTTCCCTCCCTACAATGCTGCATAAGACAGGGCGTGGAAGGCAGCGCTGGGAGCTTTACCCAGCGCTGGATCCCAGGTAAGTTTAGCTCTTTATTTTTGTTTATAAGGAGGAGTACTTAGTAAATAATGTCCCATACAGCCTTATATACTAAGAAGCAGGATGTCAGAAAAAAGGGGTTAATAACCCTTTAAGGCCTCAATTTTTTATATATTTTTTTTATATTATATATTATAATATTTTATATTTTTGGATAAGGTTTTCAAATCATTTAATATTTTTGCATACATTTTTTAAATTATTTTTCAAAATTTTAAAAAATATATAGTATATAAATATATAGCAATATATCAAAATGTTAAAATATTACAATACTTTTCAAATTATTAAAACATTTTTAAAGTTGATCTAAAAATATTAAATTGTGGCCAAAATTGCAAAATTTATTGTTAAAGGGAAACTCCACTGCCCAAATAAATCTTTTTAAAAACAACAACTATATTTTAGTGTGCCATGACTTCATCCATTGTTTTCACTTGCTTTTTTTTATATGTAAACTCCCTACTGGGCACTTTGCACTTAGTAAAAAAAAAAAAAAGTACCTTGAATTCAGTGCTGGATCAAATTCTTCACCAACAATTTCCAACCTCCTCTGTCATAACTCGGCATCATCTTATTTCTGTTCGTGGTCCAAACATTGTTGGAAAGCTACCCCCTCGCATACACATGTTCTCATTCACGAGCGACGAGATAAGCTGAGTGTCAGCTCATCTCACCATCATGGCCCACTCTCCTCCTAAGCGCTGAGCAGGGAAAGTAGGGAGGGCTGTACATAGAGTGGTGGGACAAGGACACGGTGAAGGAAAACTAGGAGGCAAGGGAGGTAAGGAGGTACAAGGGGAGGAGAATCAAAGCATCTTGTTAGGGAGGCAAGGAGAGACCAAGGGAGGCGCACAAATCCCTAAAGACTTCAACTTGCTGGCACTCTCATAGCACTGCCTGAAAGGGAAGGATCTGAATATATCCATCACCAGAGCGCTGTGCGTTCTGACAAAAGGATTCATATTAGCAAATCTGGAACAGAGTTCCTGGCTTACTAAGTCATGGATGCAGACAATGTAATTACACCCCTGCACAAAATGACAAATTTATCTGTAGAGGCAGCATTTAAAGTTGAAATGCTGCACATAGAGATTGCTTGCACCATGACCACTTCTGAAAGCAGAAGTGGTCATAATGGCTGGAGTAACCCTGTAGCGTCCCTTAGTATCATATTATTGCAGTATTGGGGTGTATATATATTACTTTACTGAATTTCTGATACAGATTTATCACTTACTTGTATTACTAGAATAAATTTATGTTATTCTATTCAGAATCTCATATTGGTAATTTGTGTTTCAATTTAGGTGTCTGGTGTAGCAATGAACTATTTGGGGAGAGAAGCAAACAGTCTGCATAATTGGTTAAACAAGATTATCCTATCTCGGGAATGTGATGTAATTTTTTCGCCACACAATTATTTAGCTTACATGGAATTTATTACACTCTACCTTTATACTCAGTTAGTCACAATATGACTTTACTGTAAATCTTGCAATACATATGCAGTTCCTATTTTCTAGATTATACTGACTAATGTAAAATACTGGCCTCTCAGTAAATATTATGGGCTTATTTCTAATGCAATATTAAATATCTAATCTCTTCTTATTAACAACAACCAGTAGATACAAGTTACCATGTTGTGAAAATTGAAAAAGTGCATGTAACAATAAATGACTATTGCAACAACAGGAAAAAGTTATCCTTTCAGTGTCACAGCAGAGAGCAGCGAGATGTGCTGCTGTCTGCAATAGCACTGAAAATCACAAGATTTTTTTTTTTAAATGACCCACTAGTCAAGAAGCACATAAAAAGTGCCCAATCACTCGCTCTCAGGTAGTTAGCAGTCCACAAGCCCCTAGCCATACCATCACAATATGTCCCTACCTACCCCTTTCAGGCTAATAATAGCAGGTCCAGGGGAGGGGAGGGCAAATAATCTGAAATAAAAACATCCTATAAAAAAATAATACTATTAACATTGCAAATGACAAAGCAAAAATCTGATTTTTGCTAATATATTATTAACACACAAATCTGAAATATGATATACATAAATATTCATACCCTCAACTCAGTAGTTAAAGCCTCTTTGGCAGCAATAACAGCCTCAATGCTTCTTGGATGTGATGCACCAAATGTAGCATACCTGGATTTGGGCAGTTTCTGACATCTCTGAAGCTCTCTCCATAGATGTTGGTCAGGCCACTTAAGAACATTCACAGAGGCCACTATTGCATTGTCTTGGGTGTGTCTGTACGGTTATTGTCCTGTTGGAAGGTGAACCTTCGGTCCACTTTGAGATTCTGAGAGATCTCAACAAGGTTTTCATTAAGAATATCTCTGAGATAAAACTATATGAAGTAAAATACAAACATGACCAGTCACAACCCCAAAGCAGGTTTACCACAACCATGCTTCACCGCTGGTATAGTGTTACACAGGTGATTAGCAGTGCCTGATGTGCTTCAGACATGGCGCTTTGAATTGAGGCCAAATAGTACCATCTTCATTTCATCAGACCAGATAATCTTGTTACTCACAGACTAAGAAACTTTTAGGTGCTCTCCTTTTTTTCAAATTCAAAGTAGGATTTCATGTATCTTGAGAAGTAGCTTACATCTGGCTAGTTTGCTATAAAGGCCAGACCAGTGAAATGTTACAGTGATGGTTGTTATTCCAGTTTCTCCCATCTTCACACATGATCTCTGGAGCTCAACCAGAGTGACCACTGGGTTCTCGGTCATCTCTCTTTTCAAGGCCCTTTGACCTGCTTAGTTGGGCCAGGTGGCCAGTTTGTTCCAAACTTCTTCCATTTAATAATTATGGATGCCACTGTCCTCGTGGGAACTTTCAATGCAGCCAAAATTGCTGGCTTGGGCTTTGCTCTGATTTGCATTTACAGCTGTGAGACCTTACATAGACAGGTGTGTGTCTTTCCAAATCATATCCATTCAGTTATATTTGCCATATGAGTAAACCAAGCAAAGTATAGAAACATCTCAATAATGATCTAGAGAAATGGGATGGATTTAAGCAAAATTTCAAGTGTTATAGCAAAGGGCCCAAATAATTTCAGTTTTTTTCTTTTTACTAAATTTGCTAAATTTTTTAAAATATCTGGGTTTTGCTTGGCTATGTGAAAATAATGGAAAGATTAAATACTTTTATATATGTAATAAGGCCATTTGGCCTGTAATTGTGGGATGTGCTTGTTATTCACTCCTAACCTACTTAAGGGATACCCCTTACCTGGCTCCATACCGTTCGAGGTCAGCATTGAATGAGGATCCACTTCCGGGTTCTCTCAGACAGTATCTTGGTTTTCAGTATTCGCGAGTTTTTCCGCAGCAAGCTGTGTCCAGGAATCCTGTTACAGGCCTTTCTGTCCGTCCAGCCTCTCTTGACCCCGGTCATCGTTGTAGATCGCGTCCCACGGACTCCTAAACCGTAAATTAGATCTACCCGCCAGAATCGGTTCCCACGGCGTCCGGTACAGCACGGGTCCTCACTTTACGGTCTCTTTTTCCCTGTTATGTTGCAAATTGGACAATCTGTTCGTGAAATCATTTTGTGCAATATTCGGCAATTTCTTTGCATTGGGTTTAAGGTAGGGATCGACCGATATTGATTTTTTAGAGCCGATACGATACCGATAATCTGAGAACTTTCAGGCCGATAGCCGATATCTTGCCGATATTCTGTACATTTACTATTTTGAATAAATAAACTAATTCGAAAGGTAAATGCACAAAATATACATGCCACATGTAGTGGATGAAGTGTTTTTAGACAGGGGAACTGTGTGTGTAGTGGATGCAGAGTGTGTGTTTGTGTAGTGTGTGTATAATGAATGTAGTGTGTATATAATGCAGTGTGTGTAGTGTGTATATAATGCAGTGTGTTTATGTATTGTGTGTGTATAATGCAGTGTGTTTTTGTGTGTGTATGTAATGCAGTGTGTGTGTTTGTTGTCAGGGTATTTATATCGGCAGACATCTTGTGCTATGATAGAAACTAAAAGTGTATATTCTGAGTCACTCTGAACAGACCAGACTCCATTTTGTTATTTTCAAGTTAACAAAAAAGACACAAGATTTCTTTCTGTAAGACTAGCCACTTTGTCAGAGCTAAAAGGAATGCATAGTATAAACAAGTGATAAGAAGAATATAATCAATTCTAAACCCAGACAATTGTGACAGAGAAGATTAAATAATAAAATTTAACTGTCTATACATATAAGGTCCCATTGTAAGTTACGGGTCAAAACTCAGATTTGCCAGACACATAGTCTGGACAAAACTTAAAGAACCCTTTGAAATTTTAAGTTATGGCACTATAAGGATAACGCAAAATGACGTCAAAATAGCCACCAGGAAAAGTTAACTCTTTCCTGGATAGGTATGTTTAGTGGGACAAGACTGCCCTCTATAGACCAAATAACTAAATTGCGATCTGGAAGATAACCACACCTCTAGTGCTTCTATTGGGTTATCAACTGATGACGTACAGAGAGTCTGGCCCTTTAAAAGTTAAGACAAAGGGAAGATAGAGATATGCAGGGTATGCAAGAGATGCAAAGGAGAAAGGAAAAGAGGAGAGAGGAATTGGAAGTTTGGGGACTCCAACCTCCATGCAGAGAGACATTCAAATAAGTTCCTGAGACTACCAATCGGATGAAATATCTACTCAACTGGTAATTATACTGGTTTCATTTAATTAATTAAATTAATTAAAATGTATTAATAGCATGATATATATGACTGGATAAAGCACGGTCAGATTTCCATATTAAGAAATCTTAGTTAACTAAAGAATATATAGTTATAAACATTCCATTCTGCAGGTGGAATTAAGAATAATTATATATTAATGTGATATTATCACGTGGTAGCATACCGTTGTTTTTATCCAGGTGTATTGATTTGCTCTAAATTAAGATAAGATATCTTTTAGACAAATTAAACTCTGCTTATATAATATGGTAGATTCTCTTATTGGATGGTTCCAGGAAATGACTAATGGACTGGTTTAAATGTTATTTTATTTAAAATTACATAAGAATAGATCTTAACTACCTAGGAGATCTAGCCAGCATTGAAAGGGTTATTCTAACTGTCAGCTAAACTTTACGACCTTAGCTGCACTCTGAAGAATTCTGTTCTCTGAGTGAAACTTTTTCGCTGTGAAAAGTTTTCCTTTCAGTCTGTAAGGATACCTCATAAATCGTCAAAGTCTTGACAGATAATGCTGTTTTAGCCATTGAAACGTAATACCCATTCCTTTGTGTTGCATATCATTTTATACTGGATATTCATTGATTATTGTCATGCATGTTGCATAATATTATTATTAATTAATTTGTTATTAAAAATAAAAATCTATTTTTATACATTGTGATTTTAATTATATGAAATACTTTCACTTACGATAAACGTTATTTGGGATCTGAGAATTGAATTAGTGGGCAATTCTCAACTGTTTACTATTATTATCCCATAAATATCCCCACATTGTGTAGTGTGTATGTGTATGTATGTAATGCAGTGTGTGTATGTAATGCAGTGTGTATGTAATGCAGTGTGTGTTTGTGTAGTGTGTGTTTGTGTAGTGTGTATGTAATGCAGTGTGTGTGTCTGTGTAGTGTGTATGTAATGCAGTGTGTGTGTATGTAATGCAGTGTGTATGTAATGCAGTGTGTGTATGTAATGCAGTGTGTGTGCAGTGTAGTGTGTGCAGTGTGTGTGTCTGTAATGCAGTATGTGTGCAGTGTGTGTTTGTGGTGTGTGTGTATGTAATGCAGTGTGTGTGTGTCTGTGTAGTGTGTGTATGTAATGCAGTGTGTGTGTGTCTGTGTAGTGTGTATGTAATGCAGTGTGTGTGTGTCTGTGTAGTGTGTATGTAATGCAGTATGTGTGTATGTAATGCAGTATGTGTGCAGTGTGTGTTTGTGTGTGTGTGTGTGTGTGTAGTGATGTAATTTGTGTAATTTTTTATTTTAATATTTTTTTTAATATTTAAATGTTTTTTTTTTTTTTTTGTTTAGTCCCCCCTCCCTGCTTCTTACCAGGGAGGGGAATATAGTATTCCCTGGTGGTCCAGTGGCATGTTAAGTACAGTGGTGGCTCAGCAACAACAAGCGCTGACTTACCTTGCAAGCAGCTCCTACAGCTCCCTGTGTAAATCTCGCGGCTCTTAGTGCCGCGCGGAGCGTTACCATGGTAACCCGTGGCAACGCTCTGCGGCCGCGGGTCTCGCGAGATTTACATAGGGAGCTGCATGCAAGGTAAGTCAGCGCTTGCTGCTGGCCCCCACAGGACCGCCGGGCTTGTAATGGGCCCGGCGGTCCTGTTATATATTATCGGCAATATCGGTATCTGAATTGGCCGATACCGATATTGCCGAAAATACCGCTTTCAGGGGTTATTCCATACTCATCCATTTCAGTCACGTTTTTCAGCCTACAGTTACAGGCCTCATTTCTGTTTTAAACTACAACCACGACATATACATGAGGATACGGTTTCCTTTTTCCAAGCAGGGAATTCTCGGGTTGAATCACACGCACTGATCCAATCAATCATACGTCTTTACATTACAGTAATGTCATATACAACTTTACATCATCACTTTGGAGAATTGTTTTCACCCCTTCCCCTTTGTTGTTAATTATATGTCGGCATGGCCACCCATCATACATCCCCTCGGTTTCTAGCCAGAATCCTGGCATTAGAAGACATTGCATCACTTGGCTTTTAGTACATTTATGTTGTCATGGCATTCACTACACTTTTGTGCCATTTACCAGTTAATCTCCATAATCAAGCCCTTACAACACCTCTGGTATGGGCTACACAAACTACACCATTCCCACACAGACCACACTCACTATATTACATTTTTTTTACCCGTTTCAGGCTGTCCAGGTTTATATATTTCACCATACGAATTCGCAGTGATATACTCATACTACCAGGTACGTACGCCTGCTCACGTGGTAATCTTACATACATTTCATGCCCCCCTAGGTTAGAGTACTGGCAATAGGGTCACAGGCTCCCCAATAGGTATTTACCCCTTCTTGGCATTTGCCATCGGTTAGTGGTCCCGCGAGGCCAACACCCCGCCTCAACGTTCGGAGGCAAACAACCATCGGGCCACACATGAGCTAGTCGCCTCGCATGTCGCATAGAGAGGGCCTCACCTGTCACTCCCTGGCGTCCATGAGCAAGGTCAACTCCAGGCTGGAGAAACTTGAGTCGGTCACCACAGCCCTTACCCTAGCCAGGCCAACTGCTGCTGCTTCCCCAGCACCAGCCGACTTGCTATTAGTTGCTCCAGCCATCATCCAGGAGGACGAGGAAGTTAGCCCGGCTTATATGATCCCTGAGCACCTTAAAAGAGATATCCTGGAAGGTAAAGATGTCAACCTGGCTTCTCTGCTGATTACCTCCCAGGATATCGTGGAAAATAAGACTTATTTTTTTTAATGTTAAATATTTTTTAATAAGTAACTTTTTAATATTCAGTATATTCTTAATGAAATTATTTTAGTATAGGTCCCACAGCAAGGTTTTATGTGTATAGATTCTTATTGAAATAACCTAGACATATTTGATTTTAATTAATTTAAAAGATATTATTCTCCCATACTAATTATGTATTAATACCGGTTTTATAATTCTGTATATTTTTAATGATTCCAATATATGTCACTAATTCAGGTTTTAGATGTATAAAATTCAATTTTCGAATTTTTAATATAGTGTGTAAGCATCTATTAAATCATAGGAACCAATCACAAAGACATTATGTTATAAACTTTTTTTATTCCTATAAATGTGTTAAATATGATTGTAATACTTTGATGAAATCAATTTTAAGTCTCAATGAGATGACTAATAGACTATTATCATGTTCTCCTATTCCATACAACGAAAAACGATTGTGCAATATAATTATGGACTATATGAGAGCCGGAATCCACAGCTGAACGCACTGTGGAACGCACAGCCGAAACCGGAAGTGACGAATCGCTACACTAGGCGGAAATGAAGCAATCAAAAAGAGGCTTGGAACGCAGGGTACCTCCATTACCATGGAAAATACCCGCGATTTTGCAAGCCTAAACAGCTGATTCCCCTAATTATAAGGATATTTAAAGCAGGAAGAAGGTCCATAGGAACAACTTGAAAATTCTTTGCTACCTGATGAAGCCCTTTGGCGAAACGCGTACTGGAGGAAAGAAGTGAACACAGAGACTTTCCATTTTGGACTCTAGCCGGATAAGTGATATATTTTATAGATTTTTGTTACATAATAATTTTTTATAGAGTTAATAATATACATTTTATATACACTTATGGCATTTTTCCTGCTTAATGAAAGAAGGAGTGTGGTCCTTAACCATATATACGAAGTGAAATGAGCCTAAGTTCAGGCTCTGGGTTTGTGAGTAAAATTTCACTATACCTAATTATTGTTTGTAATTTAGACTATATTACACTATATGCACCCTTCTATACCTATCTAGGATTGGACCACTAGATAACAAAGAAGGGAAAGGGTCGCCTTAACGGACCCCAAAGCGCAAGAATCTGAGCTAAATTTGTTAGCTCAGGAAAGTGTAAGTTGCCATTTGGCATTTGTTCAAAATCCTTTATTTTGTATTATACAGATTACACTATGTTATGTATTTTTTTATATTTTGTTTAAAGGTACACACAGAAAGGTCTATAATACAAAAGAAAATATTGAAATTAAAGGTATAGATTCAGACATTCCACACCTATCCTATTCATATAAGCGCTGCACTGATACTTTTTCTTGAAAATAAGACTTATGCATATGATGATGTGTCTGTTGTGGTCAGATCTAGGGACGCCCGCCTAAACAGGAAACTGACTATCCCCGAGTTTGTACTGGCCTTTGGTATTTACCGGGATGTCATCTGTGCGGTCTATCCCAATAGACAAGAGGAGTTTGATCTTTATATGCACAAGCTGGTAGACCTGGGCAACAAATATGGTGGATCAGCTTTTTATGACTACCATAGGTCTTTTTCTGCAAAAGTGTCTGGGGCCTTCTCCCAGTATGGAACAAGATCCAACTGGGGTAGGATTGATACCGTCATTTTTTGCAGACACTTTTAAGGTCTAAGAACACCGGCTTGTGCATACTGCTCCTCTACGGCACATACGACAAGTTTCTGTCCCAACACGGCGGACGAACATGCTTCCACGCAAGGAGCTAGTTCCTCGGGTGTTTCAGAGAAATTGACCAGAGACAAACTGGGACGCCCGATCAAGTTTCTGGGCAAGTCCCAGATATGTAATCATTTCAATGTCGGGTCTTGTAATTATAGTGGATGTAGATTATTGCATATCTGTTTAAAATGTTTTAGGGAACATGCCAAAACCATGTGTCCAAATAAAATGTACCCTAAGCCATACCTAACGTCCATCAACATTTAGGTATTTACAGCATGTCTGTCACATCATCCGTCTAGACACTTGGTAGATTTTCTTATCTCTGGTTTAACAGAAGGCTTCCACATGGGTATTCTACACATACCGTCCGGGATTCTGCACAGCACAACCCCACAGCTGTTGACACTCTCATAGCCCAGGAAGTTGCTGAGGGTTTCTTATTGGCGCCTTTCCAGTCTCCTCCGTTCAATGAATGGCGCACTAGCCCCATTGGTATTGTCACAGGGAAATCTTCCCTTAAACAGAGACTCATTATTGACCTGTCTGCAACACACTCATCGGCTAACCCCAGTCTCAATTCCCTCATACCCTCCGAAGAATTCTCCTTGCAATACACTACCATAGATCACGCCATTACAGCTGTCATACAGGCAGGGGTCGGAGCATGGCTTAGTAAGACTGATATTACTCACGCCTTTATATTGCTGCCAATTCACCCTACACTCTGGCACCTGCATGGCATCAAGTGGTCCGGGAACTACTATTTTTTCTCCTGCTTAACTTTTGGGTCCAAAAGTAGCCCTTTTCGGAACATTTTCCGAAGCATTGTGCTGGTTACTATTGAACATAGCCAGATGCCCTACTGTATTACATTACCTGGATGATTTCTTACTGGTCGAGGAGAACACTTCCCCTCCCAGTAGCCTCAAAGCTACCATCAATCTATTCGAGCAGCTAGGTGTCCCAATCTCCCCAAAGAAAACCGAGGGGCCAGACACGATCATCACATTCCTGGGTATTCAATTAGACTCAGCCACGATGCAAGCAAGCCTGCCATACGACAAACATTCTTACCTACATCAACCACTACCTTCAGCTCGGTACTTGCAACCGCAAAGAGCTACAGTCCCTGCTGGATTCTCTAAATTTTTCCATGCAAATCTTACCTCAAGGCCGCTCCTTCATATCACGACTCTTGTATCTATTTCCACTCTTCCTACACGACACACGCAGGTTGTCCTTAGATACCCAAGCTACGGCAGACTTACGCATGTGGAAGAAATTTTTAACCAATTGGAATGGTAAAAGTATGTTCCTCCCGCAATTGACTGACTCATCACCTACCATTTGGTCAGATGCGGCATCTACCACAGGTTTTGCATCAATTTCTGGGAACGAATGGCTTTGGGGCAGCTGGCCTACAGCAGTTCAGGATTTGGAGGGTTTTTCCACTACCTCAGCTCTCTTTGAGATCTATCCCATCGTGGCGGCTGTCGTAGCATTGGGTCATCTATGGGCAAACTTGTCAGTATGTTGCTACTCAGATAACCAGGCAACCTGTTACATCATCAACAAAGGTCGTTCCAAATCCCTTACGATCATGAGATTTCTGAGGAAACTCACTTGGTTGGCTGCTTGTTATAATTTCTTCCTGTATTGTTTCCATGTTCCAGGTGTATGTAACACAGCTGCTGACAGTTTGTTTCGTTTTAAATTCCAGGCATACCATCAAGCACTCCCGTCAGCCGCGCTCACAGCCACAACTACTCCAACATTTCAGCAACTAGTACTGGACTAGACGTCATTATGCATCATAGCAGGGCACTGTCCCAACTGGCACTGTCAAACAATACGCACAAAACATACGACAGGGCCTTTACATTATTCTTTCGGAACATAACATCATGCAACCATTTGTCATGACATCTTTGTTGGGGTTCGCTTCTTTTTGCCACCTTAAACTTAAGATGTCATACAACACCATTAAACTTTATCTAACAGGCATTCAACACCATATGCTAACCTTACAACCAAACAAAACAAGTTTCATGGCCTCTCACCAGATTAAGACTATCCTCAGGGGCATTCAGAGATTTGAATCCACACGTACATCACAGAGGCTACCCATAGACAACCATATTTTCAAAGCATTGTCTAACCTGCTTGATTTAAAACCTTTTGACACCAACACGAATTTTGTCATCAAATCAGCAATCTACATAGCTTTCTATGGATTCCTAAGACCTAGAGAATTCGCTACGACCAACGCCACACAAACTTCTTCTATTCTCCTCTATTCCCACTTAACAAAACACATGGATCATTACATCCTGACTCTGCCTCACTCCAGGACCAGTCAGCATGCACCAGTTAAAATAGCGTACTATCCTACGCACAACAGGTGGTGCCCCGTCACGATTCTTGATGCATACATATAGCATCATAACTCACTACCATCACAACCATTATTCATTTTACAAAGTTCGGTACTCACCACTACAACCTTCATGACCTACGTCAGGTCTTTACTCACTCAGCTGGGCCTCAACCCAGCTAACTACTCGGGGCACTCCTACCACATAGGGACAGCATCCACAGTCTCCAGTGTTAACATTCCAGTTCATGTTATAAAAGCACTGGGGCGCTGGAAATCATCCGCTTACTCACGGTACATACCGAACCCAGTACAAGCATTAAGGAATGCATTCAAAGACATGTCTGGTTGATATGTGTATTTGTATTGGTTGTCTGTAATAAATTTGATTATTTAATTTTGCCCTCTTCTTTCTCAGGCCTACCTCATCGTCGGTTCCGGCACACCACAACAAACTTGCTCTTTTATACCATCCTACGTTCATTATGGTATTTTACTCTGTACTATCATGAGCACCTAACACAAGTATTAAGGCCATTTGGCCTGTAATTGTGAGAGGTGCTTGTTATTTACTCCTAGTCTACTTAAGGGACACTCCTTACCTGGCTCCATACCGTTCGAGGTCAGCGTTGAATGACCCTCCCACCATACCACATTATAAATAATTATTTTCCTTTCCATTTCTTTTCCTTGGTAGGCCCTCTTCTTTCTCAGGCCTACCTCATCGTCGGTTCCGGCACACCACAACCAACTTGCTCTTTTATACCATCCTACGTTCATTATGGTATTTTACTCTGTTCTATCATGAGCACCCAACACAAATATATATATATATATATATATATATATACATATAAAACAAAACAGGGGCTTTGCACTCTTGTAACATTAAAATTAAATGCCCAAGTGCTGGAAGCTCCGACCAAAGAATACAAATCAAATGAAGAGGAACACTCGAGGGTCTTATTGACAAATGCTATATGACTGCTTTTATTGCAGTACATGTACAAAACAAAAACAAATAATGTTTCAGTCCACACTGAACTTTTCTCAAGACTTGAGAGTAGTCCTGTGTGGACTGAAATGTCGCCCTTTTTTGTTATGTACCTGTACTGTTGTAATATATATATTTATACATAGGACAAACGTGCTATTGATATTTACCAGTCAGTCATTTTCCTTCGACAGAAAATATCCCCAAAAAATCATTACTCAACAAAGCTGTATAAAATAACAAAAATGATTAGTAAGAGAACAATGAAACAATAAAAAAAAAAGACTTCACTGATTAGGCCCACCAAGGCCAAAATAATAATCTGGGGTTGCTATATCTCTTTTGCAGAATTAGCTAGTTGGCATATTAGATTGGGGTTGCATTTAGGGAAGGATCAGTAAAATAAGCAAATGATTTAAGTTGCCTCTGTAACAGCACCAACTGAGTTAAAGGAATAGAAGTACCCAGACCACTTCATCTCAATGAAGTGGTGTGAGTGCAGTGTCCCTGTCATTTTGTAGATATGGCAATGTTTACATTGCAGTGCTAAACACACCTTGAGTGTGTCTTCCTGTTTGCCATTTAGACTTGGTTATATGATGTTACATGTCCTCACGCACTGCATGAGGACTTCAAATGTCCTCTTTTGTTGACCATAGACAAGGAAGCATTGAATTCAATGCGTCCCTATAAGAAGCACTTGAACCCAATGCTTCCCTATGACAAGCATTGAGATTGGATGAGCATGGTGATCTCCAAACATGCACTTTGTGTCCCAATTGATTCTCTATGAAAAGTACTGGATTAGGCAAGAATATGAAGAGGAGACTATCTAAGGAAAAACTTCACTTTCTCAAAATGTACAATCAGTTCCTCATACAAGCTAATTATAAACTACACCTTCCTGCTGTTATGCAAACATGCTCCCAGCAAGCTGCATTCAAAGAGAATCGGGGAGAAAACCCCCACAATGCAGAAGGATCTCTCCAACCTTGCCACAGAAATAGCTCAGTTTGTTAATGCTCAAGCTAAAGTGTGTGTATGTATATATATATACATACACACACACACATACAAAGCCAAAGGCAGGTTTATATATATATATATAACTGCCTTTGGCTTTGTATGTATGTGTGTCTATGTGTGTATATACACATACATACATACATACAAACACTTTAGCTGGAGCATTAACCAACAGAGCTATTTCTGTGGCAGGGTTGGAGAGATCCTACTGCTTTGTGGGGGTTTTCTCCCCATTTCTGTTCTGTCTGCCTTAAGCCTTGTGTTTATATCCTGTACATATATGTGATTATTGCAATGCTCTCACTATTTATCTTTGTTTATCTCCTTACCACACTTGATGACACATCTAAAAATAAATATAAATTAACAATAAGGAAAATTAAAGAAAAAGAGCATGTGTCAGAAATCATAGCATGACAAAGATAATTTAACCTTTACATGGTACTAGCCAAATAGCTACCAAATGTATATATTAGCATATCCTGTAAATATTGCATGTTTATGCAATCAGTCCAGCAATGTACAATGTATAGGGGAGAGGTAGATGGGAGCAGAAATGAGGCAAGAGCAGTAATACAGGGGGAAGAATAGAAGGGACCCTTCCCTTTGTTGTCCATTGCTGGTAAGGTAGCCAGAATCAGAGCTTATCAGAGAAGGTTCAGGTAATGGGCCCTCCTGTCTACGAGTAGGAGTCGAGCTTGGGTATCTCACCTAGTAGGGCATCACATGACAAGCATGTAGACTACACAGCTCTAGTGGTCAGTTCCTTGCTGACCTCACTGTGTCTCTCTGCCCCAGCTGTTCACTGTAAAAGGTCTCTAAAGTCTACCGATAAGAGTCTGTCGATAAGATCCAGTGAGTCAATATCGTCATATACATTTGAGATCTTCCCTCTGCTTGGAGAGCGAGTTCCGCTAAGGAACGGAGTTCTTCCATACGTTAGAACCATCTCCTTTTTCCTGAAAAGAAGGACGAGGCTTTTGACCACATTGAGAATGTCACGTTGCTGCTGCGTATCATTTCTGGCTATGGCTTCTGGTATCCAGTATTCTTTTTACAATTCTTGTTTAGTTTTTCTTGTTTTTTCTGGTTTTCTATTCTATGTCTGGTTTTCTTTAAGTTGGGTTTTCTGGGTTCATTCCTTTATTCCGTTCCTGGAATTCCCAGTCTCCTGAATTCCTTTATATGTTTGTTTTATGTTGCCACACCCTTTCCTTTTCCATTTATCCTTTTGTTTCAGTTGGTTCCTGCAGGCAGCTGCTCCAAGTTCTCTGCCCCTTTCTTGCAGGTAAGTGATGTGTGTGTTGTATTATTGTTTATTTAGTCATGCATATCTAGGCAGTCTAGGACCCACCTAAATTGGAGTACTTTGGCGCAATGGTGGGCTGCATACATCTTGGCCATTTATGTATGTCTAAATTTCCAACGTTTTACATATATAGTACTTAGTTATGTCTCCTCTTGTTTTGCCCTTTATCTCGTCTTATTTTGTCTTGTATTCCCAGTTCATGTACAGTCTTGTCCTGCCCTGTTCATGTTTCCCTCATGTCTTGTGTACATGTTCTGGGTTCTGCTTTCTGTCCTGCTCCGGTTCTGGGTTCTCCTAGTTTTGTCTTGTTTTCTTGTTTGGTGTCTATTCTAGTCTTACCTTGTTTCTGTACTGGATACATATCTGCTACAGAGCCTCCCTATTCAGATCCTGGGAGGTCTGCTTATTGTCATCTGGCACCTGGGATACGCATCAGGGCCCTGGTATGTGGCCGCACAAACGCTGGTGCTCAACACCAGAGGCGTGCGGTGACCCTGCACCAGGCCCTGATAATCCATTTCCACACAGTGACTCCTACTATCAAGATAAGGCATTCTGACAAAGAATACTGATGGTGAGGGATTTTTTATAGACCACGGAGAAAAGTTTAGTCTGGTGCAAGGGGAATACTACTGGATCCAGAGGGGATGAGTCATCAGTGAACCTTAGCATGATCATGATCCAGTGAGGTCAGATCAAGGGACAGTCGAACCAAATGTAGAAAAGTGTGCCTATCCCCGGCCTGCATCTCCATAGCGGGCTCATAGGTATTTAATGATTGTGGAGTTTTGTACTAAAAGGACAGTAACTTGTATGTGGTTTCCTATTTCCCACTAGACAGAGCACGGTGTACTTTTATTATATATTGTATTAGGCAAGGTAGGTTTCCTTTTTTATAAACTTGATTTTATCTACTAAGCAAATCAATTACATAGCTTCAGTTTGGCCCTGATAGAAAATCTTATTCATTTAAAAAAAAAGGATACTAACAGAGTGAAAGATCTGGGAATTTTATGGATATAATAAATTCAGGGGAAAAAAATGACAAATTGGATGAATGACAAGTTCTGCTTAAGTTAAATTATAAAATGTAAACTATACATTGTGTTAACAAAATTTACTGCTAATATATATTTAGATTAAATGTAATAAATACCTAAATTCTGCTTTCTGATTTAAGCTGAATCTGCATCCACGTGTTGCCAGAATACTGAGAACAGCATTTTGTTCTACTCATTATGGAATACCATGTGAGGTTACAGAGCCCAGCCAAAACATGTACATTTACTGCAACGGATATATACGTTATACTAATACAGTATAAAGAAATAAGAAGCCAGCTTGAAGTAGAAACAGTTATGTCAAATATTCACAGGAGGTGCCCTTTAGAATGCGTAAAATATGCTTTACAGAGTATATTATGTATTATAAGCAATATGTTGAAAGATGAGGTCACAGACAAACTGAAGGCAGACATGAACGCATGTCAGGGTATGTACAACACTTTACAGATCACGCAACGTGGAGTGGGCTTGAAATATAAGGAAGTGCAATGAATGATAACACTGATTCATCATGTAATATTTCAGAATTTCAGGGGAATTTCTGTGCTACTGACCTGTTAGATACACAGTCCTCTGTACTTTATTATACACCGTTTTTGGGATTTTTATTATGAGGTAATCAAATATTAAGCCATGATGAATATAAACAAGAGAAAGAGTCAATAATGGATAAAATAATAAAATTGCTGCAATGCAAACTCTGGCCCACATATAATATGACCAGACGGAGAGCACTCTGAGGCTATTAAATAAGTAACAAGTTTGCTGTTTTAGTATATAGAATTTTCAGGGCATTGTCCAATTAATTAGTGGCTTGTAAAGCCTTGCAAACAAATCACAGATATTTATGTCTGGCCAATCACTGCAGTTTATTGATAAGTGTATGAGTGCCAAGAGCCGAAATCGGCACATCTACCAACTTCCGCTTTGAAACATAGTTCAAAGTGAGTGAAAGAGAATAGCCTGACACGTTTTGGCCATAGACAGCCACTGTGTACCACAAACTGTCTGATAAATAGCAACAAGTGAAAGATAGAGCTTACACCATACCAGAGAGAAGCTTACAAAGTAGAGGAATGTAAGGCAACATAAGCAAACACCATACCAAAAATATACAAGTATAAATGTATAGACAAAAGTGGAATTCACAGTGATTTCAAAGTGAAATTTAAAGTATAAATAGCCAAAATGGAAACAATATGGTAATCTACCCTTAAATTTGAGATTTGTTTTTAATTCACTTTACATTCTCACTTTAGTAAATAACCGTGTAAATTATATCTCTGAAAAGGCAGTGTTTACACTGAAATGCCTGCAGGGACTGACTATACTCACCAGAACCACTAGATTAAGCTGTAGTTGTTCTGGTGACTATAGCATCCCTTTAAGTGAATTGTATTTATCACTGGGTTACTCCTGCACAGAAGGTAAGGTGAGATTGGGTTCCAATGCTTTTTGCATATTTATATTAACCCCTTAATAACTTAGGACAGTTCAGGACCGTCATCTGCATTTTTGCGTTGCCGACCAGTGACGGTCCTGAACTGTCCTAACGGTCAGATGTACTTACCCGATCGCCGTCGTTCCTCCGGTGGCGATCGTTGTGGGGAGACTGCCTGCAGCCCAGATGGTCTCCCCATGGCGGATTAGGACCCCTGTGGCCAAGTGATCACTCAACACAGCGATCACATGGTCACAATAGGTGTCCTAGTGTCTGCCTGCAGGGGGACTGCCATATATAATGTCATACTAAGTGTATTTTTATATTAATATGTACGTATATTAATATAAAAATACACTTATAATTAAATTACACACGTATATATAATATATATAAGAACTATATATATTGTATATATATATTATTCTAAAATACAAATAATAAAGAAATTAAATTAAATTAAACAAATTTAAAATAATAATACAAATTTAAAAAAAAATTATATATCTATATGAAATTTTATTCTAACTGTATTTTTATATTAAAATATATATATTTATATCAAAATACACTTAGAATGAAATTGTATATATATCTATGTATATATAAATAAAAATAATATGAAATATACATATGTCCATATACAAAATTACATAAATAATTATATAAATATACACGTAGACTTCAAATATATAAATATGCATATATATTTAAATTCTACTTGCGTATTTATGTAATATTTTTACATAATTAAGTAATTTTATTAATTGCAATTTGAGGGACCTGCCTGCCAACCCAGGCCGAAAGTCCAGAGAATTTAATTTGCTAGCACTGTATTTTACCCTGTAACTTTCTATGACACCCTAAAACCAGTACATGGGGGGTTCAGTTTTACACGGGAGACTTCGCTGAACACAAATATTAGTGATTTAAAACAGTAAAACATATCACAGCGATGATATTGTCAGTGAAAGTTACATTTTTTTCGCATTTTTCACACACAAACAGCACTTTTACTGATGATATAATTGTTGTGATACGTTTTCCTGTTTTGAAACACTAATATTTGTGTTCAGCAAAGTCTCCCGAGTATAACAGTACCCCCATGTACAGATTTTATAGCGTTTTTGAAAGTTACAGGGTCAAATATTTTTACATTGAAAATGGCCAGGTTGGTTACGTTGCCTTTGAGAGTTTATGGTAGCCCAGGAATGAGAATTACCCCCATGATGGCATACCATTTGCAAAAGAAGACAACCCAAGGTATTGCAAATGGGGTATGTCCAGTCTTTTTTAGTAGCCACTTAGTCACAAACACTGGCCAAAATTAGCGTTCAATTTAGTTTTTTACTTTTTTCACACACAAACAAATATGAACGCTAACTCTGGCCAGTGTTTGCGACTAGGTGGCTACTAAAAAAGGACTGGACATACCCCATATTGAATACCCTGGATTGTCTACTTTTAAAAAAATATGTACATGTGGGGTGTTATTCAGAGATTTATGACAGATAATAGTGTTACAATGTCACTATTGATAAATTTGAAAAAATGTATGTTTTGAAACCGCAATATCTTACTTGTACCTAAAGCCCTATAACTTGCAAAAAAAAGCAAAAAAGCATGTAAACACTGAGTATTTGAATCTATTTAGCAGTTTTTTTTCATTCGCTTTTGTAGATGAGCAAAAGATTTTTCAAGTAAAAGTAAAATAACATGTATTTTCAATTTTTCATCATATTTTTTTATTTTGTTTTAATTAAATTACATGAGATTATATAAATAATGGTATGTAAAGAAAGCATTTTTTGTCCTGGAAAAAAACCAATATATAATTTGTATAGGAACAGTAAATGAGAGAGCGGAAAAGTACAGCTAAACACAAACACCACAAAAGTGTAAAAAGAGGCCTGGTCACAAATGTACAACATCGCAAAAACAGTCCAGTCCTTAAGGTGTTAAAGCAGCAGACTTTTTATTCACATAATAAAACTAGCCTCCTCCTTGCCGAATTTCAAGTCGAATGTCAACATGGTACCAAGCAGTAAAAACTAGGATAACAATGTGACTGACAATTTGTAGTGCAAGGCCCCTACCCTTAAGGCAGCCACTAGAGCAGTGGGAGTTGCATTCCTGAGCTGCATTTATAAACAGTCACAATGTTGGAGGGAAGTTGAGGAGACAGAGCCATTCTGTCTTCCCAGCTCCTTTGTGGGCATCAAAGGGATTAAATTAAGGAAAGCAAGCACAAATAGTATCTGTGGCAGCTCTCTCTAGTGTTCTGAGGATACCCTAAAATTAAAGCTAGCTCTTACCTGTGTTTTTTTCTTCTCCAAAAAACATGTAATATATACGTAATCATCAGAGGTATGGAGTGTTTTTTTACTTGTCCAAGTAACCGTCCTCTATGACTATCTACTTGTCCAATTCACAAAATAATTTAAATTACAAAGATTGGGGCTCTAGCCTAGGGCCCCTGGCATAGTGTATCACTCTGTGACCCTCTAGTATCTTCTTTTGTCCACCCATAGTGTGATGTGTGTGCTGGCTGTATGTAGCAAATGTGTGGTGTGAGCGGTCTGTGTGTAGTGTGTGCTGATTATGTGCAGTTTTTGTTATGTGCGGCTTCTGTGTAATGTACTGCCCGCTGCAGCGTACCTTTCTGCAGAAAGGAAATTATGATCCCTGGTGGTCAAGCAGAGCTTAAAACTCCCTGGTGGTCTATTTGCGCAGTATGCAATTACCGCAATTTGCACCAGCCGGAGGTGCACATCACCAATTTATGCACCTAGTAGCAGCACTTTTACTTGTCCCTGTGGGTAATGGGAATTTTAAAAACTTGATAGATAAAAGTAGAAGTATGTATTTGTGGAAACTATTGCCATCCTGGGTTCCTGCATATAATATGTCTCGTGATTTATTATGATGTCTCTAGAACTTCTCAATGGCATTATTTTTCAATACTTTCAAAAATGTTTTACCATTAAGTATCCTCTCTACATATACAATATTTCCCCCCCAAATAAATCTGGTCACAAATCCCTTTATTTGTTGACGATAGCTCTATTTTTGGAAACTGCCACTCTAAACTGAGAACTGAAAGTGACTTGAAAGTGAATTCCAAATTGAAGGTCTAAACAACCAAACTGCTAAATTCTCTAAGACACCTGGGCTTTCACTTTGGCTATTCTGTGTTTAAATTTGAGATTCACTTTGAATTCTCTCTTTAGTAAATTAATGCTATCCTTTTAAACTCTGAATCAGAGAAAAGTAACAATTAAAACTATTCACCTAAAAGAGAAACGACAGAAATGACATCATTGGAAATACCAAAAACACATGCAATACATGGTAGTTCACTTTCCAAAAAGCTTCAGCTACATTTTGTGAATTCCAAGCATTACATTAGATGGCTGTAATAAAATTGAACTCAATACACATTAATAATGTTTATATAGTTATTGGTTAATAATCACAACTTGCAATAAAAACTTTAGAAAAGAAAAAGACACACTCAATGTGGTGGGACGATTTAGCCTTGTATAATGGACTGCTTGTGAAAGTGCAAATATGTGTTTATAGATAAAAAGATGGCACATTATCACTGAAACTTTCAGGAAGGGGAATAAAATAACCCACATATCTGTAATGTGCTAATGTCCATGCTTTTAATACTGATGATTGGCAACGTAAAGACTAACATAATGTACATTTAAAAAAATATATTAAAGTTTTATGACTTTTTAACCCCTTAAGGACACATGACATGTGTGACATGTCATGATTCCCTTTTATTCCAGAAGTTTGGTCCTTAAGGGGTTAAAGGAACACGCCAAGCACCATAACTACTACAACACGTAAAGGTTGAAACAGATGGATGGACGAACGAACAGACGGATGGATGAATGGATCATCAGTTTTTTAGTTACATACTTATTTGATTATATAGTATAGAAGATAAACTACATGAATTGTGAAAAAGATGTCATTGTGATACGAGACAGACAGACAGCAAGACAGATCGATGATACTCCAGCAAAATGGAGTTGATAAATGAAGAGGTAAAAAAAAGACTATAAAAATACAGGTAGTCACAAACTATTTTGATGAACTGGCAATTTGATGGAATAAGCCATATAAGTGTTTAAAATCCTCGAAAAGCATTAAGGGATGCTTACGCCTTCCAAAATAAAAGTGATGGCTAACTTTTTCTATAAAACTGATCAGAATGGTCCCCAGGACCCACATCCAGCCACGCTCATGATAAACATAGCCCATACCAGCTGGTACAACAAGGATTACTCATTAACAGAATGTGAAGCAGCACCACAAAACAGATTCAAAGCCCAATAACAAAGCAGCATCAGTCTGGCAGCCTCCACATAGTGAAATCCACTTCCTCTAAACCAGAGTAACATGCATTTCAAGGAAGCCCCACTGTAACATGTTACTTACACAGTGCTTTCTGAAAACAGACAATTTTTATTAAACTTTGTGGAGCACCGTCACTCCAGTAGTTAGGAACCTGTTTACCTCTTTTTGACACCTTCTATGTTCTGCCTTCCTCTTCCTCCTGCCTGGTCTCAGCCTCAGGTGGCAGCCTGGCTTTACCGCAGGCGGGTAGAGGTCTTCTCCAACCAACTTTCTAGGTGATGGGTTCTAAAAGTTCTTCTTCCTCAAGGTTCCTCTCAGTCCTCCATAGCATCCAATGAAAGAAAAGTGAGAACCCTGGTTACCAAGTGAGTGTGTCTCTCTCCGTGTCTCTTTCAGTTTCCTTGTTTCTTCCGTGTGAGCTAGGGGCGGATTTTACTAGTGAGATCATAGGCCTCCCTCCCCCTGACTGTAGATTTAGCTGGAGGTGTGTGGCTAGCTTGTATCACTGTGAAGAAGTAGCTGCTGTTCTCACTTCCTGCCTGGAATTTCCCACTCACTTTAATATTCGATGCGAGGGAGGAAGATTTAATCGGGTTCTAATATGTAATATGCTAAATACACACATATATATGTGCATGACAGATGCATGTACCTGTTATATACACCGTGTGGGACCTCAAACTCATTTCACGCCCTAATTCGAGTTTCCTCTTTAAACATTACAATTAATATCACTTACGTGCTCTATAGGAGAGAGTGTTTTAGTTCTAAGCTCAGCAATCATTGTAAATTCTAACATGAATGTCGTTGACAGCAGATACTGGCCAGCAAAAGAGCATGGGGGTGTCAGGGACAATTCAAGATGGTCCTCCTGATGGAATTGTGTCAGAAGAAGTATAGGTTTTAGAGATGCTCATGTGGTACTAAGTGGGCAAAGCAAGGCAAGCAACCTAACTAGTACTGTTGGCAATACATAGAATGTGTCATGTCAATGTAATTTATATTTAAATATTAGAGCATATTCAGTTATTGCAAATTAGGCATTACGTTTTTTATTTTTTTTTATAAAGCGTATGACAATTTCAGGGGTCCTCAAACTCCGGCTATCTACGTAATTCAAAGAATCATGGGAGTTGTAGTTCAGCAACATCTGGGGGGCTGGAGTTTGAGGACCTCTGGCATATGTAATGCAGATGTGGGACACCTGACTGCAAATGCACATGCAGAGAAAAAAATAAGCTACAGAATACACTACCAGATTCGTACTCAGCTGTGTTATTTGTGGCTTTACCTATCTTGCACATTTAAAGGAACACCCCATTAAAAAAAATACAGGTCATTTTGCAAAACAGTTGCTGTGGGAAATCACCTCCCTCTTGAGATGAGCTTCACTGAGCTAAACTACCAGGAAGTAACAGGACCGGTCGTATGACCGACAACTATAGAGGTGTATCAAAGTTTATATAGATTTCTTGAAATCAGGATTAAAGAAAGAGGACAAGCTGTTCACACATAAAGCACTTGAGCAAGCATAAGTACTTTATGTGCTTGGATTGTTCTTTTAAGCCAAGTAAACAACAGCAGTGTTTACTGGAATAAATAAAATTAATGTTATAGTTAATATTAAACATCACAGAGTGGGAATTAGCCATCGAGTTCTACATGCATTCCAAACAGATATTAGACTGATATTGATAACCATTGTTTTCTATACAGTACTATTCATGCAGTCTGACATATGTAAGGATTGCATTTCATTGTGCACCTTTTAGGAAAGTGTTCACATTTTACGTAGTACTGATCAGATTTATAACTGCCATAGAGAAGCATTATAATGCTTCTCCATGGGGAGAATCTTATTGGCACAGCACGACAATTGCTGTGCATCGGCATTAGGGCCTTCAATTCTTTTTTTTTTTGTTAAAATGATCTAAGATTGTCCTAGTGATAAAGCAGGCAGAGTGGCAGTTGCTGCAAGACCAGGAAAGTGATGCATCAGAAGCGAGTTTAACTTTTACTTTGTAAATTAAAGGAACAATCCAACCCCTGTAACAATGAAGTTGTCAAGGGGGCAGGAGTGTCTGAGTATCATCCTATCTTTAGGGGTTAAATTGCTTTTGAACAATGTAACCTCAAATTTGATTCCTCGGAACATGAATGCACTGCTTCCTCTGTTTCTCACTCTGGCCGCTGTCCACTCTGCAAAGGGCTGCCTTGGTGGCTCTGGTACACCAGGATCAACGCTTTTAGCGTTGTGACTAGGGGCAGGGCTGCTCTGAGAAATGTTAGATGACTTACTAATAACAATGTATGCAACTTAAATGTAATTTAGAACAAGAACAATGTATATATTTATACAATGATTTCTAAACACCTTTATTGTAGTTGAAAGGCACATTACTGTATTATTGCTGTGGAGTTCTGTTATACACTGAAACACACCAATTATATTGAGTTCCAAGAAAAGAAGGACATTCGGATAGAAAAGAGCGACTCCATTTTTGTTGCATTGCAAGGGCTCTCCCCAAGTATAAAGGGTAATCCAGATCTGAACCCGTGTTTACTGTGCCTAGAGGTGTGTCAGCTGCACCTCGCTGACGAGGTCCAAAAAAGTCCCAAGCGATTGAACATGATTGCTATATCTCTAATTTTACCAACATTTTGTTTGTTTTTTTACTGCCTTTAGGGTGGGGTCAGTTTGATATGCAAATGATATAGGTTCTCTGACATAGGTTCTCTTTGTAATGGCGCAAGTGAGCAACAACATTTTTAGACTTGAGCTGGGATTGGCTGAAGAGAAACTGAATTTCTCTAAGCTTTTGTCCGTTCTCAGAGTTCTCTGTTTTTGTTAAAAGGCCAATGTTATAAAAATAAATCTGATTTAAGCAAACAGTGTCCATGGCAAACTCTACAGGAGAATTTATGGGATAGCGAACATCAGATAAGATAGTCTTATTATATTTAAAAATATATTAAGAAGCAATCACTCCAGTCACTTTCTCAAACATCTAAGTGGTCCCCTAGAAAATGGCAGGTATGGGATTTAGTAATCAAAGGGCAAATATGAGGATCCTATAGCATGATAATCTAAGTCTTAGAGCCAAACAGAAATCCATATTAATGCACATAAAAAGTAAGGATATGTATAATATTCACAAAATTAATGAAACATAAACAAGTTAGACATTGCATGTAGGTTAAGGATAGGGGTCTCCATCAGCAACCCCTATTGCTCAGGAAGCGTGGGATAAGATAGTGGGAGCTATCAGTGAGAGGATATTGGATTCCTCCTTCTCTGAGGACAAATGGAGAAAGTTTAGGATTCAAACACACTAAAACAATATTTGCTCCTGTTTAAAGGAGATTACAAAATCTGGGTATAACTTACCCTAGCACAGTCTTTACTGGTCAGTCATGTTTATGTTGGAAGTGCTCCCAGGATGCAGGTTCTTTACTTCATATATGGTAGTCTTGCCTGGTTATCTCTTCTTTCTGGAATCAGATTTTTGCTTGGATTAAGTAGAATGCTGGCTCTGAACCTCCATTTACTACGGAAGTTACTCTTCATAATTGTATCACCCTTCCTCTATTAAATTATATATGCATCTTGGTCTTCTTGGATCACCTATATACACAATAACCAGCTGCACACACCAGACACTTCTGTTTAAACTTCTCAAGCCTCTTATTCTTGGACTTCTCCCCACTTTTATTGTTTTCTTCACCGCTTGTACCTCTTCACTTTTTTTTCTGCATTTTCCTATTCTTTTTCCCCACGCTTTTTTGTGCTAGGTTGTCAGTTGCTTGTTTGGGGGGTAGCCCACCAGCTTTAATGCAAGACTACTACATTTGTTTTCAGCTTGTACAGTGCCTTTTGGGTCTCCAGAAATAATGGCGGCCCTTGTGTTCTTGCTATTGAGGATGTCTTTTCTGCCTACTGCTCATCTCAATCCTCGTGTTTTCATATATCTTGAAAATGACAAATAATAAAAATAAAAAAAATCTCAGTGATTAGGTGCAATGCCCAGTGGGCCTGCAAGATTATTCTACACAGCTCTACTGACTCGTCCTCAAAGTTCCATGCATGAGCTGACCTGGCTTTGTTCCTAATCATCTTCTGGAATAATCAAGAACATAGCATGTATTGTCTCTTAGTGGGGTATCTAGGGTGAAGAACTTGATGAGCTCTCGCTATGTGAATAGTAGCATCTAGTGTATGACCTAAGGTTAAGTTTAACAAGACAAACATGCAGCTTGTGTTGTTATCTAGCTCTTCTAACCATAAAATATTGTTCCTCATCCACCAATTTCCAAGATTCTCTGTCATGTAGTGGGGAACCAGAAGTGTCTGCAGTGTAGATGTAATTTCAGTGATGGAGCTATTATTCTGAGACGTTGTTGCCTCAGCTGCCAAGATCCAACCCTCAAGCTCTTTGATGTCCTGCAATGATCAGAGAGCTCAGTCAGAAATGTATGTTTTATTTCTTCAATCAAAGCTATGAAGTCTTCCTGTTTTGTGAGGAAGGTAAGAATCAGAAACTGCACAGGCACCGGTAGGTCCATTTTGTGTTAATGGGAGAATGATACACTGTTCACAGAAGAAGATCACAGAGGAGACTGAGACGCCACCTTGTTGACTCCGCACTGGGTCTGTAGTGCTGCCAGAGTTTGACAGTATCTCCGTGTTGAGGCCAATGGCTGGCCTCCCTGTGGCCAAGAAAAAAGGGTCATGCTAGCTTCTTTGGAATATCCTGTGAGGTCAAATAAGGTAAACACTAAGGGTCTCAGTGTTACATAGCTACAAGAGTGCATTTTTGTCAAAGGTCCTACCATGCCCCCTGTTTTGCTTTTGCCCAACATTATAGAAATTAAACATAAATAGCATTTAATGTGTGCTCTAGTAATATAGCTATAAAAAGGAAGCAATGTCATACCTTTGTGAAAAAGTACCGAATATAACACTCTTCTAATTGCAGTATTATGTCACTGACAAAGCAAACACATATTGTTACAATCCTAAAGTTAGTAATAAATATAATAGTGACTATACCCACGTATTAGACTTGCTGTTTCTTTTAAAGCTATATTTCAAAAACCTTGTTTACTCATTTCAGGGAAAATCTTGTCTCTTTTTGCATAACGTGAACTCATGCTGATGGAAATTTATCACATTTCTTTTCTGGAGTGAAATATTAATTCAGACCAAACTTTTACTATTCCTTTTCCTGCATTTCTATAATAACCTTGTGTGTGATTTAAGTCCAATTTACAGTGCAGAAGATGAAAACAGAAAGTATATAGGAACTCCGAGAATGGGCAAAACTTTAGAGAAACTTGCTCTTCAGTAAATTCCCACTCAGGTCTCAAAACAGTTTTTGCAAATAAAAACTTCCGCAGTCAAGGGGGAAAAGGG